CTAAACCGGTACCTCTTTCAGAGATCACCAAATGGTGCAGCTCTTTTTCATGGTCCTTTGAGCCGGATAGGTGCAATTGTCCTGGACTATGACCAGTAGTGAAGAGATGCAGTTCATGCCACATACCATGCCCAGGACGAGGCACACACACCGGCAAGAAGAGGAGGACCGGGAACTCTGGAGACCAGTGCATAGGGAAGAGGCTCCAGCGTATCACGGACGCTGTCATCAAGGAACTGCGGGCGGTAGATGCGAGTGGTGGCACAGTAACATCAGGACGAACCCAAGGCACTATGTGGGCATAGAGAACCCGCAGCACCGGTCCTGAGTCCAGCCCCTGTCCAGCAGCCACTAGCTCCACAACCTCCGTCTGGCTACTAAAAGCACCCCAAAGCCTGCAGTTCAAGCCCCTGAACACCGATGGATCGACCAACCGCATCCTGAGCCCAGGACAGTGTAGCAGCCTTAAATGGCTTGGGTGCCATGGCCACCGGTTCAGCCACCACTCACTTATGTAGAGTGGCCACCGGCACGCCAGCCAGTTCTGCCACCACCTGGACTCCAGCAGGTCACTACTGCACCAGGAGGTGCTCCAGCCAGTACCCTTGCCAGCTCCTCGGCCAAGACTGCCACCAGGACTCCAGCATGTCCGGTGGTCTCCATTGCCACACTAGGTGTTCCAGCCAGTACTCCTAATCTAGTTACTCGGACTGTCAAACGGCCACCATCGGAGCCTGAGCAGGTCCAGCAGCCAGCTCCGCTCCAACATGCACCCCAGCAGGTGCAATCACAAGCAGCACCTGAGCCAGTGAAGCCATTGCCAGTGCTGCAGCCAGTCCAGCAAGCATCAAAGCTCCAACCTGCTCAACCTGCAGACTGCCAGCCAGACCTGCAGCTACCGGTGCCTGAGCCAGCACCCTAGCCGACACTCCAGTTAGTGTCACTCCTGGGCCAGCAATCACCGGACTCAACTCCGGTGCTGGTCCCTACACTACCTGCTGCCCTTGCAGACCTGCTTGGCCTGGACCTGACGCCCAAGACGACTCTCCAGCAAGAGTCCCAGTTGGCGTCCCATCCAGCACCAGAGCCTCCAGCGCCATGTACTCTGGACCTGCAGTCGGCTGACCCTACTCTTGTTCTGGTCCCAGCATCAACTGCAGTCCTCGAGGACCAGCACTGACCTGGGCACAGCGCCTGGCCCTGTCCTGGACCCACCGGCCGACTCCGCTCCAGTCCTGGGTTCGCCAACCACTCAAGTCCCGGGCCCAACGCAATCGGCTGATCCAAAGGTAGCCCTGGATTCACCACCCGGACCTGATAGGATACAATTAGCGGCTAGCATGCTATACAATATATACAATAGTTTTTAACAGTTACAATTGCTCCCTGGTATGAATCATTAGGAGACAGATGTAAGTTTACTACATAACAAAATGACTGGCCTAGTTCAAGTGGTCTCTGAGCAATAAAATAAAAGACAAAAACGGTTACAAGACTACCCTATCTAGGACACATATTAGATCAGTGTTTTTACATGATATCTTCATCACACACAGATCTCTTATCAGACTACTAACTTCCCTATGAAATAGTGTACATAAAAAGTAAGTACACTCCAGTCGAGGCTGCTGAGGGGAGGACGGCTCATAATAATGGCTGGAACGGAGTAAATGGAATGTCATCAAACACATGGAAACCATGTGTTTGATGTATTTGATACCATTATACCTAATCTGCACCAGCCATTACCATGAGCCCGTCCTCCCCAATTAAGGTGCCACCAACCTCCTGTGATACACTCCAACCAAAGGGAGCCTATGAAGGGAACAAGTGTGCGAACGCCCTGAGTCGAAGTGTTAATCCTAGTCACCATGTTTTTGTGTTATCTTGGGCCCGGACCGGACTCCTAGTCAATTTAGCATATGACCTTCATTGTAGCCCACAATCAAAATAGAGAAGGGTAAACGATACAAGAGCAGGTGTGGCGCACACATGATAAAATATATCTATTTATATATACAGTATGACTGGGGATGGGAGGTTTTCCTGACCCTGTGAGCCAACCAGGTTAAACTCCAGACCCAATCAGGGAACAACTCTGGGCCTCACGGTCAGATAACATGGTCAGAAGAAACTCCTGGCCCTGAATAGGTCATTCACCAGACACAGAAAGCATGATGGAAAAGGCCGGATACATACATCAGCTATAACTAAGGTGGCGTCAATAAACAAATAAATTAATACAATGTATAAATACACAGGATAGAAAGAAATAACTCATGACAATCTGCTTCCCAAATGGCACCCTATTCTCTATAGTGCCCTACTTTTGACCAGAACCTTATGGGCCATGGTCGAAAGTAGTGCATAGGGTGCCATTTGGGACACAATCAGGGATAAAAAGTTCAACACATTAAGTTGTACAATAAGATTTTTAAAAAGAGTGGAAACTGAACAGCTTTGGCTGATAAATCTGTAGCTAGTCATCATTTGTACAGTTCAAACTGATTTACTGATTTGATCACCCAACACAGACAGGTAGCCTGGTGGGTGAATCTTTCTGCTTTTAGGCCGGGATTCAATCAGAAACTGTGCTTTAGCGCGCTTGACATAGGTCATTTCCAATTGAGTCGACATCCGCAGCGTTTACCTTAAATGCGATCTCCACGAACCCAGTAACATTGCCTTTGAAAGCAGCATTGTCTACAAGCGTGATCTGATTGAATCCCGGACTTAGTCAGCTTGTGCGTTGTTGCTGTTGAGGTCGAATGCAGAAACATGCACCCAAGCTAGTAAAAAGGCAACTGAATGATATGAAGCACCTTCAGAATAACCTGGGACGCTCTAGAAGGTATTCTAATCCAGAACACCACAGACAAAACCTTGTTAGTTACAGTAGAAGATAGTCCCTCTTTAGTACAGTACTCTGGTGGGAAGAACAGGATGTAAGTATGTACACAGGGATCGAACCAGTCTATGATGATTTATGATTATAAAACAACAAACCCTTTCCTACAGTACATGAGTTTCAAAGTGGCATGCTAGCACATTCTTCAAATACAATTGACCTAAATAAGACTAATTCAGTTGTACTTTTTCAATGTAAATTAAATTAATATTTATTATTTATTGCATTACAGCAGGAGGATTGCCCTTGGCTTAGCTCGGGAGTCGGAGCATGTGTGTGAAACAAAGAAAACATTTGTTAGAAAGTAAAAATCACATCAAATACTTCTTCTTACATCCTTGTTTAGAAAATGCCATGTTCATTATCTGGCAAAAGGCTGGGTTATAGAGAGTAGCCTTGAGAATGTGTTGACAAATGCTTAGTGTGTTTCCCTAGGTTCCCCATATTGACTTGAATACAGTTTCCTCCAGACGTCACCTGATGGTAGGCATTTTCTACTCTTTGTACTGGGATACTCTACTCTTTGTATTGGGATACTCTACTCTGGTATTGGGATACTCTACTCTGGTATTGGGATACTCTACTCTGGTATTGGGATACTCTACTCTGGTATTGGGATACTCTACTCTGGTATTGGGATACTCTACTCTGGTATTGGGATACTCTACTCTGGTATTGGGATACTCTACTCTGGTATTGGGATACTCTACTCTGGTATTGGGATACTCTACTCTGGTATTGGGATACTCTACTCTGGTATTGGGATACTCTACTCTGGTATTGGGATACTCTACTCTGGTATTGGGATACTCTACTCTGGTATTGGGATACTCTACTCTGGTATTGGGATACTCTACTCTGGTATTGGGATACTCTACTCTGGTATTGGGATACTCTACTCTGGTATTGGGATACTCTACTCTGGTATTGGGATACTCTACTCTGGTATTGGGATACTCTACTCTGGTATTGGGATACTCTACTCTGGTATTGGGATACTCTACTCTGGTATTGGGATACTCTACTCTGGTATTGGGATACTCTACTCTGGTATTGGGATACTCTACTCTGGTATTGGGATACTCTACTCTGGTATTGGGATACTCTACTCTGGTATTGGGATACTCTACTCTGGTATTGGGATACTCTACTCTGGTATTGGGATACTCTACTCTGGTATTGGGATACTCTACTCTGGCAGTGTTTCCCCTACATGCATTTTTTGTTTTTATATATATAACTTTTGGGATGGTAAAATATTTTCAGTGTGAACTTAAACGACTAAAACCAGATATAATGTATGTAGAAAAGATAATGGAGCAATATCTTTTTTAATTCGATCATCTTTGAGGACTAAAATTCCCAAAATGTCATGGCATTGATATTGTTATAATGTTTGAGTCACTCAGATAGCATAAGAACATGGCATAAGCCATAGCAAAATGTGTAGAATTGCAGGAAATTAGCTTTAAATCTGTCAAATGTTCTCTCCGCCCCATGGCAAAATGTCCCCCCCGCTGAAGGAACATGCTGAAGTGTGATAATCCCTTTGTGATACAGTGTGAGACCGTAACCCCATCCCCAAGCAGGGACTACAGTAAAACATTCCCCAGGCCTTCAATAACATTCCACAATATTATAAATACTTCTCATTTTTTGTTTGTCTTTCTCTTAAAAGCAAAAAAGAAAGAAAATGATTTGGGATTAAAAAATAAAAATAAAAAATAAAAATACCATTACACAATTTAAACAAGGATCCAATAGCGGTTTGGTTGAGGTTAGCGCTACCTGCTAGGAGCCAGTGCTTCCAGGCTGAGGTGGGTTGAGTGCTCCTGGGTTTAGGTCGATGGCCACTGAGGAGGAGTGCGATTACAGGCTTGAGGTAGAAGTTCCCCTCAACCACAGATCTAGGATCATATTACCCTTTCTCCAATCCTAACAAACAGAGGGATGAGAAACGATCTGACCCAGTGTCAGCAGTTAGAACCAACTTCGACCTACTCCAGATTCTGGGGCATCCAATTTTCCCCGAGGGCTGATTGGTTCCCAGCATGTATTGCCACGCCCCTCTGTTCATTGTCTGAGCCAATCAGAAGGGAGAGTTCATCCCTAGTTTGGTCTCAAACTGTAGCTTCTGTCTCTTCTGGTAGCGAACCCTCACCCTGCAGACAGAAGGAATGGACAGATCAACACATAAGAACCGTTTTTCCCCCCACATGACATTATCCCACCATCCTCTCCCCTTCTTTCCTCCCCTCACCCTCCCTCTCCTCTCCTCTCCTTCCTCATCTTACCGTATCTCGTGTAGTTTGACGGCCTCATTGAGCAGCACCACCACCAGGGAGGACAAGGAGACCAGCAGCCAGGCCAGCATGGGGATGTCCTTCAGGTCAAAGGTCAAATGTCCCGACCGGTCCTGCCACAGCTGGTAGTCCACCGTGGCCTGCACCAACTGACCCAGAAGACTGGAGGTGGGGAGGAAGGGAGGGGAAGACCGAAAGAGTGAGAAAAGAGTATCAGTTGATGCCAAAAAAGCGGAAACTTCTCTATTGCAGCTGCTGCTTAATACTTGTTCGAAACAGTTAGGCTACACAGGCACACACTTACACAATAGGGACAGTGAGGCACCACCAGGTGTTGCTGAAGGGGTTCTTCTTCCACAGCGGCTGGGAGCGATGGACATAGCTCAGAGAGATGACCACTGGGAAAGAGGGAGGGCGAGAGAAATATAAATAAAATAAAATGTAAAGATACGCACATGAACCTGGGCTCTCCAGGAGCAGGATAGAAGCCACTGAGGCTACGTCTGAAATGGCAACCTATTCCCTCTATATAGTGCCCTGGTCAAAAGTAGTGGACTATATAGGAAATAAAGTGCCATTTGGGATACAACCTGACTTGATAGATGCAGGGGTGAGAGTGCCACAGAGAGCTCCTCCTACCTGTGTGCAGGGCCAGGAACCCAGCCATGACCTTCTGAGTGAGCAGCAGGCCGTTGGACAGCTCCCTGAACCAATGGGGAGCGTCGTGAGCTGAACTGACCCTGAGGATATCAGTACAGCTGATGGTGGTGTTCTCTGCCAGTGTTAGGTTGTTGGCCCTCAGGCAGACCTCGTGCAGCGTGAAGCCAAAGCCCAGCAGGTAGGCACACACGGTCAGGCCAAACTTCAACAGGAAACAACCCAGGAAGTAGTTCTGCGTCTGCAGTAAGTAGACATACACAAATCAAGATGTTAAAAGGAATGCCATGGTACACATGTCATGATTAAGATATCGATAATACACATCTGATTCAGAACTAGAAGAGGTGAAGGGCGCATATTTGGAGTTGGCCAATCATGAAAATCCTTATAAACTTAGCGTAGTCTAAAGCAGGGCTCTCCAACCCTGTTCCTGGAGAGCTACCCTCCTGTAGGTTTCCGCTCCAACCCAAGCTGTAACTAACCTGATTCAGCTTATCAACCAGCTAATTATTAGAATCAGGTGCGCCAGATTAGGGTCGGAGAGAAAGCCTACAGGACGGTAGCTCTCCAGGAACAGCCCTGGTCTAAAGTGTAAAGTGATATGTCTAAAACCGGGCTGGTGTGGGTAAACTATAGTACGTACCTTTCTGGGGATGGCATCTTGGTTCTTCCCTGTGGCCACGTTCATCACAGAACCTTCTGGTGGCTTTCCTAAAAATGACACACTGCCAACACAACACACATAGACATGGTTATCATGTATAATGCTGTTATACTATATAGAATTTGAGTGTGAAACCTATATGGTTAGTAGCAGTGGTACCTGAGCAGCGGACAGCTGAAGCAGGACAGCCAGAGGATGTCAGTGATGTTCATGGGAGGAGGGAGCTGGGCTAGGCAGGCCAGAAACTACACAACGGGAGGGAAAAACAATACCTTCATCAAATATTCAGTTAAAACTGTTGCATCCCCAGCTCTTTTATTATAGCAAAAATAAACAGCATTAGTATTTCAAGAATGCTTTAGCGAGGCGAAGTATAGTTGTGTTCTCTCTCACCTGGATGAGGACCAGGGTCAGCTGACACTGCAACAGGAAGAGAAAGCTCTTGCGGATGCCGTACGTGGTGTGACGCGCCTGGAAGGGAATCATACACGTAAAATACATATATTGTATCTCTGTGTGTGTGTATGCGTGCGCGTATGTGTCTCACCTGTTCTATGAGTTTGACCATGCTGACAGACTCCCCCTGGTGGAAGGTGACAGAAGAGGCCAGGGTGTTGAGTTGACCAGACAGACTGAGGGGAGACAGACCCTCCATCTCCCCGTTCAGCCCTGCTCCTGTAGCGTAGCCAAACGTCTCCCACGAACACCGAGACGGGTACAGGGGGTCCAGGGCAATGCTGGGGGGAGGACAGGAGGGAAAAGAGGGTTAGGAAACTGTTTTTTGTTGTTATTTATCTTTGTTTATCAGGAACAGTGTGACTCTTCATGAAGCAGTTGTGTAATGTGGTTGTAAGTGAATGTATGGATGCACACCATAGACTATTTATAAATGAACTAGGCAATAGCTGCTGTGTTTGTGACATGCGTTTGTTTCATGTGACTGTGTGTACCTGAGGTCGCTCTGTAGGAAGAGGCAGCTATTGCGGAAGTTGGCGGAGCTCCCCAGGCAGCACGTCACCTCTCTGTTCTCCTGCATGATCTTTATCATCTCACACATGGCTACACACACACACAAAGATTTAGAACATGCTAGAACACTCTCACACATGTATACTGAGCAAAAATATAAACGCAACGTGCAACAATTTCAAAGATTTTACTGAGTTACAGTTAAATTAAGGGAATCAGTCAACTGAAATAAATTCATTAGGCCCTAATCTATGGCTTTCACATGACGTGGATCAGAAAACCAGTCAGTATCTGGTGTAATCACCATTTGCCTCATCCTTTGCATAGAGTTGATATGGCTGTTGATTGTGGCCTGTGGAATGTTATCCCACTCCTCTTCAAGGGCTGTGCGAAGTTGCTGGATATTAGCGGGAACTGGGACACGGTCGTACACGTCAATCCAGAGTATCCCAAACATGTGCAATGGGTGACATGTCTGGTGAGTATGCAGGCCATGGAAGAACTGGGACATTTTCAGCTTCCAGGAATTGTGTACATATCCTTGCGTCATGGGGCCGTGCATTATCATGCTGAAACATGAGGTGATGGCGGCAGATGAATGGCACGACAATGGGCCTCAGGATCTCGTCACGGTATCTCTGTGCATTCAAATTGCCATCAATAAAATGCAATTGTGTTCGCTGTCCGTACCTTATGCCTGCCCATACCATAACCCCACCATGGGGCACTCTGTTCACAACGTTGACATCAGCAAACCGCTCGCCCACACAACGCCATACACATGGCCTGCAGTTGTGAAGCCAGTTGGACGTACTGCCAAATTCTCTAAAACGCCATTGGAGGCGGTTTATGGTAGAGAAATTAACATTAGATTTTCTGGCAACAGCTCTGGGGGACATTCCTGCAGTCAGCATGCCAATTGCATGCTCCCTCAAAACTTGAGACATCTGTGGCATTGTGTTGTATGACAAAACTGCACATTTTAGAGTGGCCTTTTATTGTCCCAAGCACAAGGTTCACCTGTGTAATGATCATGCTGTTTAATCAGCATCTTGATATGCTACACCTGTCAGGTGGATGGATTATCTTGGCAAAGGAGAAATGCTCACTAACATGGATGTAAACAAATTTGTGTCTAAAATTTGACAGAAATAAGCTTTTTGTGCGCATGGAAAATTTCAGGGATCTTTTATTTCAGCTCATGAAACCACACTTTACATGTTGCGTTTATATTTTTGTTCAGTGTAGCTTTAACAAGCATAGCTACATTGCATATCTTGTGATTAAATGAACTGATATACCATGGTCAATTGATTTGTATATTAAAGATGGGAATGTCTCTGTACCAAATAAAAAGGTTTTTGAAAAACAGAAAAGGTTGATTCATGTACATGAAGTGAACTGTAATATGTTCTGACTCACTCTCTGGGGTACAGTCGGTGAAGAGAGGCACCAACAGAGGCACGTTGTCAATGTTCTTCAGGTGAGGACGAACCTGGTGGATACCACGAGGTAGCTTCGCCTGGAGAGAGAGAGAGAGAAGGGTTAGCAAGAAACAGGTGTAAGTCACAGTTCCGAAGAGAAGACATGAAGAAAAGAGAAGAGAGAAGGAAAGACAAACAGTATTTGTCCTGTACTCTGTTGCAGTCTTCCAGGAAGCTGGGAACATCAGCAGTCTCCTCCTCTGGTAACAACGGCCCCTCTGCCTCATCTCGGGAGTCTTGGTGCAGGTCATCATGTAGGGAGTCCTGGCCGGGGCTGTTAGGGGCGCCATCACAGGGACTGTCCCTGTTTGGGGTCAGAGAGATGTGACAGTTCCACCCTGTCTCCAGGCCCATCTTCTCTGCAAACACCTTACACATACACAGGACAGACAGGCAGACATCATTATCACCATTGTCATCACCATCATCAGCATCTTCTCAGCAAACACCTAACACACCATACAGGACCACATCATCACCATCATCACAAACATCTCAGCAAACACACCCACCTTGCTGCGTAGTTCATCCTCCATAGAGAAGTAAACAAAGCGTATGCAGGCGGTGACCAGAGCGTCTATGAGCCTGACCGTGTCCAGACGAGCCTGGAACTGTGATGACACCATCCCCATGAAGATCTGACCACTCAGAGCCTGAACACAGTCATCCTTCTCCACACCTTCTCCTATACCCTCTATGGAGAGATGTAGGGGGAGAGAGAGAGAAAGAGAGGAGGGGGACAAGACACAAAAATAAATACAAGCAAAAGTCACACTAAGGTACAACACAAAACACATATTGTAGCTGCACCTCCCTCACTGCATCATCCTCTCTTCACATTCTCTCCTCTCTCCTCCCTCAATCCCTCTCGACTCTCCTCCCTTACCATCAGAGCTCCAGGAATTCCTGCGGGAGCCGTATTTGATAGGGGTGGTGGAGGGCAGTTCAACCCCAGAGAAGAGGTTGGGGCCGGGGGCTAGCTCCACACATTTCCCATTGAGCTGGTTGGACAGGGACACCTGCATGGGCTTGTAGGCAAAGGCAGAGCAGTAGCCCGACAGACAGGCACGCTGGTAGAAGTCCAGAACTTTCTTCCTGTAGGGGGGTAGACATATAAAGAGTTAATAATGCATGTAGGCTTTTATGTTTGTTGTGGTATAGTGTGATATAAGCAGAATTCAATATAATTCCAATGCAAGAACCCAAATGGCGCCCCTGGGTATAGCTACATATCGGTATGTTTCATCATAGAAATAAATACATTATGGTTTTCTTGGTAGCCTATTGGTTTTCATGGTTGTAAATTGAACTGTACGTATTGGAAACGTGTTTATGGTAGACTGGCATTGCTTACGTGGGTCGAATTTGATTCACGTAAGCGTATTGTGACATATCACAACGTGTTTCTGTACTCATCAGTGGCATGGTTTTCCATGTTTGAAGCGGGCCTATAGGTCTATTTGTTTGGCAAGACAGCTGTGCATGGCTGCATCTCACTGTAGTAGGCTGTGTTTGGTTATTTGGATCTCCATTCGCCTTTTGTTTACTGCGTTTGTTTACTGTAACTAGCCTAAATATAGATTGTGTCATGCCTTTATCGATCTGATATTTTGTTTACTAGGCCTACTTGGTACCGCTGTTTTGTTCTGTTTGCATTCATTCGTTCGCATTCGCAGTTGTGTCGGCATTCTAAGCCAAACTGCTATTCAGTATTGTTGTTTGCACGCATGAATAACAAGGCTACTACTTTCAGCATTTAGTTTGCATTATTTTGGCAAGACAGCTGTGTGTATGGTTGCATTCACATAGGCTGTTTGTAATAGTTGAATTACCCTATCTTGTAGCCTATATTCTTTACCAAAACGGCCTTGCTTTTGTGTGTTGGGCACTGTTCATTGGGCTGATATAGCGCAGTGGATATAGGCTACAGATCTTACACCAACCTGACACTTCAAAAGCACTCAATCAATGGTCCCGGAGAATCTCGACATTTGAACTTTATGTTTATTGTGGTATAGTGTGATATAAGCAGAATTCAATATAATTCCAATGCAAGAACCCCCCCAAATTGTGCCCCCTCATCAATTTCAACTGCCCCCTTAGTCACATTATCCTGGCACCAGGTCTGCTTATTAGGTTGTTATAAGGCTGCTATAAGGCTGTGATAAGACTACATAAGGTTGTCATCAGGCTGCTATAAGGCTGTTCTGACCTGTCGGAGCCAGAGAGGGGGTAGATGTCGGATCCGTCCCAGACGTCAGTGCAGGCCTCCAGGATGAGGTCAGCTGAGCCGTGAGACAACATCTGGACGTTATCTAGGGTTGAGAGGTCAGGGGTCAGAGGTCACAGAGGTGCAACAAAACAATTCCAAGAAAGAGGTGAAGGCTAAAGAAGAGGAGGGTAAGAGATGGAGAGAGCGAGTGAGAAACCAGAGAGATGGCGTGAGACAGAGAGACAAGTGAGAGGGAAGAAAGACAAAAAGAACAAAAGCGCTATAGAGCTATTCTCACTGGAAGAGGAGTCTCTGATGAAGAGGGAAATGAGGTGGCTGATGGGAGGTTGTCTCTTGGTGAAGTTGTGTAGGCGTCGAGGGACAGACTCCTTGGCCTTCTCCCCACAGGGCAGCTGGTACAGAGCTAGGTGGTTCTCCTGTTTAAACAGCTCCCTCGCCCCGGGAGTGAACCCTGAGAATCACACAGGAAGAAAAAGAGTGGAAGAGAAGGGGTCAGTGTGTGTGGTGTTCTGTATGAGGCTGGAGAGTTCACATAGTCCACAGGGTAAGTGCATAGGTGTGTGTGTGTGTCTGTATGCATGCGTGCGTACGTACGTGTGTGCGTACATGTGTGCGTACATGTGTGTGTGTGTGTGCGCGCGCGCATCTCTTCCCTTCCTTCTCCTCACCTATAAGCCTGGACAGCTCACACAGTCCCCAGGGCACGTGGACGGGCAGCACGGCCCCATGGCTCTCTTGCAGTGCCAGGTTACTGAGATGGTCGGAGAAGCGGCAGAGCTGCTGGGTGACGCTGGCATTGCACAGGTTGAGCAGGATGTTGAGGCCCAGGGGCTTGAGGCTGGGCAGGTGACACTGCCAGCCCTGCTCGTCAAACTGGATACTCACCGGGTTCTGCTGGTCCTGTGACAGACTCAGCATCTCCAGGTGGTAGTCACACACGTAGTCCTCCGCTTCGTTGTCACAGCAACCCACCATGTCCTGAGAGAGGGGTGGCGAGAGAGGGGAAAAAGGAGGGGAACGAATTCTGTGTAGTAAGATAGTGATGACAAAAGACTGGTTTACAGGATGTGTGTGTGTGTGTGTGTGTGTGTGTGTGTGTGTGTGTGTGTGTGTGTGTGTGTGTGTGTGCGCATGCGCGTTCATTACCTGTTCAGGGCCCTGGTCCCCTCCCTCTGTGTTGTGGCTGAAGCTGACATTAGATCCTGAGGGGTGTTTGGTGCGTGTCTCCCGCGCCTGCCACCGAGGCTGAACTGTGTCCTCGGAACGGCCAGTGTCATGTGAAGTCTCACTGGGCTCATGCCCGTTCCCCATTCCTTCCATCATTGGCATACACAGCAGAGCCTCCCCCTCCTGGGTCTGACAGATAGGATGAACAGCCACATCAGACAACACTCTTTCAATCACTGAAAAGATTCTATCAACTATCACACGTGTCTCAGTCACTACCTCAGATGTTTAAAGGAAGTAGATCATGGTCTCACGTCAGATAACGTGTCGCGTTAGAATGACGCCCTCTGACAGAAGACAATGGGAACTAGATACTATAACAGAGAGCAATACTATCATCATTGACATTCTATAACTACAGAGGTTTAAATGTCACTTACAGGAATTCATAGCCAATAAGAGCCCTTATATGTAATGGAATGAAACATCTGATTTTAGTATGCAAGAACAGGAGAAGATGAATAATAATTGATGAAAAACACACACACACACACCTCGTCACGGTCATCGTCGGTCTCCATGCGGCAGAAGGAGTTGACTGACAGGTCGTCTCGCAGGTCTTCCTGACTGTCGTTGTGAGGCGGCTCCACGCGACCACTGAAGAACAACACGGTCTCTGGACTGGGGTTAGGCCAGGATAATACACCCTGTTTGTCCACACAACACAACACCTGGAGATAGAGAATATAGTGTTATACCAGTGTTCATTTCGTCAACAAAAATAGTGACGAAAATATTTGTCAAACAACTATTTTTCACTGGCAACTTACGAGACGATAACTGACTAAATAGACCCAGAAATAACTAAACTAAAAAGATTTTTCATTTCTGGTGACGAAAATTTGACTAAATTATTTCGGACTCAAATCTGACTAGTAAATGGACTGGACAGGAGTTTTTGGAGAGATTGAGAGCTTGTCAATGTTATTTGCTTGGTCCAATCAAAAGAATGCATGACAGCAGAAATGTAAGGCTTTCTCATTGCAATGTTGCAATGCTGCAGTCAGGAAATAAATACCATGCCCAGGTCATTCACGAGTCACCTCTCTACATGGCAACCGTTCTACAATCTGGTGGCAACAAATCGTTGATGCAAATAAGGCACACGCCGTGGCTACACTCCCGGTGGTACAAGCTCCCGGTAGAAGAAGAGGCGACATTTGGAGCTACTTTACTTATGTCGATTCAAACAAGACCGAATGCAATGTCTCCACGGGAGAAGACTGCGTTTGCACTGACAAATTGACAGGGAAAAACACAACCATTCTCAAGAAACATCTGAAAGCGAATCATCCCAATATATATATATGCTCAGGTAATAACAGATTGATAATGCTAGCTAGTTAGTTTTCTGCAAACTATCAGGCCACTACTAGGGCTGTTGCGGTCATTACATTTTGTCAGCCTGTAACTGTCATGCAAATAACTGCCGGTCTCACGGTAATTGACCGTTCATTAACATAAACACGTTTACAATCTCCTGGCTTCCACGCATAGCCTACAAACCACTGATGCAGACATTTGGAACATCTACATTTGAAAAAGTCTAACAAATCCATTTAATATAGCCTACACAATCACAATAAATCCATTATTTATTTTAGACAGGTCTAAACAAACTGTAAAAATGCAGCCTATTTCAGAAGAACAGAATAGCATATTCTTAGTTGTCCTTAGGTTATAGGCCCTTATCTGGCTATGCCATATGGCTGTGGGCTACACTAGTTCATTTAGCAGACAAGATTTGCTTAGAATTCTGTGGCATTATTTTATAGTATAAAGAATACAATTGAACATAGCTGAATAAAATAGAAACGTTTCCAGAGGGAGTGCGCACATGCGGCTATTCTGTGTTGAGCGGTTAACAAAGAAACAGGTACTCCTATATGCTTAATTTAAAGTAATTTATGCAACTTTAGTTGTGTACAAAAGTTAGAATGTATTACAAATCTAAAAATATTGCCTAAGGCTGTATGATGCGACTAATGATGATTTGAAAACAGTCACATGAAAGGCATGAGCTCTGCTCTGTTTCTTGCACAGGCTGCACAAACTTCATCAGTCTCTCATTCACAATTTGACAAGTACTTGATAATATTCTCACCAATCAGACTATATTTAATTTAATCTGGTCTTTACATATAGCCTACTAATATACTGTATGTGTGGATTTTTATTTTATTTAGAATGGCCCACAAAAAAAATACGTCATCCATAGCCTGCACTCGAATAGCGAATGGAGGTTACATGCCGTTACCTTTTTAATATGCAAGAATAGGCGGCGAGTCCATTAGGCTAGGGGAAGCTAATCACGGGAAAACATAGTTTGGAAAGCAAATGGTTATTGCTGTAAAGAGAAGACAATGAAAATACTAATCTGTCTTTTAGTTATAACAATTCTCAACATAATTGAGCGAACAACAATTTAGCCTATCTTATTGGCACCAGCGGAGAGCATCGACAATACCCCCGGTGAGTGCGCACTGCACATAATCACTATTTATCATTGTTGGATCAGTGCTACTTAAAAGTTTGTTTTTGGACAATAATTTCCTCCTCCAGTTTAGATGGATGTCATATTCCATTTGTGTCTCCCCTTCTCGTAGGCCTATTATATGGACAACATCATTTTTATTGAATCCGTTTGTCAATGTCAGCAGAGCAGGCTACCCTGTAATTTGTCGTATTAAAAAAGATTCTGCTAATGTGTAATATATTAATATTAGGAAAGTTGAGAAATAAATATAGTAACCTAGGCCCAGCCTATAGAAAGCTGATGGGCTCCTCCTCTTTTTAATAGAGGCCATCAAAACTCTGTTGTTTTCTCACGCAATTGCATAGCCTATAGAAATGTTGTGCAACATGACCTCATGGGCTCTCATGAAGTGTTTGTTTTGATTTTCGATTGCATTTGCATTGATGTCAGCGTGATTAGAGGGACAGTAGAGAGCTGAATACCAGGTCATTAGTGACTGGCAGTTAGCAAGATTGGTAGGCTACTAATGACCATCAACTGCACAGTTTTAGAGAAGTTTAGTTACCGTGACTAAATCACGAGGAATTTGACTGCAGTCATGACTCGTGACCACCGGTGTGGCGGTAATATGTGTCACCGTAACAGCCCTAGCCACTACTTATGACAGAACTTTGATTATAATATAGCTACAGAATGTCAAGGGGAAGGGCTCCAGACTGCGACCATTTAGTAGCATTTTGCAACCTTTTGACTTGGCTGTGCAAGTAAAACAATTGATTTGGTCTCATCAGTGCGAGCTGAACATTCATTACACGGTCACTTGTCTCAAAAGTTTCAAAACTTGATTTGGTCTCCCGAGTGGCGCAGTGGTCTAAGGCACTGCATCGCAGTGCTAGCTGTGCCACTAGAGATCCTGGTTCGAATCCAGGCTCTGTCGTAGCCGGCCGCGACCGGGAGACCCATGGGGCCCATTGTTGCATCCTGGAACTTGCATTTTCTGTTAACCTCTACGGGATCGGTGTCCCATATACGGGACAGTTGAGCTAACGTGCGCTAATGTGATTAGCATGACTATTGTAAGTAACAGCAAACTTTCCAGGACATAGACATGTCTTATTTGGGCAGAAAGCATAAATTCTGGTTAATCTAACTGCACTGTCCAATTTACAGTAGCTATCAGTGAAAAAATACTATGCTATTGTTTGAGAGTGCACAACAACAAAAAACTTATCACGGCAACTGGTTTTGATACATTCACCTCTGAAGGTAAATAATATACTTACATTCAGTAATATTGCTCTGATTTACTCCCAGAGTTAAAATGTAGCATAGTTTGTTTGATAAAATCAATTTTTATATTCAAATGTAGGAACTGGGTTCTACAGTTTGAACCCCTGCTGTCTCTGGCTCCACACCCACCCTGCCCGGCTATCTACATGTGTGAAAGTTAGTGTATAAGCTAATGTTCCATCATGCATGACATTCCTGGGAGTGTGTAAACTTACATTTTGTATTACCATATCATTTTTGTATGTTCTCTATAGTTATGTACTTGAAAATGTATAAATTGACCAATTCGGCACATTTGGGCAGACTTGATACAAAATAATTCAGTATTGCAATGCTTCACTGGATCAATCTGAAACTTTGTACACACACTGCTGCCATCTAGTTGCCAAAATCGAAATTGTGCCTAAACTGCAATATTATTGTGGCCTTTCTCTTGAATTACATCTTTTACCAGATCTAATGTGTTATATTCTCCTACATTAATTTCATATTTCCACAAACTTCAAAGTGTTTCCTTTCAAATGGTATCAAGAATATGCATATCCTTGCTTCAGGTTCTGAGCTACAGGCAGTTAGATTTGGGTATGTCATTTTAGGTGAAAATTGAGAAAAAAAGGGTCCGATCCTTAAGCGGTTAATATGAATGACCATAATCTAAATGTGGTTTCTGTCATTCTGAGCACAGTGGGTAGAGGGCCTAATCAGGTTACACACCCAATGCATATGGGTCCGGTAAATATTTAAAATGTCTGGTAAATTCAAATGTACCCTGTCAAATGTCCTGCGCCACATTTTCCAAACGGAAACCCTGATAAAGATGTAGGCAAATTAATCTCTATTGAACAACAAAATTCATAACATTCTGGAACCCTAGTTAAAAAGTAAAATATAACAATACCTTATTGTCAACCTACAATTCAATGGGTTGGGGTTATCTTTGTATGCATTTCTTTGATTGTTTTTATACCTATAACCCCCCTCTGAAAAAATGTACCAAACTAAATAAAAAGTTGGTCTCCCCAAAAAATTAAATAAAGGTGTGTTCGAAAACTCATACTTACCGCACTACTTGTAATGTGAATTGAGCATATAGTATGCTTATTGGTCATAGTATGGATATAGTTAGTATGCCAAAAGTTCCAGGATGTCGTACTAAATTCGCCAAAATACGAAGTATACATGCAGAGTAATAAAGTAATGATTTTTCAAATAAGTTACGTTACACGTTATGTTGGCTGACAATTTGTTAGCTACGCTATCCTTTTGAACCGCATAGCATTACAGCAGTATGTACCGGTATGTTAGCTAGTTACCTAACGTTAGTTGGCTACTAATACATCAAACTTGCCAGGCAGTATATTAACTATCTGCTATCTAACTAACTACCCAACGTTTAATGACTTGATTATTCACATCATTCTTAGCTAAGTGGTATGGTCGTTGTGCGTTTCAATGGACATTGTCAATTCTGGCTATCTACTCCGATTTCAGAGCACTCTCACGCAGAATAACTAATGAATTTACGAACGCTCAACACCCGTTGAATATGGCCGGTGTCAGTAAACGTCAGCAAAAAAAAGCGTCATTAAATTGTGGCCAGCAGCACAGTTTAAGTCACCAACGCTATTGATAACATGAAAACAGCCTAACCAGCTCTGCTAGGGCGAGTAAAATGGTCAGAGTGAGGTGTTCTCTCATTTGTGTCAACCCTACTCCTCGGCCAGAGCGTCCAGTGTGCGCTCTGAACGCTCCGAGAGCGAAAAGATTTACGAACGCACAGAGCGCACTCTGGCACTCCAGATTGAATTTATAAAGACACCTAAAATCGTAAAATGTTTAGCTAGTCATTTGTTATGCTAACAAGCGAGCAAGAGGTTGCATAGCAACAGCATCAACTTCCAGTAGACGGGCGAAGCTCTAGTACGCTCAACTGAAACGATACCGTTCGTTTACAGTATACTAAAATGAACTAATAGTATATAGTATGTAGTATATACTCATTATGTAGTATACAGTATGTTAGTATGGGTATTCGAACAGCATAAGAGTGCCAAAATGAACACTGTTATACACACACACTGAAGAACAACACTGTCTATGGACTGGGGTTAGGCAGGATAATATATAATGTTATACTGGGGTTAGGAAGGATAATATATCATGTTATACTGGGGTTAGGAAGGATAATATATAATGTTTGTCCACACAACACCTAGAGAGAGCGAGAGAGAGAGCGAGGGTTACACGCACATGCACGCATGTGCACACATACAAACTAGTACTTACAGTGACAGAGCCTAGTGTGTGTAGCAGGCTGGAGGTGTAGCAGAGTGTCTGGGACTCTCCCTTCAGCATCCCCACCAGGTGTCTCCACACACACCGCAGCATCTCCTGCACATGCACACACACACAGTTACGCTACATCACATTTTCACACTACTGAAAAGATAGATATACAAGTCATAGATGACTCAATTTTGTGTTTGTCAGACATTTAAAAAAATATCTCAAATCTGGTCTAATGTTGAAGAGTGCACATCCCTCAACATTGGTTGTGTAGATCTCAATCTGAAATGAATGGTGAAGATACAGTGCATACGGAAAGTATTCAGACCCCTTGACCTTTTCCACATTTTGTTACGTTACAGCCTTATTCTAAAATGGATTACATCGTTTTTTCCCCCTCATCAATATACACACACACACACACAATACCCCATAATGACAAAGCAAAAATAGAGGTTTTAGAATTTAAAAAACAGAAATATCACATTTACATAAGTATTCAGACCCTTTGCTATGAGACTCGAAATTGAGCTCAGGTGCATCCTGTTTCCATTGACCATTCTTGAGCTGTTTCTACAACTTGATTGGAGTCCACCTGTGGTACATTCAATTGATTGGACATGATTTGGAAAGGCACACACCTGTCTATATAAAGGTCCTACAGTTGACATGCATGTCAGAGCAAAAACCAAGCCATGAGGTCGAAGGAATTGTCCGTAGAGCTCCGAGACACGATTGTGTTGAGGCACAGATCTGGGGAAGGGTACCAAAACATTTCTGCAGCATTGAAGGTCCCCAAGAACACAGTGGCCTCCATCATTCTGAAACGGAAGAAGTTTGGAACCACCAAGACTCTTCCTAGAGCTGGCCGCCCGGCCAAACTGAGCAATTTGGGGATAAGGGCCTTGGTGAGGGAGGAGACCAAGAACCCGATGGTCACTGACAGAGCTCAAGAGTTTCTCTTTGAAGATGGGATAACCTTCCAGAAGGACAACCATCTCTGCTGCACTCCACCAATCAGGCCTTTATGGTAGAGTGGCCAGACAGAAGCCACTCCTCAGTAAAAGGCACCTAAAGGACTCTCAGACCATGAGAAACAAGATTCTCTGGTCTGATGAAACCAAGATTAAACTCTTTGGCCTGAATGCCAAGCGTCACGTCTGGAGGAAAGCTGGTACCATCCCTACGGTGAAGCATGGTGGTGGCAGCACCATGCTGTGGGAATGTTTTTCAGTGGCAGGGACTGGGAGACTAGTCAGGATTGAGGGAAAGATGAACGGAGCAAAGTACAGAGAGGTCCTTGATGAAGACCTGCTCCAGAGTACTCAGGACCTCAGACTGGGGCAAAGGTTCACCTTCCAACAGGACAACGACCCTAAGCACACAGCCAAGACAATGCAAGAGTGGCTTCGGGACAAGTCTCTGAATGTCCTTTAGTGGCCCAGCCAGAGCCCGGACTTGAACCCGATCGAACATTTCTGGAGAGACGCGAAAATAGCTGTGCAGCGACGCTCCCAATCCAACATCGCAGAGCTTGAGAGGATCTGCAGAGAAGAATGGGAGAAACTCCCCAAATACATGTGTGCCAAGCTTGTAGCGTCATACCCAAGAAGACTTGAGGCTGTAATCGCTGCCAAAGGAGCTTCAACAAATTACTGAGTGAACGGTCTGAATACTTATGTAAACATGATTTCAGTTTTATATCTTTAATACATTTGCTAAAATTTCTAAAAACTTGTTTTTGCTTTGTCATAATGGGGTATTGTGTGTAGATTGATGAGGGAAAAAAAACAATTTAATCCATTTTAGAATAAGACTAATGTAACAAAATGTGGAAAAAGTCAAGGGGTCTGAATACTTTCCGGATGCACTGTAAGCATCATTATATTCCTCAATCAAAAACCTGCAGAAATTCCAAAGACTATGCACACTATTGACACATTGAAATCCATAATAATGTCTTTAAAAAGCTAATTTTCATGAAAGAACGACTTTTTCAAAGTGAAAAGGCAGGGCCTACCGAAAAACATTCAATCAGTCAAGACTTGCAACTAAGACAATTGAGTAGAGCTGATACCATAGTATGGGAGGACAGACTGCAGGGTTAGACGAAGCACATTAAATAGCCTTTATGCTCTGTTGCAGGCAGTAGCATCTACAGTATAGTGAGCTGTATTACTAGTGGCAAAGTGGAAAATAAATCATCTCAAGAACACCTCAAACTTTCCCAAAAGGTTTGGAACCTCAATGCGAGTAAACACCGTATTGGTAGACGTCTTGTGTCTGACCTAATACTCTCAGATGCTTCCTTTCCTTATGAAATCATATTACTCCCACCAATTACGTCCTGTCCAGATTAGTGATCATCAAGTAAAGCACTTGAGGAAAGGACATGAGGAAAGGAAGCTGTTTGAGAGTAAAAGGAGACAGCTAGTGGGGCTGATTTTGCCATCATGCATTGCAAGCAGGCGAGCAGAGGTGGCAGGCACAGGCTAGGGGCCAATCCAGAACCAAGCTCGAGCCCTTCCCCTTATAGCGGGAAGGGGGCTGGCGGTTAGTTCATGACTGGGCCAATGTGTCAGTAACAGAGCAGGGGGCTGGTGGGGACTGAGGTTCGTGGGGGTCGAAGCGTTACGTGATCAGGTGAAGAAATGTTATGAGGACAAATTGCAAAAAGAAGATTAGTCAAATTTGCCCTCCCATCAGGGAAGATCTGATTGGCTGACAGATAGAAATGCCGAAGAGACAAGATACACTACCGGTCAAAAGTTTTAGAACACCCACTGATTCAAGTTTTTTTTTATTTTTACTATTTTCTACATTGTAGAATAATAGTGAAGACATCAAAACTATGAAATAACACATATGGAATCATGTAGTAACCAAAAAAGTGTTAAACAAATCAAAATATTTTATATTTGAGATTCTTCAAAGTAGCCACCCTTTGACTTGACAGCTTTGCACACTCTTGGCATTCCCTCAACCTGCTTCATGAGGTAATCACCTGGAATGCATTTCAATTAACAGGTGTGCCTTGTTAAAAGTTAATTTGTGGAATTTCTTAAGCCAATCAGCTGTGTTGTGACAAGGTAGGGTTGGTATACAGAAGATAGCCCTATTGATAAAAGACCAAGTCCATATTATGGCAAGAACAGCTCAAATAAGCAAAGAGAAACGACAGTCCATTATTACTTTAAGACATGAAGGTCAGTCAATACTGAACATTTCAAGAACTTTGAACGTTTCTTCAAGTGCAGTCGCAAAAACCATCAAGAGCTATGATGAAACTGGCTGAGGACTGCCACAGGAATGGAAGACCCAGAGTTACCTCTGCTGCAGAGGATAAGTTCATTAGAGTTAACAGCTTCAGAAATTGCAGCCCAAATAAATGCTTCATAGAGTTCAAGTAACAGACATCTCAACATCAACTGTTCAGAGGAGACTACGTGAATCAGGCCTTCATGGTTGAATTGCTGCAAAGAAACCACTACTAAAGGACACCAATAAGAAGAAGAGACCTGCTTGGGAAAAGAAACACGAGAAATGGACATTAGACCGGTGGAAATCTGTCCTTTGGTCTGATGAGTCCAAATTTGAGATTTTTGGTTCCAACCGCCGTGTCTTTGTGAGACGCAGAGTAGGTGAACGGATGATCTCCGCATGTGTGGTTCCCACCGTGAAGCATGGAGGAGGAGGTTTGATGGTGTGGGGGTGCTTTGCTGGTGACACTGTCAGTGATTTATTTAGAATTCAAGGCACACTTAACCAGCATGGCTACCACAGCATTCTGCAGCAATACGCTATCCCATCTGGTTTGCACTTAGTGGGACTATCATATGTTTTTCAACAGGACAATGACCCAACACACCTCCAGGCTGTGTAAGGGATATTTTACCAAGAAGGAGAGTGATGGAGTGCTGCATCAGATGACCTGGCCTCCGCAATCACTCGACCTCAACCCAATTGAGATGGTTTGGGATGAGTTGGACCGCAGAGTGAAGGAAAAGCAGCCAACAAGTGCTCACCATATGTGGGAACTCCTTCAAGACTGTTGGAAAAGCATTCCTCATGAAGTTGGTTGAGAGAATGCCAAGAGTGTGCAAAGCTGTCATCAAGGCAAAGGGTGGCTAATTTGAATAATCTAAAATATATTTTGATTTGTTTAACACTTTTTGGTAAAAATAAAGAAAAACCCTTGAATGAGTAGGGGTTCTAAAACTTTTGACCGGTAGTGTATCTCGTCATGCCAGATGAAGAAAATTAATAAAATAAGAGAAAGGATGCCAAACTAAATAGATGATTGGAGTCCTAAACTCGAACAACAAAAGAAGATGAGTGAGGGTGTGTGTGTGAGCTGCGTACAGGGTTTCATGGTGGGAGGTGCAGTGGCGAGAGCGGGCAGCGTGAGGACAGGGGGGAGGGCAAGAAGGGAGGAGTTGAGAGGTTATACCTGGGAGGACACCACTTCAGTGTAGCTGCTTAGAGTATCCTCAGAGAACTTAGCAAGCTGGGGTGAGAGAAGAGGCTAGTTAAACCACACAGGAGCCTCTGTGTCTCGCATGGCACGTGCGTGTGTGTGTGTATGCGCATGTGTGTCTCACCAGGCCAGTAGGAGAAGCTCTGCTGGACTCAGCCAGGACGCTAGCCTCTCCATAGGCATTGACCAGCACCCACATGACAGGAAACAGAAGGGGAAGGATGGGCAGCACTCCCATCAGCTGGAATACACACAACACAACACTTATTACAATAGGGAGAATCTGCTATTTCTGGTATATATTTTATTTCACATCATCTCTGGATGAGATTCTGTCCCCACAGGTTAAGCCTACCCTGCTATATCATGTATGAAAAATAAGGAGAAGAGGCCCAGCCAAGAAGATGTGTTGAGTCTCCATACCTGCAGCTGGATGAAGTTGAAGCGTCCAGGAGTGAGGCTGGGGGCGTCACAGAAATAACGCACTGTATTCACAACCAAGAACGCCACCTATAGAAGGTGAGAGGCATGACATATGAAGGACTGCATCCAGTAGATATAAAGAAACTGTGCATGCGCGTGTGTGCTTGTGTCTCACCAGTACTATAGGGCAGGCGAACCTGGCCATGATGGACTGCACGGTGAACCTCTCATTATCCAGGGCTGTGATTGGTCGAGACAGAGCCAGGTCCAGACTGTTCCTGTAAAGTACAGAATGGAATTCAGCCAGGGTGTCAGTCATTTTAGATAACTTTATGGGACGGTTTACTGGACCTATGCAGATTAAGCCTAATCCTGGACTGAAAAGCATGCCGTTTAGTGCAAGAGTAGGCTTAATCTGGGTATGGGACACTGCTTAAAAAGGACACACTGAGCAGTCACAATCACAAGTGACAATTTCAGGCTTCCTTCGACTCTAGTTTCATGATTTGCGCAAACTATCCTTGAGTTGAATTCTTGGACCTCCAATAACAATAAACTTGATTTGTATAGCGCTTTTCAATACAAGTAACAAAGTGCTTCACATCATAAAATAATCAAATAAAAGTACTAACAAAGAAACAAAGACGGGAGGAAGGAACATGAAACTAGATTGTTGGATAGCAAACTAGCTAGTGGTGAATTATTACCCCAAACTCATTCACCTCACAATCAAAGTTTGTCAGACTGTCCAGCCTCAAAAGTGGACGCATTACCCACCTGACACTGTCGAGGATGGGGGTGCGGACCACCCTGAAGAGGCGGTGCTGCTGGGGGCTCTGGGGACCCCTCTTCTGGTCCCCCCGGGGGGAGGGAGGAGGGGAGAGAGGTGGGAACAGGTCACCTGGCTCCAGAACTATATGCTCATCATCCTAGAGAAAGGAAGGGAGATGTTGAGGATATAGGGAGTGAATACAGGTGAGAGACATACACTACCCTTCAAAGGTTTGGGGTCACATAGACATTTCCAAGTTTATCATTTTAAAAGGCTAATTGATCATTAGAAAACCCTTTTGCAATTATGTTAGCACAGCTGAAAACTGTTGTGCTGATTAAAGAGGCAATAAAACTGGCCTTCTTGAGACTAGTTGAGTATCTGGAGCATCAGCAATTGTGGGTTCGATTACAGGATCGAAATGGCCAGAAACAAATAACTTTCTTCTGAAACTCGTCAGTCTATTATTGTTCTGAGAAATGAAGGCTATTCCATGCGAGAAATTGCCAAGAAACTGAAGATCTCGTACAAGGCTGTGTACTACTCCCTTCACAGAACAGCGCAAACTGGCTCTAACCAGAATAGAAAGAGGAGTGGGCGGCCCCGGTGCACAACTGAGCAAGAGGACAAATACATTAGAGTGTCTAGTTTGAGAAAAAGATGCCTCACAGGTCCTTAACTGGCAGCTTCATTAAATAGTACCCGCAAAACACCAGTCTCAACGTCAACAGTGAAGAGACGACTCCGGGATGCTGACATAGGCAGATTTGCAAAGAAAAAGTCCAGTGTCTGTGTTCTTTTGCCAATCTTAATCTTTTATTGGCCAGTCTGGGATATGGCTTTTTCTTTGCAACTCTGCCTAGGTCAGCATCCCGGAGTCGCCTCTTCACTGTTGACGTTGAGACTTCTGTTTTGCGGGTACTATCCTGTAATCGAACCCACAATTGCTGATGCTCCAGATACTCAACTAGTCTCAAGAAGGCCAGTTTTATTGCTTCTTTAAAATCAGCACAACAGTTTTCAGCTGTGCTATCACAATCGCAAAAGGGTTTTTTAATGATCAATTAGCGTTTTAAAATGATAAACTTGGATTAGCAAACACAACGTGCCATTGGAACACAGGACTGATGGTTGCCGATAATGGGCCTCTGTACGCCTATGTAGATATTCCATTAAAAATCTGCCGTTTCCAGCTACAATAGCCATTTACAACATTAACAATGTCTACACTGTATTTCTGATAAATGTGATGCTATTTTAATGGACAGAAAAATTGCTTTTCTTTCGAAAACAAGGACATTTCTATGTGACCCCCAACTTTTGAACGGTAGTGTACACATACCTCATCCTCTCGCCGTACCTTGATTTTGTATTTGTATTTATTATGGATCGCCAAGGCAGCAGCTACTCTTCCTGGGATCCAGCAAAGTTAAGGCAGTTACACAATTTTAAAAACATTACAATACATTTCACAACACATTAAGTGTGTGCCCTCAGGCCACTACTCGTCTACCACATATCTACAATACAAAATCCATGTGTACGTGTGTGTATAGTGCGTATGTTATCATGTGTTTGTGTACGCATGCGTCTGTGCCTGTGTCTCTCTTCACAGTCCCCCCTGTTCCATAAGGTGTATTTTTATCTGGGGTTTTTCAAATCTAATTTTACTGCTTGCATGAGTTACCTGATGTGGAATATAGTTCCATGTAGTCATGGTTCTATCTAGTACTGTGCTGGACTTGGGGACTGTGACGAGTCCTCCGGTGGCATTTCTTGTGAGGTATGCATGGGAGTCCGAGCTGTGTGCTAGTAGTTTAAACAGACCGCTCGGTGCATTCAAAATGTCAATACCTCTCACAAATACAAGTAGTGATGAAGTCAATCTCTTCTACCTTGAGCCAGGAGAAAAAAATGACTGATGCCTCTGAGGAAAGCAATGCCCTCCTGTCCCGGTCTCAGTGCTATGATGTCTCCCTCTACCCGTCCTCTCCTCCCTCCATCCCTCTTTTCCCATTCTCTTCACCCCTCTCTCCATACCTTGATGCCTCTGAGGGAAGCGAAGGCCTCCTTTCCTGGACGTAGTGCTATGACGTCTCCCTCCACCAGTAGGGACACAGGCAGGTTGACCAGCTTGGAGTCGCGGTAGGTCCAGTGGAGCGACCAGGAGGGGGAGGAGGGGGTGTACAGGTCAGGGTAGAGGGAGGGAGACCACCTCACCCCATCACCCAAATCCGCCCAGCCCGACAGGTAGTCTGGAGGAGGGAGAGTGCGGAGGGTAAATTAAAAGATAGGATCACAAAACAAAAATGGTGGAAACATGCCAACCTCAAGTAAAGTAGTGTTAATTTCTCAATGTTTTCCCTCCATTTAAATCTCCAACTGTCCTAATGTCAACTCTTCTCCTCCCTATCTCCTCCCCCTCTCCTTCTTCCTCCATCCCCCTCTCCACTCTTCCGTTCACCGTTGAGCTGATTGATGATGCTGTTGAGCCGGTGCACCATCTCAGTCTTCCTCAGCCTCTGCTGTCGACCAATCAGCATGAAGCTCAGCGTGAAGAGCAGGAGGAGGGCCGCAGCGTTCACCAACTCTATCCCAGAACTGGAGAGAAGAGGACGATATGTCAATTTTCACTCACTGTTTTGTCTTCCTGTGTTTCACAACCTTAGTTCACCTTGAGGTATCTCTGACAGGAATATTTGGGTTGAAGTTACAGAGGAGCAGTGTAACTAATAAACACTAAGGCTGGCCCAACTGCCCTATAACCGTGTAACCGACGGTTATGGATGAAGAACATCCTGAAAATAGAATGAACAGCTGACTGAAGACGGGACCGCCAGGCATTCGTGAGGTTGAGTCGGTATCTGCGGAAACATGGACTCTTAACAATGTGATGAAACTTTGTTGCTCCTTGCTGAACTTTGCTGCTCTGTGTTGTAGCAAACGAGTCTTCGGTTGCCTAGGCCAGTGTTTCCCAACTCCGGTCCTCGAGTACCCATAACAGTACATCTTTTTGTTGTGGACAAGCACACCTGATTCTACTCGTCAACTAATCATCAAGCCCTTGACAAGTTGAATCAGGTGTTTTTGTCCGAGGCTACAATAAATGTGTGTGTAGTTATGGGTACTCGAGGACCGGAGTTGGGAAACACTGTTCTAGGCAACGCCCCTCTCCCTTCAGCAGCAGCACACATCAAAAATAATGAATAGAACGGGCATGGAACCTCTAACCCTGGCAATTTGACTGGTAAACTCATGGATACACTCGCAATGGCTGCCTGGTACTTTGATGCAATAATTTCCATGGTAATGTAGAATGTTCATTCAAATGATGTTAACTGATGTGGCTCATGCAATGGAATGTATTTTTTGTAAATCCAGTTGAAATCAACAAATCACAGCACATAGAGGAGCATCGCATTAGTACACTTCTTGCTTTTACTTCCTGCTTTGCTCCCACGGGTACACTCGGCAATGGCCACCAGTCCACACATTATGCTATCATTGACTTGAATGGGGATGCCAGTTCTATTTCTATGGCAGCACATGCAATCATGAGCGGAGGAGAGGAGAAAATGTGTCTTAAAAAAAAAAAAGGGTGACACTTTCCTTGACACCCAGCGTCATAACGGTCATAACTGCTGACATTACCTGTGATAATATTGTCATAACACTGTCATGACACATATTCAGACCTGTTGTGGCATATATTGCGTTATTTTATGGCTAGTTATGACACCTACATAAGAGTGTAAACCCCCACAAAACCTACCACGGTAGTTATTTTATGGCTTGTTATGACACCTACGTAAGAGTGTCAAAATCCACAAAACAAGGCAAAACATTCCATTACACCATAGCCTACCTGTCTATTTTTATTGACCATATTACATTTTCATTTTAATTACGCACACATTGATGTCAGACATGTACCTACCCCAGTGCTCTGTTGCTAATGACTGGGATGAATGCAGGAGCAGATTTCAGGAGCAGGACAAGACACCCTCTTTTTGACTGATGACTGATATAAGGGCATGTACGTGATAGGCCTATCTGGCATACAGTGGGGGAAAAAAGTATTTAGTCAGCCACCAATTGTGCAAGTTCTCCCACTTAAAAAGATGAGAGAGGCCTGTAATTTTCATCATAGGTACACGTCAACTATGACAGACAAAATGAGGAAAAAAATCCAGAAAATCACATTGTAGGATTTTTAATGAATTTATTTGCAAATTATGGTGGAAAATAAGTATTTGGTCAATAACAAAAGTTTCTCAATACTTTGTTATATACCCTTTGTTGGCAATGACACAGGTCAAACGTTTTCTGTAAGTCTTCACAAGGTTTTCACACACTGTTGCTGGTATTTTGGCCCATTCCTCCATGCAGATCTCCTCTAGAGCAGTGATGTATAGGGCGGCAGGTAGCTTAGTGGGTAAGAGCGTTGTGCCAGTAACCGAAAGGTCGCTGGTTCTAATCCCCGAGCCGACTAGGTGAAAAATCTGTCGATGTGCCCTTGAGCAAGGCACTTAACCCTAATTGCTCCTGTAAGTCGCTCTGGATAAGAGTGTCTGCTAAATGACAAAAAAAAATAAAAATAAAAATTAAAAAAAATTTAAAAAAATTTAAAATAAAAAAATAATTACATAAATAAAAAAAAATGTATTGGGGCTGTCGCTGGGCAACACGGACTTTCAACTCCCTCCAAAGATGTTCTATGGGGTTGAGATCTGGAGACTGGCTAGCCACTCCAGGACCTTGAAATGCTTCTTACGAAGCCACTCCTTCGTTGCCCGGGCGGTGTGTTTGGGATCATTGTCATGCTGAAAGACCCAGCCACGTTTCATCTTCAATGCCCTTGCTGATGGAAGGAGGTTTTCACTCAAAATCTCACGATACATGGCCCCATTCATTCTTTCCTTTACACGGATCAGTCGTCCTGGTCCCTTTGCAGAAAAACAGCCCCAAAGCATGATGTTTCCACCCCCATGCTTCACAGTAGTTATGGTGTTCTTTGGATGCAACTCAGCATTCTTTGTCCTCCAAACACGACGAGTTGAGTTTTTACCAAAAAGTTATATTTTGGTTTCATCTGACCATATGACATTCTCCCAATCCTCTTCTGGATCATCCAAATGCACTCTAGCAAACTTCAGACGGGCCTGGACATGTACTGGCTTAAGCAGGGGGACACATCTGGCACTGCAGGATTTGAGTCCCTGGCGGCGTAGTGTGTTACTGATGGTAGGCTTTGTTACTTTGGTCCCAGCTCTCTACAGGTCATTCACTAGGTCCCCCGTGTGGTTCTGGGATTTTTGCTCACCGTTCTTGTGATCATTTTGACCCCACAGGGTGAGATCTTGCGTGGGGCCCCAGATCGAGGGAGATTATCAGTGGTCTTGTATGTCTTCCATTTCCTAATAATTGCTCCCAGAGTTGATTTCTTCAAACCAAGCTGCTTACCTATTGCAGATTCAGTCTTCCCAGCCTGGTGCAGGTCTACAATTTTGTTTCTGGTGTCCTTTGACAGCTCTTTGGTCTTGGCCATAGTGGAGTTTGGAGTGTGACTGTTTGAGGTTGTGGACAGGTGTCTTTTATACTGATAACAAGTTCAAACAGGTGCCATTAATACAGGTAACGAGTGGAGGACAGAGGAGCCTCTTAAAGAAGAAGTTACAGGTCTGTGAGAGCCAGAAATCTTGCTTGTTTGTAGGTGACCAAATACTTATTTTCCACAATAATTTGCAAATAAATTCATTAAAAATCCTACAATGTGATTTTCTGGAGAAAAAAAAATCTCTATTTGTCTGTCATAGTTGACGTGTACCTATGATGAAAATTACAGGCCTCTCTCATCTTTTTAAGTGGGAGAACTTGCACAATTGGTGGCTGACTAAATACTTTTTTCCCCCACTGTATATTACTATGATGGTTATAATGCTTCTTGACAGTGTCATAAAGTGTATTTTCTAAGTCCAAGTAAAGAGACACAGGATAGTCATGTGTCATAAAGTGTATTTTCTACAAGTTATTTAAAATATGATTTTAAAAAACATGACTGTAAAGAATTCATTACAACAACAAAGGATTTAAGAAACAAACTTTCAAATGAAAGGAAACTTCTTGGCAGGGAAAAATTAATTTGAATACATTTGGGTTTAAACACTCTTATGTAGGTCTCATGGCCAGACATAAAATAACACAACAGGTGTAAATACAGTGCATTTGGAAAGTATTCACTTTTTCCACATTTTGTTACGTTACAGCCTTATTCTAAAATTGATTAAATTAATAATTCTCCTCATCAATCTACACACAATACCCCATAATGGAAAAACAGGTTAAGAATTTTTTTTCAATTTATAAAAAAACAAAAACAGAAATACCTTATTTACATAAGTTTCAGACCCTTTTCTATGAGACTCGAAATTGAGCTCAGGTGCATCCTGCTTCCATTGATCATCCTTGAGATGTTTCTACAACTTGATAGGAGTCCACCTGTGGTACATTTAATTGATTGGACATTTTAAAATTTTAGTCATTTAGCAGACGCTCTTATCCAGAGAGACTTATAGTTAGTGAGTGCATACATTATTTTATTTTTCATACCGGCCCCCCGTGGGAATCGAACCCACAACCCTGACGTTGCAAACGCCATGCTCTACCAACTGAGCTACATCCCTGCCAGCCATTCCCTCCCCTACCCTGGACGACGCTGGGCCAATTGTGCGCCGCCCCATGGGTAGGGGACATGATTTCCATGATTTGGAAAGGCACACACCTGTCTATATAAGGTGCCACAGTTGACAGTGCATGTCAGAGCAAAAACCAAGCCATGATGTCGAAGGAATTGTCCATAGAGCTCCGAGACAGGATTGTGTCGAGGCACAGATCTGGGGAAGGGTACCAAAACATTTCTGCAGCATTGAAGGTCCCCAAGAACACAGCGGCCTCCATCATTCTTAAATGGAAGAAGTTTGAAACCACCAAGACTCTTCCTAGAGCTGGCCGCCCGGTCAAACTGAGCAGTCAGGGGAGAAGGGCATTGGTCAGGGAGGTAACCAAGAACCTAAATGGTCACTCTGACAGAGCTCCAGAGTTCCTCTGTAGAGATGGAAGAACCTTCCAAAAGGACAACCATCTCTGCAGCACTCCACCAAATCAGGCCTTTATGGTAGAGTGGCCAGACGGAAGCCACTCCTCAGTAAAAGGCACATGACAGCCCGCTTGGCATTTGCCAAAAGGCACCTAAAGGACTCTCAGACCATGATAAATAAGATTCTCTGGTCTGATGAAACCAAGATTGAACTCTTTGGCCTGAATGCCAAGCGTCAGGTATGGAGGAAACCAGGCACCGCTCATCACCTGGCCAATACCATCTCTACGGTGAAGCATTGGTGGTGGCAGCATCATGCTGTGGGGATGTTTTTCAGCAGCAGGGACTGGGAGACTAGTCATGATCGAGGGAAAGATGAACCGAGCAAAGTACAGAGAGATCCTTGATGAAAACCTGCTCCAGAGCGCTCAGGACCTCAGACTGGGGCGAAGGTTCAACTTCCAACAGGACAATAACCCTAAGCACACAGCCAAGACAACGCAGGAGTGGCTTCGGGACAAGTCTCTGAATGTCCTTGAGTGACCCAGTCAGAGCCTGATCGAACATCTCTGGAGAGACCTGAAAATAGCTGTGCAGCGATCCTCCCCATCCAACCTGACAGAGCTTGAGAGGATCTGCAGAGAAGAATGGGAGGAACTCCCCAAATACAGGTGTGCCAAGCTTGTAGCGTCATACCCAAGAAGAGTCAAGGCTGTAATCGCTGCCAAAGGTGCTTCAACAAAGTACTGAGTAAAGGGTCTGAATAACTATGTACATTTAATATTTCCATTTATTTTGATAAATTAGCACACACAAAAAATAATTTTGCTTTGTCATTATGGGGTATTGTGTGTAGATTAATGAGGAAAACAACTATTTCATCCATTTTAGAATAAGGCTGTAAAGTAACAAAATGTGGAAAAAGTGAAGTGGTCTGAATACTTTCCGAATGCACTGTATATGGGTCATGACAGGGTTATGACCATGTCATAACGTGTTATGACACTGGGTTTCACGTAAAGCGTTACCCAAAAAATATTTGTTTGCTATTTGAATGGTTATTACGGTGACTGTAGTAATTTGCATGGCCAATAACTATCATCCAAAATTCCATGACCATCACAGCCCTAATTCACACACACACACACACACACAGTCAAACACACCTGCCGTGCGGCTGGTCGCCATAACAACAGAGAAGTCCCACCACCACCAGCAGTGTAAGGGCAGCTCCTGGCCAATGGAGACAGGAGTGTCGGTTGCCATGGTGAAGGAAGCTCTTCACCCACTGCTCCTATAATAACATCAACAAACAAAACATGTGTTTGACACATCTCAATACGTGTGTGTCTGTTTTTGGTTATACTATCCTTGTGGGGACCAGAAGTCCTCACAAGGATAGTAAAACAAGAAGTGGGGACATTTCGCCGGTCCCCACAAGGAAGAAGGCTATTTTAGGCTTAGAGGTTAGGTTTACAATTAGGGTTAGGTTTAGGGGTTTGGGGTTAAGGTTAGGTAAAATAGGATTTTGAATGGGAATCAATTGTTTGGTCCCCACAAGGACAGAAAAACAAACGTGTGTTGTGAGCGCGTGCGTCTGTGTGTATGTGTCCGTGTGGTGGTACCTACATGTGCAGTGGGTCGTTTGCCATGGCCTGTGGTCTGGTGCTGGTCAAGTAGGGTGGTGAGCTGGTCCCTCAGTGTCCCCAGAGCCTGACCAGTGGACAAGCCCAGGGTCCCCACCCCCTCCTCCTGAAACACACAGGCACAGACACACATATCTACTATGAAATCATATTACAGTCAAGAAGGATTCAAACATTTCAATAGGTCACAGATTCATGTACACTGGATACAAAAAGCACCTTCTCCATATAGCTAGGCTGCCCATGACAGCTGACACAGAGCAGTACCTTGCTAGCTGCTTTGCCTTATGCACTGGCACCCACACCTTACAGAAAATAAAATAACAGATGTGCATAATCAACCATTACCCCTTGTTCACATTTGTTGCCCCAAGGTTTTCTGCCCTTCTGTTATATGGTTTTAATAAGCAAATCTCATAGATTCTTGTTTGTTAAATCGTTAATAAGCTAAACTGAATTGTATTATCACTAAGGAGCTAAACTCACTGCTGCCAATAGGATTGTTTGGTTTTATGATTTTAATGAAGATAATCCACAGAGATTATGTTATGCTATATACGTTTCATAATTCATCTATGCACAACGGAAGTGATGCAAACTGCAGAGAAACTACCATATCTAATGTCAGTGGGAACCCAATCTTTTCCCACACTCCCCCACTCCATACACACACACAATTTCATCTCAGCGGTTTTTAAGCTCCACATCCACACAGCTATAAATAACTGACAATTCTCCAGAGTAAGAAAGCCTGCAGAAAACCCTCCAGACATGGATAAACACACAAACGCACCCTGCGCAAAACCCTGTTTTAAGCCAAGCACCTACAAACAATACGCCCACCTGCAAATTGACCTGGATTAACCAAACACACACACTTTCCCCCTCATTGCTCTTCCCCACCCATCAACTCTACGGAGCTTTCATCCCCATTAGGACTTCTTACTTACTATCCCCCTCTTCCGGAACCAAGTTCTCAGCTCCAGATCCAGGACCATGATATAATTGTTCCTTTTCTTTCTCACTTTCTCTTACTGTTGTCTACTCTGTGAACCTGTCATCGATCTGCAGAAAATATTAATATTGTATCCAGGTGCGGAAAGTGTGTGTGTGAGGAGAGATGGAGAGAAAAGAAAGGATCTGCAGGGAGGGAGAGTGTCTGATGACCGGAGAGAAAGTGCACCCAGGGGACTGACGTTAGAGCCTGGGTGACACTGCTTCTGCATCCTCATGCCTTGCTAGCCTGTCTCTTTTCTCTGCCTAGCCCAGCTCTACCCCAGCCCAACACAGAGTGCCGGATAGACTGTTCTGGCTGAATGTCCCGCTGTCTGTGGAGTGGCTGGCTAGATGATACTGCTGATACAGGAGAGTGATCAAGCCAGGTCTGCCAACAGAGGGAATGAGAGAGACAGAGAGAAGGGGAGGGGAGCGAGTGTCCTCACTGAACCCTGGTCCAGAGAAAAAGAGAGGGGAGACAGATGAAAGCTGAAAGAACAGAAGACATAAAGAGTGCATGGTCGGCAAGAGGAAAAAGGAGATGCAGGAGAGACAGAGACAGAGAGAGAGAGAGAGAGAGAGAGAGAGAGAGAGAGAGAGAGAGAGAGAGAGAGAGAGAGAGAGAGAGAGAGAGAGAGAGAGAGAGAGCGAGAGAGAGAGAGAGAAACTGGCCCATCCAGGGTTGTGCTTTGTTCCGTTCCAGCCAACACAGCACATAATACAACCCATTCTGCAGCAGTGGAGGGATAGTGATGAGAGAGACAGAGAGACCTCCGTGAACTTTGGTTCTGATCCAGAGAGGTGAAGAGAGTAGAACAGTGTGAATACACCCACAGAAACACTAGAGTCAAACACAGAGTATATAATTTAGAACATACAGCTGTGGCCAAATATATTGGCACCCTGGCCCTTTTCTTAAATAATTCCTAATTTCTTCTAAAATAAGTTGAAATTGAAAAAAACGTTTGGTATCCACACCTTGATATAGAGCTGGGACAATAAACAGAAAATTATCGACACTGGCCTAACCAACCACTTAACGTTGACATTTTGCTAATATCGTTCATTACGATAAACAACCTATAGGGCCCTCCTAGAGAAATTTGAAGTTTAAAGTGTGTTACAGGCTTTGGTTTTTCAATATACAGTGCATTTGGAAAGTATTCAGACCCCTTGACTTTTTCCACATTTTTTTACGTTACAGCCATATTCTAAAATGTATTAAATTGTATTTTTCCCTCATCAACCTACACACAATACCACATCATTACAAAGCAAAAACTGATTTTAGAACATTTTAGAAATATCACATCTACATAAGCATTCAGACCCTTTACTTAGTACTTTGTTGAAGCACCTTTGGCAGCGATTACAGCCTCGAGTCTTCATGGGGATGACGCTACAAGCCTGGCACACCTGTATAGTCGTGGTCAAAAGTTTTGAGAATGACAAGTATTTGTCTTCACAAAGTTCGCTGCTTCAGTGTTATGAGATATTTTTGTCAGATGTTACTATGGTATACTGAAGTATAATTACAAGCATTCCATAAGTGTCAAAGGCTTTTATTGACAATTACATTACGTTTATGCAAAGAGTCAATATTTGCAGTGTTGACCCTTCTTTTTCAAGACCTCTGCAATCCGCCCTGGCATGCAGTCAATTAACTTCTGGGCCACATCCTGACTGATGGCAACCCATTCTTGCATAATAAATGCTTGGAGTGTCAGAATTTGTGGATTTTTGTTTGTCCACCCGCCTCTTGAGGATCGACCACAAGTTCTCAATGGGATAAAGGTCTGGGGAGTTTCCTGGCCTTGGACCCAAAACGTCGACGTTTTGTTGACAGAGCCACTTAGTTATCACTTTTGCCTTATGGCAAGGTGCTCCATCATGCTGGAAAAGGCATTGTTCGTCACCAAACTGTTCTTGGATGGATGGGAGAAGTTGCTCTGAGGATGTGTTGCTACCATTCTTTATTCATGGCTGTGTTCTTAGGCAGTGAGCCCACTCCCTTGGCTGAGAAGCAACCCCACACATAAATGGTCTCATGATGCTTTACTGTTGGCATGACACAGGACTGATGGTAGCGCTCACCTGGTCTTCTCCGGACAAGGTGTTTTCCGGATGCCCCAAACAATCGGAAAGGGGATTCATCAGAGAAAATGACTTTACCCCAGTCCTCAGCAGTCCAATCCCTGTACCTTTTGCAGAATATCAGTCTGTCCCTGATGTTTTTCCTGGAGAGAAGTGGCTTCTTTGCTGCCCTTCTTGACACTAGGCCATCCTCCAAAAGTCTTCGCCTCACTGTGCGTGCAGATGCACTCGCACCTGCCTGCTGCCTTAACTGAGCAAGCTCTGCACTGGTGGTGCCCCGATCCCGCAGCTGAATCAACTTTAGGAGACGGTCCTGGCGCTTGCTGGACTTTCTTGGGCGCCCTGACGCCGCCTTCACAACAATTGAACCTCTCTCCTTGAAGTTCTTGATGATCCGATAAATGGTTGATTTAGGTGAAATCTTACTAGCAGCAATATCCTTGCCTGTGAAGCCCTTTTTGTGCAAAGCAATGATGACTGCACGTGTTTCCTTGAAGGTAACCATGATTAACAGAGGAAGAACAACGATTTCAAGCACCACCCTCCTTTTAAAGCTTCCAGTCTGTTATTCTAACTCAATTAGCATGACAGAGTGATATCCAGCCTTGTCCTCGTCAACACTCACCTGTATTAACGAGAGAATCACTGACATGATGTGGCAAAGAGGGACTTTGCAATTAATTGCAATTCATCTGATCACTCTTCATGACATTCTGGAGTATATGCAAATTGCCATAATCAAAACTGAGGCAGCAGACTTTGTGAAAATGTGGTCAACATTTTTGAGAATGACACAAATACATGACTGTATATGGGGAGTTTCTCCATTTCTTCTCTGCAGATCCTCTCAAGCTCTGTCAGGTTGGATGGGGAGCAATGCTGCACAGCCATTTTCAGGTCTCTCCAGAGATGTTCGATCGGGTTCAAGTACGGGCTCTGGCTGGGCCACTCAAGGACATTCAGAGACTTGTCCTGAAGCCACTCCTGCGTTGTCTTGGCTATGTGCTTAGGGTCGTTGTCCTGTTAGAAGGTGAACCTTCGCCCCAGTCTGAGGTCCTGAGCACTCTGGAGCAGGTTTTCGTCAAGGATCTCTCTGTACTTTTCTCCATTCATCTTTCTCTTGATCCTGACTAGTCTCCCAGTCCCTGCCGCTGAAAAACATCCCCACAGCATGATGCTGCCACCACACTTCACCGTAGGGCTCCTGAGTGGGGCAGCGGTCTAAGGCACTGCATCTCAGTGCTTGAGGCGTCACTACAGACCCCTTGGTTCGATTCCAGGCTGTATCACAACGGGCCGTGATTGGGAGTCCCATAGGGCGGCGCACAATTGGCCCAGTGTCGTCCGGGTTTGGCCGGTGTAGGCCATCATTGTAAATAAGAATTTGTTCTTAACTGACTTGCCTAGTTAAATAAAGGTAGGGATGGTGGCAGGTTTCCTCCAGACGTGACGCTTGGCATTTAGGCCAAAGAGTGCAATCTTGGTTTGTCAGACCAGAGAATCTTGTTTCTCACAGTCAGCGGGCTGTCAACTCCAAGCGGGCTGTCATGTGCCTTTTACTAAAGGCCTGATTGGTGGAGTGCTGCAGAGATGGTTGTCCTTCTGGAAGGTTCTCCCATCTCCACAGAGGAACTCTGGAGCTCTGTCAGAGTGACCTTCGGGTTCTTGGTCACCTCCCTGACCAAGGCCCTTCTCCCCCGATGGCTCAGTTTGGCCGGGTGACCAGCTCTTGTTGGTTCCAAACTTCTTCCATTTAAGAATGATGGAGGCCACTATGTTCTTGGGGACCTTCAATGCTGCAGACATTTTTTGGTACCCTTTCCCAGATCTGTGCCTCGGCACAATCCTGTCTCTGAGTTTTACGGACAATTCCTTCGACCTCATGGCTTGGTTTTAGCTCTGACATGCACTGTCAACTGTGGGACCTTATATAGACAAGTGTGTGCCTTTCCAAATCATGTCCAATCAATTGAATTTACCACAGGTGGACTCCTATCAAGTTGTAGAAACATCTCAAGGATGATCAATGGAAACAGGATGCACCTGAGCTCCATTTCTAGTCTCATAGCAAAGGGTCTGAATACTTGTAAATGAGGTATTTCTGTTTTTTATTTGTAATAAATTTGCAAACATTTCTTAAAACCTGTTTTCGCTTTGTCATTATGTGGTATTGTGTGTAGATTGATGAGACAAAATGTTATTTAATCCATGTATATAGCCAAGTTATCGTTACTCATTGTGTATTTATTCCTTGTGTTATTATTTTTCAAATGTTCTATTATTTCTCTTTTTTTCCTCTCTGAATTGGTGGGAAGTAAGCATTTCACTGTTAGTCTACACCTGTTGTTTACGAAGCATGTGATAAATAAAATTTGACTCTTGTTTTTCTATCCTCGTGGGGAACATTTATTTCCATTCAAAAAACCTAACCCTAAGCTTAAAGATTGCTAAAATTCGAATAGATCGCCTAATTTCAAGCAAGTATAGTGTAGAGAATAATTGTACCATCTAAATGGATGTGAAATATATTTTCAATAACAAAAAATATTGTATTTTTAGCTGTTTAAAGCGGGTGTACAAAACCAAAAGACGCAAAAACGAAAAGTAAGAACTGGAAACATAGAAATAGCACACATAGGACAGATCTACTGCTTCTTATATTTGCATTCAATGAGAATGACAAATCTATAACTCACATTTTATTGTGAATTTGGTCGGGTCACCCAAAAAGTTACATATTGCAGCTTCATCAGCAGCAGATTCTAGTTTAGAATGGAAAATGAATGTGTTTATGCAACAAATTTTAGTGCATTGAAGCGTATCTCAAATAAGCAAAGAGAAACGACAGTCCATCATTACTTTAAGATATGAAGGTCAGTCAATACGGAACATTTCAAGAACTTTGAACGTTTCTTCAAGTGCAGTCGCAAAAACCATCAAGCGCTATGATGAAACTGGCTCTCATGAGGACCGCCACAGGAATGGCGTTACCCAGAGGAAAAGTTCATTAGAGTTACCAGCCTCAGAAATTGCAGACCAAATAAATGCTTCACAGAGTTCAAGTAACAGACATCTCAACATCAACTGCTCAGAGGAGACTGTGTGAATCAGGCCTTCATGGTCGAATTGCTGCAAAGAAACCACTACTAAAGGATACCAATAAGAAGAAGAGACTTGCTTGTGACAAGAAACACGAGCAATGGACATTAGACCGGTGGAAATGTGTCCTTTGGTCTGGAGTCCAAATTGGAGAGTATTGGTTCCAACCGCCGTGTCTTTGTGAGACGCGGTGTGGGTGAATGGACGATCTCCGCATGTGTATTTCCCACCGTAAAGCATGGAGGAGGAGATGTTATGGTGTTGGGGTGCTTTGCTGGTGACACTGTCTGTGATTTATTTAGAATTCAAGGCACACTCAACCAGCATGGCTACCACAGCATTCTGCAGCGATACGCCATCCCATCTGGTTTGGGCTTAGTGGGACTATCATTTGTTTATCAACAGGACAATGAACCAACACACCTCCAGGCTGTGTAAGGGCTATTTTACCAAGAAGGAGAGTGATGGAGTGCTGCATCAGATGACCTGGCCTCCACAATCCCCAGACCTCAACGCAATTGAGATGGTTTGGGATGAGTCGGACCGCAGAGTGAAGGAAAAGCAGCCAACAAGTGCTCAGCATATGTGGGATCTCCTTCAAGACCGTTGGAAAAGCATTCCAGGTGAAGCTGGTTGAGAGAATGCCAAGAGTGTGCAAAACTGTCATCAAGGCAAAGGGTGGCTATTTGAAGAATCTCAAATACACTTTTTTGGTTACTACATGATTCCATGTGTGTTATTTCATAGTTTTGATGTCTTCACAATTATTCTACAATGTAAAAAAGTCAAAATAAAGAAAAACCCTTGAATGAGTAGGTGTGTCCAAACTTTTGACTGGTAGTGTATATACAGTGGGGAGAACAAGTATTTGATACACTGCCGATTTTGCAGGTTTTCCTACTTACAAAGCATGTAGAGGTCTGTAATTTTTATCATAGGTACACTTCAACTGTGAGAGACGGAATATAAAACAAAAATCCAGAAAATCACATTGTATGATTTTTTAATGATTAATTTGCATTTTATTGCATGACATAAGTATTTGATCACCTACCAACCAGTAAGAATTCTGGCTCTCACAGACCTGTTAGTTTTTATTTAAGAAGCCCTCCTGTTCTCCACTCATTACCTGTATTAACTGCACCTGTTTGAACTCGTTACCTATATAAAAGACACCTGTCCACACACTCAATCAAACAGACTCCAACCTCTCCACAATGGCCAAGACCAGAGAGCTGTGTAAGGACATCAGGGATACAATTGTAGACCTGCACAAGCCTGGGATGGGCTACAGGACAATAGGCAAGCAGCTTGGTGAGAAGGCAACAACTGTTGGCGCAATTATTAGAAAATTGAAGAAGTTCAAGATGACGGTCAATCACCCTCGGTCTGGGGCTCCATGCAAGATCTCACCTCGTAGGGCATCAATGATCATGTGGAAGGTGAGGGATCAGCCCAGAACTACACGGTAGGACCTGGTCAATGACCTGAAGAGAGCTGGGACCACAGTCTCAAAGAAAACCATTAGTAACACACTACGCCGTCATGGATTAAAATCCTGCAGCGAACGCAAGGTCCCCCTGCTCAAGCCAGCGCATGTCCAGGCCCGTCTGAAGTTTGCCAATGACCATCTGGATGATCCAGAGGAGGAATGGGAGGAGGTCATGTGGTCTGATGAGACAAAAATAGAGCTTTTTGGTCTAAAATCCACTTGCCGTGTTTGGAGGAAGAAGAAGGATGAGTACAACCCCAAGAACACCATCCCAACCGTGAAGCATGGAGGTGGAAACATCATTCTTTGGGGATGCTTTTCTGCAAAGGGGACAGGACGACTGCACCGTATTGAGGGGAGGATGGATGGGGCCATGTATCGTGAGATCTTGGCCAACAACCTCCTTCCCTCAGTAAGAGCATTGAAGATGGGTCGTGGCTGGGTCTTCCAGCATGACAACAACCCGAAACACACAGCCAGGGCAACTAAGGAGTGGCTCCGTAAGAAGCATCTCAAGGTCCTGGAGTGGCCTAGCCAGTCTCCAGACCTGAACCCAATAGAAAATCTTTGGAGGGAGCTGAAAGTCCGTATTGCCCAGTGACAGCCCCGAAACCTGAAGGATCTGGAGAAGGTCTGTATGGAGGAGTGGGCCAAAATCCCTGCTGTAGTGTGTGCAAACCTGGTCAAGACCTACAGGAAACGTATGATCTCTGTAATTGCAAACAAAGGTTTCTGTATCAAATATTAAGTTCTGCTTTTCTGATGTATCAAATACTTATGTCATGCAATAAAATGCAAATTAATTACTTAAAATCATACAATGTGATTTTCTGGATTTTTGTTTTAGATTCCGTCTCTCACAGTTGAAGTGTACCTATGATAAAAACTACAGACCTCTACATGCTTTGTAAGTAGGAAAACCTGCAAAATCGAGAGAGAGATTTTTATAGAGAGATTTTTTGAAAGTTCTCTCTAAATAAGCTTTGTTGCACAATTAAAGTTTAAAACACAGCATTTCAAACAGTCAGGAATAATCTAATGAATTCAGGGCTTGTAAGATTATACCTAAGCTAAATATAAGCCTTCCACAATCATGAGACCCAGTAATAAAAGTAATTATTTTATCAAAATAGTTTAACCTGCTTTTTTGCAATAATCACTGATCTGGCTTTCAAGTCTGTCTATGAAAATGCCCTTTTTGTTACAAATTTAACCAGCCTTCTACCAGAAGTTGGTCATTTAGTGGATGTGTATTGTGCATGGTTCTGGTTAAATTTGTAACAAAAAAAGACTTGAAAGCCAGATCAGTGATTATTAAAATCATCCATGACGAGTTACAGGTGCTACGGTTAGTAGTTGTAAAAGTAGTAGTGGTAGCGCTTTGCTAGGTAACGACATAAACAATGCCACTTTATATGAACGTCGCCATGAGTATGTTGTCTCATATATCATGGGCAGGAGAGGCACTAACAATGGGAATTCCAAACCACCCGTTGTATAATGTGAAATATTTGAGTATGGGCATGCCATTTTGATTCCCAGTTACATTGTTTTCCAAATTTGCGCCAAATAGAGATTGTGTGAGCAATAATAGGACCAAAGCATAGTTTACATTGTTTAAAGGATATATCAGTGAAGACCACCTCTTCCAGGGCAATAGGCGACACCATATTTCTCTCTATACTCAAACAGGGGGCAGAAGAAATATGTCTAAACCAATTTAGGATGGGATGAAACGCTAGTGCCTGGAAATACAATTTAACGTTTGGTACGGCTAGTCCTCCTACATCTTTCCCGCTTTGCAAGTTTGTAAATGTTATCCGGGCTTGCTTATCTTGACATATATACTGAACAAAAATATAAACGCAACATACAACAATTTAAAAGATTTTACTGAGTTACAGTTCATATGAGGAAATTCAGGTCCCCTGTAGCTCAGTTGGTAGAGCATGGCGCTTGCAACGCCAGGGTTGTGGGTTCGTTCCCCAGTATGAAAAATGTATGCACTCACTAACTGTAAGTCGCTCTGGATAAGAGCGTCTGCTAAATGACTAAAATGTAAATGTAAAATGAAATCAGTCAATTGAAATAAATTCATTAGGCCCTTATCAAAGGATTTCACATGACTGGGAATACAGATATGCATCTGTTGGTCACAGATACCTTTAAAAAAATGGGCCTCAGAATCTCGTCACAGTATTTCTGTGCATTCAAATTGCCATCGATAAAATGCAATTGTGTTCGTTGTCCGTAGCTTATGCCTGCCCATACCATAACCCCACCGCCACCATGTGGCACTCTTTTCACAACGTTGACATTTCCAGTTGAGAGGAGTTCTTATATCTTTTTAAAAAGGACTCAATCTGGCTTGTTGTGGATTTACAATCAAAGGTGTACAATTCTTTATAGAAACAGGAGAATCTATGGTTGATTAATTTGGGTTCTAATAGTAATTCAACCAATTCAGATTCAATAGTTGTAATATCCGCTAATTGAGCCTTACTGCGAAGCTTGTTAGCCAGTAGACGACTGTGTCCATTACCATGGAAGTAATGGTTGAGTCTAATTCGATGGATGGCAAACTCTGCTCTTTCTTATAAATAGATTTTGTTCTGTCTTGACTTTGAAGAGTGTAGTCGCTACCTGGTCAGAATAAAAGTGTTTGTTGAGAACGCGCTAACGTCGTTAACAACTTTTCCAATTCTGATACCTTCTTTAATTGTGATTTATTCAGCCCAGATGCAAATGCAGTTGCATTGTTTTTAATAAAACATTTAATGGCATCCCATAAAATCTAAGGATCAGACTGAATTTTTGTTAATCATTATGAATTAATTCAATTCAGTTTCAAATTGTTCACAGAAAGTATGATTTTGAAGTAAGGAAACCATCCTGTGGCTCTTTTAGGAGGTTCTGAAATGCGTGTCTGGCAGTAATACGCATGGCGATCAGATAGGCTCATATGTCACATTAGATCATGAGAAATCGATTCGGGAGAATATTTTGTGCCTGTTTGAATAGAAAGTGTAATCTTTTGCATTAGGGTTATGCGCTAGCCAGGCATCAATGAGGTTGTAATCAGAAAGTATATGTTGGAGAGCTTTGGTTGCCTGTGGATTGTAGTTGACCTTATCAGATTTGTCCTGCATGTCCAGAATGGCATTAATTTATTTCCCAATAACCAGATGGAATTCAGTTAATTCTAACAATATGCAGTTCAGAGAATCAAAAAACATAGGATAATATGAATTTGGAGCATACACATTAATAAACACAATTTTCTTTCCATTACGGATAAATTTAAGGAAAGTGATTCTGCCTTCTTGGGTCTTCACCTTTACCAAGAATGGTGATTGAGTTTCTTATGCATCATTATGATCACACCTTTAGTTTTGTTTGGGGCTGTTAAAAACAGCCAGTTTGTACAAATGGTTCACTATTTTATGTGGGTCCTTCTGGTTTCTTGCTAGAATATCAAGACAGCTGGAACACTTGATAGGAATATTAAGGCCTTTCAACTTCCACGAGAGAATAACTAGTGTTGCAATTGTTTTTCTCAAATGTAACTTAGTGTTGATAAGCCCATGGATGTAAAATAAAAAGCGTGATCCACAGGAAAACCCACCCATTGGTCGCTCCCCACGCAGAAGACCCTCTCCAATAATCCCCCCCCATTTCAAACTACAATACAAGACATCATCAATGTCCCATTAATTTCAGCATAGTCAAAAGGCAAAGGCCTAAAGCAAAACAGTAAAAGCACTTAAGATTCTACTCTACCTCCAGAGTCTCTAGAACATCCATGTGCGTCTCCTCTCCTTGAGCAAAGTCAAAAAAAGAGCTAATAATTACATAATCCATAGCACATACTGTATGTGGGACCAGAGAGATAGAAGTGGAGAGAGGTGCTCTACTTTGAACCTGTTGAATAAACTGGCTGGCAGTTTTCCATTCCCTACCCTATCCCATGCCTGGCTGTTGTTGACCCAGTAGCTCATTGTGAAATGCATCTGCTCCTACACTTCTATGTTTAACAAGCATTACTGACCCTGACGATGACTGATAGCACACGCCGGAAATAGAAAGGGAGGAGGGTGAGAATGAGGAAGGTGAGAATGAATGGACGACGTGGTTTCTGACACTTGTCAACTTATAAACATTCAGCTCAATGCTTTTAAAGTACAAGCTCATGATAATGAGTTGACAGTACAGTCTTTTGTAACACCAGACCAAAAACATACATTTCAATGTGTGTCATGAATAGCCTACATTTCTTGACCAACATCAAAAACCTTGAAGGAGCAGCTAGAAGGCAGTTTGTGGGGATCAGTCAGCCCACACAAGCGCGTACACACACAAAGGCACGTACACACACACACACACACACACACACACAGAGATACACACACATCCCAAGGAGCCTCCCTGTTTAGCACCACTCCAGGGATCCAGCTGACGTCGTTTGGCGCTAGGCAACTCACCTGCTTCTTATCCTGTAGCTCCATGGCAACCAGCGCAGCCTCTCACCATGCTCCGAGCCACACACACACCTGACGAGGCAGAGACTTCGCCCTCTTGATCTCCCCTCGATACTCTCTTGATGTCGTCTCGATACCCCTCTTTATCTTCTCGATGAACCCTCGAACCCCAACTTAGGCTGGAGGAAAGCGTCACCCACTGGCCCCCTGCCGGTGCCGCTATGCCTGCCTGCTCTGCCAGTCTGAGGGGAGGACCACGCACGCCCACAGGGACTCACAGCAGGGCACGCTGGGAGCTGCAGTTTTGGAGGCTAGATGCTGTAGTCAAAGTTGTGTTGAGGATGTTGTCCTCATTACACAAATGTCTGGGTAGATCTTGGTAGGGAAGAGATAAATAAAAGGGAAGAGTAAATAATTATGGCATTTGTATGACATATGGCATTCATTCAGCAGTGATATTATACATTGGCTGTTGGTCAGTAGACTATAGGTTAGTTGGTCAGTGGGCTACATGAGGAGAATACAATAGTGCTGTTGAAAACATTGTTAGTCTGAAGCCCTAAAGCTCCTGACAACAAGCCACCACTATAAGCATCTTTCGTCCTCTTTTATACAAAAACAACAGTCAGCAGGCTCTATTGGCTCACACTACACAACACTGTGCCCAAAGTTACCAGCAGAGAGAGAAAAAGAGAGCCAGACAGACAGACACCCAGAGAGAGAGAGAGAGAGAGAGCGTGAGAGAGGACAGACAAAGGGAAACAAACAGACATACATACAGAGGGAAAGAGACACACAAGAGACACATGTAGTACAGGAACCACACCCAACTTGTATGATCATTATCTGTACCTGTACGCATGGTGTAAGAATGCACTCCAATAAGCAACTGGGGCAAGCTAAAGTACACATACGGAAACACATGTCATTTGTACTAATATAGGCCAGTCACAACAACATCCTACGTCAGAAACACAACTAAATTTGGCCCATGCCTGTCTATCGCTAAATCCACCTGGCTGGCCGACTTACACAATATTTAATGTAATCACTTTCCGCGTATGCTTATCCTTGGATTAATTTACACAGATTTTACCTGTACTATTAGACGGGAGAGAGGCGAGGAGCGACAGCCCACAATATGTTTTTATAGTGACTTCCTTGTGTGCATATGGAGATAATCGTTTCACATGCTAGCTAGTTAGCTTACTAGCTAACTGGGAGTCCATCGTAGTGACCGCAGATTCTGCAGTGGAAAAGCATGCAATAAGCTAAACTTCGCACAATCAATGTTGTGACAAAAACAAGTCTCAATGTCGTCTTACTTATGCACTGTTTCTCACTCATTGCTAACTAGCGAATAGTACGAGTTAACCTAGCTAACATTTCCATATCTGCAACCCAACGTCAAGGTTCGTCTTCTTCTCGATGTCAAGAACAGCCTGCGATAACTGGCACCCTAAGCACTATTAATGCACCATATATCTGCATATCTATCATACTCACGTACAGGTTGCAACACGGTCTGTATCTCGTCACACCGTTTAAAGCTCAAATTTCTCTCAAATATCAAGTGTACAGAGAGGAAGCGAGAACCAACTCGGCAGAAAATCTGTCTCCCTCCTGCAGGTGGCGTTTTTCGCCCACCAAGCAAGGAGGTTTTGTAGAGGTCAATGAGTGTCACATTTGGTCAAACAAATGAATGGCTTATTTGCTAAGTGAGGTTTATTTGATCGAATAGCAGTTTCGTAATGCTTAAGTTGTTATGAGTGCACTGATATAAGTAGGACACGTAACAGCCCGGCGACTTTGACAAAAAAAACACTTTATTTCGGAGTTGTCTCGAGATGGCTATGCATATTCATGTCATGAGGCTAGTAGCATAGCATACCCACTCGAATCCAATCGAATATTCAAAGCAGATTACAATAAGGAGATGTATCCACCAATCCAAAGAAATTATAGGCAGACAGCCTGCCATGCCGCGTTGTGGACAACGACTCCCATTGTTAGTGTGGAGAGACGTATCTTGTCAGTATATCCATAATCTTTGGTACAGTCCACAAGTGACCGCCATGTTAGAAATGAGGGAGGGCGTGGTATTTTTGGTTAGGGGCGGTGAAGCATGGTTGGGATTCCTGGAGGGCTTGCCATAGGTGGAGTCCTGCTCTTTTGATTGGCGTATGTGGGAGAGGTGGTGGCGCAAGTCTACGGTTCTATTTTGAAATACGATACCTACTTCTTCTTCGTTGGGGCTTTATGGCGGACTACATCTTTTAATGGCGTATTGTGGCCACCAACTGGACGAGGGTGAAAGTTTAACCAAATAGTAATTCCATTAAGGGCAGGGAAAAATAACATTAATCTACACAAACTACATAAAATAATTAACAAAAAATAAGTAGCCAGAGAGCTCAACTACCCTGCTCAGTCTTTAGGGCTTGAGAGGGTGGGACCGAACGAGATAGTACTCCATGTAGCTCTTCAGATGTGAAATCTTTTAATCCCAGAAATATTTCAGCCGCAGAAACAATGTGGACTCTGTCATGTCTATCTTTCTTCACTTCTTTTCCACTTGCGCAGTGCCATTTACCACCATTACTATAAAATACAGAGTCCACTTTCTTCACATGAACAATTGCTGGGTCCACTGGTGATTCACCGGACCTTCAGAGATACTCACTCGTTCTATCCTTTTGACAGCCTCTGCATAGGAGACTCACCACTGCCCTGATTTTAGCAACCTCATTCTCCTTTACCCTACTCGGGCATTCCAAGAATGTCACCTCATGTTCTCCACCACAGTTACAACCTTTTGCTCCTTGGCCATTCTCTTATGCTACACAGTCGGGATCTCCTTCAAAGTGATCTTTCCCACACGTCCCACACCCACATCTTGGCTTCTTGCCTCTGCAGACACTTTCTATATGTCTAAACATGTTACAGTGCTGACACTGCAAAGGCCTGGATACAAAAGCTCTGACAAGATAGTACACATATCCCATCTGCACTCGGGTCGGGAGGGACTCCATATCAAACAACATAAGAACAGACAAACTCTTCTCTTTCCTGCCGTTAACCAAACGATTCATCCTACGAGCATCGACCACTCCAGGAATATTCTTCAGTATATCAATGTCAACTCCAGAAATTACTCCCTTGACAGGTGCCCTTCTCCGTAGCTCAAAGCACTGCACAGCATAATCTTCAAATCGAGTGAGACCCACCATACAATTTTTCTGAGCAGCAGAAGCACAATACATTAAAACACTCCTCGTGATCTTCACCGACTTTACTTTACCCAAAGTTTTCTCCACCATTTTGGATATTTCCAACGGATTCATCAAGTCGGGCCCCAATATTCCCAGAAAACGTACTCCTACCAGATATGAAGGGGTATTATTAACACTAGACGTTTCCTTTCCCATTCTATGGACAAAAGTCCATTCATCTTCATTTCCAGCACCATCCGATTCAAGTTCCTCTTCTGCTTCCACCTTCCTCTACCTTGATTGCGTCGCCGTGCTCCTAGTTCTTCATTTGATCAATACGATACCTACACTACACTCTCTCTGTATGTCATCTTTTTCACAGGTGAGTAATACTGGGTAGTGGGTTAACAGATGAAAAGCCTTAAAACAATAAATCCATATTTATGTACAGATCCTTCAGAAAGTATTCATACCCCTTGACTTATTCCACATTTTGTTGTTACAGCCAGAATTCATAATGGATTATTATTTTTTTCTCACCCATCTACACACAATACCCCATAACGACAAAGTGAAAACATGTTTTTAGAAATGTCTGCAGTAATACAGAAATGTCTCATTTATATAAGTATTCACACCCCTGAGTCAATATTTTGTAGGGACAACTTTGGCAGCAATAACAGCTGTGAGTCTTTCTGGGTAAGTCTCTAAGAGCTTTCCACACCTGGATTGTGCAACATTTTCCCATTATTCTTTTCAAAATTCTTCAAGCTCTGTCAAATTGGTTGTTGTTCATTGCAAGACAACCATTTTCAGGTCTTGCCATAAATGTTTAAGTAGATTTAAGTCAAAATTGTAACTCGGCCACTCAGGAACACGTGGTTGAATCTGTGTTTGAAATTCACTGCTTGACTGAGAGACCTTACAGATAATTATATATGTGGGGTACAGAGATGAGGTAGTCATTCCAAAATCATGTTAAACACTATTATTGCACACAGAGTAAGTCCATGCAACTTATTATTTGAATGAAGCAAATTTTTACTCCTGAACTTATTTAGGCTTCACATAATAAAGGGGTTGAATACTTATTCACTCAAGACATTTCATTTTTTCATTTTTTATTAATTTGTAAAAAAAATATTTAAAAAAATAATGTAATCCACTTTGATATTATGGGGTATTGTGTGTAGGCCAGTGACACAACATTTACATTTAATCAATTTTAAATTCCGTCTGTAACATAAAAAAAATGTGGAAAAAGTCAAGGTGTGTGAATACTTCAGGAAGGCACTGTATTACCAGGTATAGCATAACTATTGTATACAAAGTAAAACTTCATAACGTGAAAGAAATGTCTGCTAGAAAAAACTAATTAGCTTTTTTAAAGAGTGAGGACGGAATAAAACGGCAAATCTAATAAATATGTATACACTCGTCATCCAGGGCCCCCTCGATGAACTCCTCCAGGCTGATGATGGCTGAATAGAATATAATATAATAAAATATAATTGAATTGAGTGATCAAAATGTTTACAGCCTTGTATTGGCTACACACTCACAAGACTTACAATCATAAGTCTCAGAACATACAGTTCAAGGCAGGGCTGGATGATTACAGTACAGGCAGAGTAACTGCAACACTAGGTAACCAGCGGACTAGGAAACTATAGGTTTTGTAACTTCAAATTAGGATTATACAGTGGGGAAAAAAAGTATTTAGTCAGCCACCAATTGTGCAAGTTCTCCCACTTAAAAAGATGAGAGAGGCCTGTAATTTTCATCATAGGTACACGTCAACTATGACAGACAAAATGAGAAAAAGAAATCCAGAAAATCACATTGTAGGATTTTTTATGAATTTATTTGCAAATTATGGTGGAAAATAAGTATTTGGTCAATAAAAAAAGTTTCTCAATACTTTGTTATATACCCTTTGTTGGCAATGACACAGGTCAAACGTTTTCTGTAAGTCTTCACAAGGTTTTCACACACTGTTGCTGGTATTTTGGCCCATTCCTCCATGCAGATCTCCTCTAGAGCAGTGATGTTTTGGGGCTGTCGCTGGGCAACACGGACTTTCAACTCCCTCCAAAGATTTTCTATGGGGTTGAGATCTGGAGACTGGCTAGGCCACTCCAGGACCTTGAAATGCTTCTTACGAAGCCACTCCTTCGTTGCCCGGGCGGTGTGTTTGGGATCATTGTCATGCTGAAAGACCCAGCCACGTTTCATCTTCAATGCCCTTGCTGATGGAAGGAGGTTTTCACTAAAAATTTCACGATACATGGCCCCATTCATTCTTTCCTTTACACGGATCAGTCGTCCTGGTCCCTTTGCAGAAAAACAGCCCCAAAGCATGATGTTTCCACCCCCATGCTTCACAGTAGGTATGGTGTTCTTTGGATGCAACTCAGCATTCTTTGTCCTCCAAACACGACGAGTTGAGTTTTTACCAAAAAGTTATATTTTGGTTTCATCTGACCATATGACATTCTCCCAATCCTCTTCTGGATCGGCTTGTGCGAGCCAGAACAGCTCATAGGAGCAGGAGCCATCTCTTGTTTCTGTATCATGAGGCAGCTTGATGTACAAGTACACCCCCTGGACAGGACGTCTATCACAGGGCCTTACCCCCAATCTATCTCCTTAATGCGGAGTGCCAAGCAGATGTGCACCAGGCCCCATTTTTACAGTCTTTGGTATGACTTAGCTGGTGAACGAACTCCCAATCCTCCAATCTCAAGGCGTACACTCAAACCACAAGGTCACTGAGTGGTTTTGAAGGCCTATTATATTAAACAAAGCTGGAAACCAGTACCTCTTTATGACAGTTTTTCAATTAGCAATAAATCTTCCACATAGAATTGAAACAACAATACCTTATTCATCAAGACAGCTTTTTAATAGTTATGCACAAAGTAAACAAGAACAGTTTCATCCATCTACAAAATCATTCTCTTTAAATTGCAAAAATATGTACTACAAATAGATCTTCACATTGATAAATTGGTTATATAGAAACCTAACGTACAAAGCAATATTCAAATTTGGACATTCATTGGTATTCAAAGGCTGTGATTTGTTTTGATAACTAAATGTTTTAGATACAAATCTGAAGGCATTGATTTGTTTTGATATTTATCAGTGCAGGGATCAATAGGCTCCCTCTCTCAGAGTGTGTGTTTGCGTGTGTTTGTTAGGAAATTTAGAAAATGAAATCTGCAGTGGATAGAATTCATTTCTCAACCAATTTCATCAATCACCAACTGGAGTATCAGTGACACAGGAGAAGGAATGGAAGATGTGGAAAGTGATTAGCTTTCATTGCTTATATGAATCAATAATTGCAAGTTGTAGAACTCATTTCCTATCCAACTGCAGGTGTGTGTCTGTGTGTGTGTGTCTCTCTCTGTGTGTGTGTGTGTGTGTGTGTGTCTAGTGGTTGTGGCTGGAGACAGAGCTATTGATGGGTGGTCTCACCAGCTCCTCCATGATGACAGCAAGGATGTGGCACAGCTTCTTGGCCTGTAGGGCAGAGGACACACACACACATACATTAATGAAATGCAGACTTTATCAATGACAGTACTGTATTGCATAGTTTTGTCATGCCTTTGAGCAATTCACTTTATTTGAATACATTATTTCAATTTCCCATCAGTTGACTATTGCGGAAGTTGCTTTGACTAAAGGTATCAGTGTAGCCAGGGGCGTCATGCACCTCAAAATCTGACGGGGCACAAAGTATGTGAGGATGGCTGGGGGGTGTTCCAGAGGGGGGCTAGGTCCGTAAATTTGAGAATTTTGCATTTTTCAAACACCCGAAGCAGCTTTTTCCTGCAATCTAGAGCCATAATCATTATGCTTAATTCTATGTAAAAAAAAATATATGTTTATTCTTCTGCATATCTAAACATTCCTCTTGAGCTGTCTGTATCCTCCTGGTTGGTGGCAATCCTTTTAAATAAACTAAATATGCTTCTCTGCATCTCTGCTAAAATCTGGGTAAAATCTTGAAAGGATTGTGAGTCAGATTCAGTACATTTAGTAATTGGTTGCTAAGATAGTTAGACAAGCTAGCTACTCTAAGTTGATTGATAGCCTGAAATATCTTGGTAGCTAGTTATGAGTTTGGGAACCTATTAAGGCTAGCTAAAGCCAACTTCATAAAATTGCTAGGTGGCTAGTAGTATTACAGAGAAACAACAATAAAAAAAGATGACATGACAAATCTGAAGGAGCACGTGCCCCCTTATTCGCATGACGCCTCTGAGCGTAGCCAAGCAATGACGGTTTATGTGTCTTCTTGAAATCTTATCCCCCATGTAGCATGTGTGTGTAATGTGCATTGCCCTTAGTGACCATATCCCTTTCACTGTGTAACCTTACACTTTACGGACACTAAAGAACAAACCCATCCACCATTGGTCACCAACCTTTGTTCCTGGAAAGCTACGGGGTGTTCAGCTTTTTGTTCTAGCTGTACACAGAACCGGGGGTTGGTGGCCCCGTCGTTCACTGCTGTGTATTGTACTTCACCTGTTTGAGGTGGATGGTGATGGTTTTTAGGAGTCCTGGGTTGCCATAGTTGATCTCCACTCCAGGCACCTTCTTGTCTTTCTTTGGTTTAACTGAGCGCAGTGACTGCACTTCCACCAATGGGATCACAAATATCGGCTCCTGAATAACACAGGAAAATTATAATAAATAATTAATAATAGCAGACATCTATAAAAGCCATAGATCCATATAATCAGTCATGATCGATCAGTTCACCCTTTTTTAGGGAAACACGGTGCCTGCATTTCCTATGTTTGGGGTGTCCCAAACATAGTGGTGTTTTTGGGTGTAAATGCAGTACCTGCATATTGGGATGGCAGAACAACACCCCTTCTTGGTTGACAGCCACCAGGCAAGGCGAGGGGCAGCTGCGATGGCTGACCTTCTGAGCCAGGAAGATATTAGAGCCGAACAGAGGCAGGGAGCTCAGGCATTCTGGGGATAGAGGGAGCAAATCAATCAATACAATTCTATTCATACAGCATTATAGATACTGTATCTATAATGCATTATCTATTTACAAATACATTTATCACAAAGTTCATCACAGCAACCAAGGCGAAAATAAAAGTGTGTGTGTGCTGTGTGTGTGCTGTGTGTGTGCTGTGTGTGTGTGTGCCTCACCGAGGAAGCGGGATTTGGCGTCGTGGGGGCTGAGGGACAGCTTGGCGGTCATCTCTCTGAAGGAGATCGATTGGATCTGCTCCAGGTTGGTGCTGCCCCCTTCCTGTCGGGGGAGGTACTCCTTCAGTTCAGGCCTGACAGGGACAGAAGAGAGAGACAACTATCAGTAACTCTATCACTCTTAACATAGGACAGAGAGAATAATCACTTATGTCCGGTCTGAAAACAACAGAGCTGCTGAGTGAGGCACTGGGCCAGGTGCTGCAGAGTGTAGGGGCTAAAGGCTAGGGGTTAGGGTATAGGGGTTAAGGGTAGTACTCACACAGATGGCTCTTGAGTGAGGCCCTGTGCCAGGTGCTGCAGGACAGCCAGCTCTGCCATCTGCTGGACGACATTGGCACCACTGCCTGGCAGCAGCAGTTTGCCATCCAGGTAGTTACCCAGGACCTGCAGGCAACAGACAGGGAGGGACAGATGGTGTTAATTCATCTACAGGGACAGAAGGGTTGTCACTAGGGCCTGACATAACTCAAGGTGGTTTCAATGGTTATAACAGAACTCTAGGGGTCGTTACAATGGTACCTGTTGGAAGTGGAACTCCAGGTAGAGGTCGTTGTCGAAGTGAAGTGGGTGTGTCCACATGACACGGTGGAAGGACAGGAAGATGGAGCCATCATCCAATAGGAAGTCAAACAGGTACTCATCAGGGTGGAGAGGCCGCACCAGCTCATCTGATGGAGGAGAGGAAGAAGAGAGGCAGGAGGGAGGTAGTGATAAGGAAGGGATGAAAAGAGAAGAAGAGAGACAGTCATACAAAACCTCTATGATTTTCTTAGTTTTGCTGTCACACAATTCATATTTATTAACCTTTTGTGCATTGCAGGTAAACGGTTTTGGGGAGTAATTTGGGTTAATAGCTATAGCATGTCTGTTTGTCCACCTACCCTTGTCCCGGCTGGCATGGATAGAGAACTCCTTAACTTCTGACGGGTCCTGGATGCCCATCTCTGTACACAGCTCTTCCACCACCTCCAGAGCGACCTGGGTACAAAGAGTCAATCTTTATCATAATGATAATTAAAGGGAGGAGGGGAAAGTAGAAAAGTAAAGTGAAGGAGACTTGACTTACGCTGAAGCTGCGTATCTTACAGAGGAACTCCACTCCACCTGGCAGCTTGATGGGGAACCGACGAGAATGTCTGCCAGCCTGCAGAGAACAACACACACACAGCGATAGCTGTACTGCTTATCTTACATTAAAAAAGATTTCCACACTCATGTGGATCCATGTCTTACCAGTATGGCTTCCATCTCTGCGTGAGAGGGGATGTGTCTGCGCCCTCCGTGGATCAGAGACTGGAACAGATTGTCCTTACAGTTTTGAGACAGCTCTGAGATAGAGGATAGACATAATTGCATTAGATACAGAAAAGCTCTGGGGTAACAGATGCAGATACACGTTTTAAGGGATCTCTTTGGGGGCATGGCCAATGTGTGAGGGGTGCAGGGCTGTGTGTGTGTGTGTGTACCTTGGTAGAGGTGTGTGGGGTCTTGGCTGATGTTTTGTAGAAGGCATGTGACGTAGCGGTTCAGAGTGCCAGAGCAGGGGAAGAACCCTGCTACCAGGTTCAACAGACGCCAACCTCGGGTACAGCTCTCCCTGTATAACACACACAAGTTAGGAATTGACCCTCTGTACACTATTCACAGGTAAAGGTTTATACACAATCTGCCAGCTACTCACCTGTGTGTGTTGTTTGTGGTCTGTTTGATCAACTGGCAGTAAATCTCATCTCTCAGGAACTCCTTCTCTTTCCCTAACTGAACACACAAACACAATGGATAGACATTACTACATGATTCCATTCAAGCAGCTGTATCCTCATAAGGAGTGTAAGGTGAGCGATGGTGTTTGTGTGTGAGCTATGTGTATGTAATGGGAGAGACTCACCATCAAGACATGTCTGACACAGTCTCCCTCAGACTTGTGCTTCCCGAGAGGCTGGTCTCCCATGAACTGCATTAAACCTTCAGAGAGCGAAAGAGAAGTGGGAAAGGGGAAAATTGAGATGAAGAGATGCAATGTACACATAAATAGTGTGTGTGTGCGTCACAGGACGTTGGTGGCACCTTAATTGGGGAGGACGGGCACGTGGTAATGGCTGGAGCGGAATCAGTGGAATGGTATTAACAACATCAAACACATGGTTTCCGTGTGTTTGATGCCATTCCATTCGCTCCGTTCAATCCATTATTATGAGCAGTCCTCCAATCAGCAGCCTCCACTGGTGTGCATGTGTGTGTGTGTGTGGGACTGTGTGTGTGTGAGTATGTGGACTCACTCAGGAAGGCCTGGACAGCCAGGCCATTGAGCTCAGGATCATTGTACAGGATGAGGGATTCCTGAATAGGAACCTCTGTGTGCTGAAGAATCTCTGAGAAGTTTCTACCTCCATTAGGCAGACCTCTAACCTCCATTCTGTGATAGAGAGACAAAGGGAGAAAAACGAAGGAGGGGTGATTATGAAAGAGGGAGAGAGATGGAGCAAGGAAGAGAGAGTCCGAGAGAAAGTACATAAGGAGAAAGAGAGGTAAGTATATGTAGTTATGGAAGACAGTTGTTACACTCAGGAAAATATAGGATTACATACATTGTATAACCTTGTTACCCTTCTCACCTGGTAGCAGTGTCTCTGAAGTGTTTCATGGCAAACTCTGTCATCAGGAACGTCTGCACCTCCCTCATCTCACCGTCCTGGACCGAGCCCTGGACCGATAATTTGACCGTATGAGCTGACCCCAGCATGGAGCCCTCTCGGTTGGGCGGTGCTGAGCCGGTGTGGAGAGTGCGCCTGGAAGCTGGGGGTCTGGTGGCAGCGGGGGGCTTGGGAGCTCTCATGCTCTTCCTCCTCTCGTCGAGGCGGTCAAGGTGGACGTGGTGGTAGTCAGGAGGGGCAGACGGCTGAGTGACATCGATGGGGAAGAGACCGGAGCGCCCCCCAATGGAACCGAAACACCAACCTGAGAGAGAAGAAGAGTGCAGGGTTAGGACAGTCACAGAGAGAGAGAGCGGGAGAGAAAGAGAGAGAGAGAAAGAGTGGGGAAAGAGAGAGACAGAGAGAAAAAGAGAAGGAGAGGTCAAAGGTCAGTGTGATGACCTCACCTGGCTGGAGGCCATCCATGGGCAGCAGTTTGATGATGTCACCCTTGCGGAAGTTGAGCAGGCTCTTGTCGTCGGTCACAAAGCTCTTCAGAGCAATCATATGATCCGAGCCCTGAGAAGGTTTGATAGGATGTTAGACACAACAAAGATAATATACACAGTAAGATTTAGTGTACCAGGAAATATATGTATACAATTATTTGTATGATATAAGATGAAGAAGAGGAGGGTGGTTACATTGATGAGTTCTTGGTGGAACACGCTGACCATGGCAGTAATCTGTGCAGCCCTGTTGCTCTGCAGCTGCAGCTGTTCTCCCTTTAGACTGAATTCCACTATGTCTGCAGACCGCAGTTCCACCGACAGCAGCTCTGCATAGCTACATAGAGAAAACCACAGCACGTATGGTACACACACAGGGAGAACATATACGGACATGCACACACACACTAGATGTATATTCTCACTTAATAATTCAAAGGCTAAAGTTCAGAAGTATTTGTATTCTAATTTAGGTTTTGTGATTGAAGATGAGGCGTACCTGTAGCTGCGGAGCAGGCGCAGGTGTTTGGGGTTTATGCCTGATGCTCTGGCCACCTTCATCAGACGAATCCCACGATGAGACACGCCCAACAGCTGGGTGTCCCCGCTGGTACCACCCTACAACACACACACACAGGGGAGATGAGTGTGTGTATGTCTGTCAGTCTGTCTGTCTGTCAGAGAGAGAGAGTGAGAGAGAGAAAGCTAACTCACTTTGACAGGGAACAGTCGTGTGAAGTAGTTTTCCCAGTTGTCTCTGGCAGCCATCACTATCCTCTTCTTCATGGTGTCGTCCTGAACCGAGCTGATATTGGTGCCCACATGGAAACTGGCTGGAGAGAGATGGAGGTAGGGGTAGAACGTAAGGAAAAAGTAGAATGGAGGATCAGAACACTCATTTTTACCTGGACCCACCAACTGACTCACCTGGTAAAAAAGACAAATAGACTCACCTAGTAAATCCTTCATTTTTCTCCTATCCTCTCTGGTGATCCTCACACAGGTGTCAGAGTATGTGTCTCTCATGATCTGAAAGGGAAACATAAACATGGATTTATAGTAATATACGGTGTGATATGTATAAGCCAGTGAATAAAAAGGGCCACAGGGAAATAACCAGTACTGACCTGCTCACAAAGGAGTTTGAGGATGTAGGGGTGGTTGAACCTCTCTCTGGGGTAAAATACCTGAACACACACAGAGGGATTATAGGGATTCACCTACAATGCAAACACATTACATGTAGAATAATACAGACAATTCTAATGTTCTCGCCTGCTGTTCCAGCTCACCTCTTTGCGTAGGAACAGTTTGCCAGGCATGGCAGAGTAGGAAAAGTAGACGCTGGCAGAGAACCTGTGGAACTGTGAGCGAACACTCTCCTCCCTAGACAGCAGATCTATGGAGGACAAACACAAACAATATGAGTTACTTTACTTCTCTGTGGAGTTTTTACTGTAGTATATGAGTTATGAATGTGTATCTGAGGCTATGGCTGGACAGGCAGTGCAAACAGTGTAAACACAAACATGTGTACCTTTACTGTACCTTAACACCTGCATTTCAAGTAGTTGTACTTACTGAGTGTGGGGGCAGCCTTGGCAGGAGGGTCTGGCAAGCTTTCATAGATGGCTGGGGGAGAAGGAGGGGCGGACTCTGGGGGAGCAAGCGGAAGGTTCTTGGAACGACCCTGTGTGCCAAAGAGGTCGGCCAGGGAACGCTGTTTCTGCTTCATGCTGTTGGAGATTGAGCGAGGCCCTCTGGTGGAAGGAGGAGAGGGTTGCCATGCTTGGGGGGGCTCCCTCTGGACTGGGGGAGGGGGGGGCCCACTTTCTCTGGAGGGGAGGAGAGGAGAGAAGAAGAGAGAGAAGTGTAAGACTAGAGGCTTTAATTATGAATGAATGAATTTCTAGTTTGTGTTCCTGGCCCTTTGTAAACCCCAGCCAAGCTCTAACCTTCTGCTGTTGTACAGGTCCTTTATTCATGAGGATTGCCAAGGCCTCCTCTTTAGGATCATTCTTCTTCACAAACGACAGGCCTGGAACCCTGGAGAGGAGCGAGACAAGGGGGAAGTTGATGGTATATGGTACATAGATGGTACAAGACCCAATAGAGAGAAATTAAATGGATCCACTGTCCCACTGACCTGACGGGCTCGTAGGGTTTGGGATCACTGGCAGGGCGGCTCTGGTATTGTTTGATGATGTCACGGATGCTGGTGGTGGGCGGGGGCGGGGAGGCAGGGGGGCTGGGGGGGGCTGGGTCTCTGGCAGGAGGAGAGGGGGGAGGTTGCAAAGTCCTGGGGGCTGGGGGTGGGGAGGGGGAGCGGGAACGGGTCTGTTTGGGGGGGCTGATGGGAGCAGGGCGAGGCTTTAACGGTTTGGCTGCTGGCTTGGGCTGAGAACCTGACAGAGTGAATGAGAGCACAGGCAGATGGTTGTTAATCAAGACAAGACTCTCAACATCAGATTCTCAGATGTTGAATAGGTATCTGGTAGGTTTATTTAGCTCTACTCACCAATCTTCTGGAAAAACGCTCTCTTCTCATTGAAAGACTTGCGCTGGTCTGGACTGGCAAAGTCCACATCCTTCTCCGGCTGGAAAAGCAGATATACACATAAAACATGATACAGATAAGTAAGCATTTCACTGTTAGTCCACACCTGTTGTTTATGAAGCATGTGACAAATACACATTTATTTGATTTGATTACATCTGAGTCTGCTTGCAAGTTAATGTTGTTTAATGGGTTTCTTTTGTAATTAAATTACACATTTTTGCAATGGCTAAGTACATAAAGGACACTAATCAATCAGAGCAGCAAACAAACACACCCCTCCCTCCCTCCCACACACCTCAGGTATATGGTGCTGTATCTGTGGCTGTGGTTTCATCTGGCTGGGAGTGCATAGTGGTGATGGGGCGGGGGGATTTGTGTGTGCCGGGGGTGGGGGTGGGGGTGGCGGTGATGGGGCGCGGGGGGGGTGTGACAGTTCGGTTAGCCTGGCGCCTCTGCTGCTGTCTCTCCTGCTGCTCCTGTCTCTGCTCCTGTCTCTGCTGCTGCTCCTGTCTCTGCTGCTGTCTCTGCTGCTGCTCCTGAGCCTGCTGCTGGGACATAGTCATGGCCTGCATTGTCATCTGCTGGGCCTAGAAGGGGAGGGCGAGAGGAGAAAGAGAGAGGGATGGAGAGAGAGGAAGGGCAGTCACTAGGTGGTCATGTTAGAACAGAAGTGGTGATATCATAAGAACTGTTGAACAAGGATAGGGTTATGGTGGGTTTGTTTTCCCTGGCATGTGGGTTCCCAGTTTTCCCCCAGTGTCTCCCAGTCCTTACCATGAGCAGGGCCTGTTGGTTGATGAAAGCCTGCTGCTGCACTGCTATCTGCTGGGGGTCCACGGCTGGTGCAGCTGGCTGGGGCATCATCATGGTTGGCATCATAGGCATGGGAGCAGCTGGCATCATACTTGGCATCATCTGAGCCCCGTAGCCTTGCATGGCAGGGTTCATAGGCATTCCTGAGGCAAAAAAAGATGGGACATTTTGGAAATGTAGGAAGAATAGTGGGAAAATAGTGCAGGATAGAGAAAAATAAATGACTGAATGAAAAATATTTAAAGCATGATTAGAATGTTTGTGTAATTAAATTGCTCCCCTCACTTACCCATAGAATAACCTGGCATTGTCATTGGAACACCTGCAACACAGGTATTGTATTTAACATTAAAATGAAAACCCATTGCCCTAATAATGAGAGAAACGGAGAGAGAGAGAGAGAGAGAGAGAGAGAGAGAGAGAGAGAGAGAGAGAGAGAGAGAGAGAGAGAGAGAGAGAGAGAGAGAGAGAGAGAGAGAGAGAGAGAGAGAGAGAGAGAGAGAGAGAGAGAGAGAGAGAGAGAGAGAGAGATAAAGTACCTGCTCCATACATCCCTCCTCCTCCTCTCATCCTCCTGTTCAACATGGCCATACGCTCCCGGTCCTACACACACACACGTAATACAGTACACACAACAGCAGAACGTTTTGTTATGCAATCTACACATCACATACAGTAATACGATAAACAAAATTGTAGTTACCCAATCCCTGGCCTTGCCTTGTATCCAAGACAAAGGAACAGAAGACACAATCCAACCAGTAACAGATAATCACAGGTAAAGACAGTTACAGAGCACATCCTATTAGATATAACGTTGAATGGTGCTGTGGAAAAGTATGTCTCAGGTAAAACACTGACCCCTGGTCCCTGGTCCAGCACTGGGTCAAAGAGGTCATCCAGATAGGCATCCATCTGACGACCACGAGAACCCTCTGATGGCTGGTAGTCGCTGCGATCCCATGGGGCCCCTTCCTGCTGGGGGAGACCAGGGGCCTGCATGGAGGGGGCCGGGGGGATGAACCCATCGAGATCTGTTGTCATCCTCCTAATGGCAAGAGAGAGGGAGAGTGAAGTTGGGGTCCTGTGTGTGTGTGTGTGTGTGTGTGTGTGTGCATGTAATGCATACGTGCGCGTGCATATCTGTGTGTGTGCCCCCCAGTCTCACCGGTTTCCCTCGTTGTTGAACAGGTAGTCAGAGTGTGTGTGTGCAGTCCCCAGTGTTGTATCAGTCTCTGCTCCAGCCAACAGGTCCATGACAAAGTCACATCCAGCCAGATCAGACCAGCCCTCATCAGCTAGCAGAGACACAGACCAGCCCCGAGGAGTGTCAGATAACCCTCTGAAGTGGAGCAGCCATGAGGCCAGCTGCTCTCCTGTGGTCCAGGACTCTACCTCAGCTGTAATCTTTTCCTCTGGAAGAGATAGAAAGCGAGGGAATGAAACTTACAACCCTGGTGCTGCAAACACCAACACTCCAACCAAGTGAAATATCATAATTACACTGAGCAAATGGAACCACAACATAAGAAAGAAAAAGTGACAGACATGACATAGAGATGACTTATACATGTTATAACCCCCCTATTTCTCTCACCGTTGAAGGTGTGTATGTCCAACACCATCTTTCCTCTCCTCTGATTGGTTGTCCACTCAAGCTGGGAGGGGGGATGGAGGCGGGAGGTGGGGGAGGGTAGATGGAGGGAGGTGAGGAGTTTGTGCTGGCACAGAGAACGATATTCACCTGGACCCTTGTCAGACACATACCTGTCCACAGGTGAGACAGAGAAACACAGACTTACATGCCTGCACATGTAAGACAAAATCAAAGAACCAAATATGGTTGACAAAGAGAGGACATATTTTTATGGTCGCTAAAAAGTAGTGTAGAAAAACATTTCAAAAAATCTCGATCCCTACACAACACAATTTTTCAATAATTACAAAAAATACGTCTTTAAAACAGATTTTGCCTACTGAGCTACTTACTTGAGCAAGGGTTTGTCAAGGGCTGGGGAGGGGGTGAAGGCACTGAGGCAGCAGGCTAGTAACAACCAGCTCCGTAGGGACCCCTCCTCTGACTCCCTGCCCCAGGTGGTGTAGGCTATCTGGGCTAGGATCTCATCCCTCAGGGGGGGTCTGGTAAGGCCCTGCTCCACGATGTAGTTTCCCAACAGCTGCTCCTGCCAGCCACTCAGATCACTTTCCCCTGCAAAGCGCAGGATCTGGGGAGAGACACAAGGGTTAAAGAGATGAGATATTGTGTGTGTGTGTGTGTGTGTGTGTGTGTGTGTGTGTGTGTAGTACTGACCAGTTTGTAGATCTCCAGAGCGATGCAAGCGTCCTCAGGCTCCAGATAGGTCAGAGGTCGCTGGAGGGAGTAGCCCTGTGGCTGACACCAGCCATCCTTCAGTGTAGTTTTGGCATATCGTGAGAAGGGGTAGCAGTCTATATCGAGGGGCATGGTGAGGGTGTGTTCTGCTTTCACCTGTGGAGGCGCCACCTCTGTTACCCCAGAGACATGCTGCCGCCCTGGTGCAAGGACACATAATTACAATCACACACAGAGAAAAGACCCCAGAGAATAATGGCAGTCCTGGGTCCAATCCAGGAACAGTATACCCTTTACCTGCCACTGCTGTGTTTACAGATCAAAATATTAGCATTATTATCTACATACATGTTTTAGCCAATCCCAGCTGCCCTCAACCCATCTCCACCAATCCCAGCACTGCTCGTACTCACCTGCTGCGCTGCGTAGTCTGGCCGACAGCTCAGCTGGGATCTCCAACATTCCCACATCCTGGAAAAGGCAGGGATTTATTGGACCAGAGGCTCCTTTTAAATATATGGCTTTGATTTCTATATCTACTAACACCCTTTAATTGGAATAGATTTTGTACAGGTGTAGTGATCTCTTACCATTCCTGTGGAGGAGGCGTCTTCAGTCTCAGTGGTTGTGGTGGTGTTGGGCTTCACCGTGCTACTCTCGTTCCTCTCTTGTTCCTGAGAACAAACACACACACAGGTTCGACTGAGTTCAGCCCTGAGCTATCTATATCTCATCTTATCTTAACTAGTTTTTATACAATCAGATGTAGAGCACTGATAGGCAGTGATGACCCCTCCTTTCAATAACAAAAGAAACAAACAGACAACACATGAACACAGACCTGTCAAACCTTTACACAAACAGGTGTCTGAAATTAATTTAATCCATTCAATTATATCTAGCCTTTCTCAATTATTTCCCAGTTTGTGAATAAACCTTCCACTGTTTTTCTCCAAGTGTTTCTCCTGTACCTGTGCTCAGGTGTGTTTGTCCTACCTGCTCAGGCCAGGTATGTAGAGATCTGTCAGGTTAACAAACAGACCGTGGACAGAGAGAGAGAAAGTCCAGTCCTATTCTTAGAAACACAGCCTGTTATATATCCCAACTGCCTTCGCTCCGCCCATAACACAGGCCACACGGATACCAGAGTCCAGAATGCACACCTTTATCTAATGGTTTACAGCCTGAGCTTTATACAGCTAAAGTTGTTCCCTCATATCACTGCACTGTAAGTGTATCATAGTGTATTCTTGTGATATGAATGTATGTACGTAGATTTACTGAGGTGTATTGATGGGTGTGGGTGGGTTACACAATACACACACACAGAATGTAGTTGCCTGATTAAGAGATTTGCTAATGTGATTGCTGGGTGTTAGTTTACTAAACATGTCAGCTACATCTGTTGTGATGACTGATCTAAAGCGAAAGTGTACTACAATAGCTGTATCTTAATCCTTCGATTACTTTGCTGCAATCCACAATTTTTGGTAAGAGGGGGGCAATGTCTATTCATCCATTCCACAAAGTTCAAATGGCACATAGTTTATGAGCTGATACACAAAACGACGCCAGATTCAAAACTTTTAAATTATTATAGAAGATTCTTGCAACCAATAGAATGTTATACATATGGGGGATACAACCATCCCAGCTCTGCAGATTTTGCTGCGAAAGAGACAGAATCATTAGATCATTTGTTTTGGTACTGTCCATATGTAGCTTGTTTTTGGTCGCAGGTTCAGGAATGGCTGAAGAATTGCAACATTTACCTGGAGCTAACTCTGCAAATAGCACTGCTGGGTGATTTGAAAAGTCATTGTCAATCGATCAATAATATAATAATACTTTTAGCAAAAATGTTTATCTTTAATTTACAATCTGTAAAAACTATGAGAATAGAAAGGTTCAGAACTTTTGTGAAACATCACAGCACAGTTGGAAAATATATGGCAAATAGAAATCAAAACTGGATGGTGTTAAGAGATAGATGGGAGGGGTTGTGTAGAGCTGAAGGGTGGGACTAAGAACAACAAGATAACTAATGCAAAATATACTGGGTCTGTAAAATGTATATAGGTTCTGAACTTTTGTGAGAAGGAAAGAAATTCCACAAATTAACTTTTAAGAAGGCACACCTGTTAATTGAAATGCATTCCAGGTGACTACCTAATGAAGCTGGTTGAGAGAATGCTAAGAGTGTGCAAAGCTGTCATCAAGGCAAAGGGTGGCTATTTGAAGAATCTCAAATATAAAATATATTTTGATTTGTTTAACACTTTTTTGGTTACTACATGATTCCATACGTGTTATTTCATAGATTTGATGACTTCACTATTATTATTAAATGTAAAAAATAGTACAAATAAAGAAAACCCCTTGAATGAGTAGGTGTGTCCAAACTATTGACTGGTAGTGTACAGTTGAAGTCGGAAGTTTACATACACTTAGGTCGGAGTCATTAAAACTCATTTTCCAACCACTCCACAAATTTCTTGATAACAAACTATAGTTTTGGTAAGTCGGTTAGGACATCTACTTTGTGCATGACACAAGTAATTTTTCCAACAATTGTTTACAGAGAGATTATTTCACTTATAATTCACTGTATCACAATTCCAGTGGGTCAGAAGTTTACATACACTAAGTTGACTGTGCCTTTAAACAGCTTGGAAAATTCCAGAAAATGATGTCATGGCTTTAGAAGCTTCTGATAGGCTAATTGACATCATTTGAGTCAATTGGAGGTGTACCTGTGGATGTATTTCAAGGCCTACCTTCAAACTCAGTGCCTCTTTGCTTGACATCATGGGAAAATCAAAAGAAATCAGCCAAGACCTCAGAAAAAAAAATGGTAGACCTCCACAAGTCTGGTTCATTTTTGGGAGCAATTTACAAATGCCTGAAGGTACCACGTTCATCTGTACGCAAGTATAAACACCATGGGACCATGCAGCCGTCATACCGCTCAGGAAGGAGACGCGTTCTGTATCCTAGAGATAAACATACTTTGGTGCGAAAAGTGCAAATCAATCCCAGAACAACAGCAAAGGAACTTGCGAAGATGCTGGAGGAAACAGGTACAAAACTATCTATATCTACAGTAAAACTAGTCCTATATTGACATAACCTGAAAGGACATTCAGCAAGGAAGAAGCCACTGCTCCAAAACCGCAATAAAAAAGCCAGACTACGGATTGCAACTGCACATGGGGACAAATATCGTACTTTTTTGAGAAATGTCCTCTGGTCTGATGAAACAAAAATAGAACTGTTTGGCCATAATGACCATTGTTATGTTTGGAGGAAACTGTGAAGCACGGAGGTGGCAGCATCATTACATTTTACATTTTTGTCATTTAGCAGACGCTCTTATCCAGAGCGACTTACAGTTAGTGCATACATTTTCATTACTGGCCCCCCGTAGGAATCGAACCCACAGCCCTGGCGTTGCAAGCGCCATGCTCTACCAACTGAGCTACACAGGGCCTATGCTGTGGGGGTGCTTTGCTGCAGGAGGGACTGGCGCACTTCACAAAATAGATGGCATCATGAGGAAGGACAATTATGTGGATATATTGAAGCAACATCTCAAGAAATCAGTCAGGAAGTTAAAGATTGGTCGCAAATGGGTCTTCCAAATGGACAATGACCCTAAGCATACTTCCAAAGTTGTGGCAAAATGGCTTAAGGACAACAAAGTCAAGTTATTGGAGTGGCCATCACAAAGCCCTGACCTCAATCCTATAGAAAATGTGTGGGCAGAACTGAAAAGGCGTGTGTGAGCAAGGAGGCCTACAAACCTGACTCAGTTACACCAGCTCTGTCAGGAGGAATGGGCCAAAATTCACCCAACTTATTGTGGTAAGCTTGTGGAAGGCTACCCGAAACATTTGACCTAAGTTAAACAATTTAAATGCAATGCTACCAGATACTAATTGAGTGTATGTTAACTTCTGTCCCACTGGGAATGTGATGAAATAAATAAATAATTCTCTCTACTATTATTCTGACATTTCACATTCTTAAAATAAAGTGGTGATCCTAACTGACCTAAAACAGGGAATTTTTACTAGGATTAAATGTCAGGAATTATGAAAAACTGAGTTTAAATGTATTTGACTAAGGTGTATGTAAACTTCCGACTTCAACTGTATGGGGGATTGGAAATCATGCAGACAATTACATTGATGGAAGCTACAATCTATCTTCAATATTAAAGCTGGCATGTTGGCAAGAGCATCCATAGTCCAATTTCCATAAAACAATTAAACCCAATGAGAGTAATTCAATGAACAGCACATAATAGGGAAACTAAAATAAGAATTTGGATTAATAATTTAACCAAGGCAGTAATCTCTATACATGACCAAAAGTATGTGGACACCTGCTTGTGGAACATCTCATTCCAAAATCATGGTCATTAATATGGAGTTGGTCCCCCCTTTGCTGCTATAACAGCCTCCACTCTTCTGGGAAGGCTTTCCACTAGATGTTGGAACATTGCTGTGGGGACTTTCTTCCATTCAGCCACAAGAGCATTAGTGAGGTCGGACACTGAGTTGGGTGATTAGGCCTGGATCACATTCGGCGTTCCAATTCATCCCAAAGATGTTCGATGTGGTTGAGGTAAGGGCTCTGTGCAGGCCAGTCAAGTTCTTCCACACCGATCTTGACAAACCATTTCTGTATGGACCTCGCTTTGTGCACGGGGGCATTGTCATTCTGAAGCAGGAAAGGGCCTTCTCCAAACTGTTGCCACAAAGCTGGAAGCACAGAATCGTCTAGAATGTCATTGTCTGCTGTAGAGTTAAGATTTCCCTTCACTGGTACTAAGGGGCCTAGCCCGAACCATGAAAAACAGCCCCAGACCATTATTCCTCCTCCACCAAACTTTACAGTTGGCACTATGTATTGGGGCATGTAGCGTTCTCCTAGCATCCGTCAAACCTAGATTCTTCTGTCGGACTGCCAGATGGTGAAGCGTGATTCATCACTTCAGAGAACGCGTTTCCACTGATCCAATGGCGGCGAGCTTTACACAACTCCAGCCGACGCTTGGCATTGCGCGCATCCGTCAAACCTAGATTCTTCTGTCGGACTGCCAGATGGTGAAGCATGATTCATCACTTCAGAGAACGCGTTTCCACTGATCCAATGGCAGCGAGCTTTACACAACTCCAGCCGACGCTTGGCATTGCACATGGTGATCTTAGGCTTGTGTGTGGCTGCTCAGCCATGGAAACCCATTTCATGAAGCTCCCAACGAACAGTTCTTGTGCTGACCTTGCTTCCAGAGGCAGTTTGGAACTCAGTAGTAGTGAGTGTTGCAACCGAGGACAGACGATTTCTACGCGCTGAGCCGTTGTTGCTCCTAGACATTCCACTTCACAATAACAGCACTGACTTGTTGGAAAGGTGGCATCCTATGACGGTGCCACATTGAAAGTCACTGAGCTCTTCAGTAAGGCCATTCTACTGCCAATGGTTGTCTATGGAGATTGCATGGCTGTGTGCTATTATTTTTTTTACCCCTTTCAGCAACGGGTGTGGCTGAAATAGCCGAATCCACTAATTTGAAGGGGTGTCCACATACTTTTGTATATATGTGGTCCTCTGTAGCTCAGCTGGTAGAGCACGGCGCTTGTAACGCCAAGGTAGTGGGTTCGATCCCCGGGACCACCCATACACAAAACGCTTTGGATAAAAGCGTCTGCTAAATGGCATATTAATATAGTGTATAAAGAGAGGAAGAGTGGGAATTACCAATAAAGCATCCATCATAACATAGCAAAACCTATACATTATCAACAGTATACTCTTCCATCTCTCTTTCTCTCCTTTTCCCTCGCTCTCCCCCCTTCTCATTCTGTCTCCATTCACAAAATAATAAATAAAGCCTTGAGCTGAAGAAAACTAATAACAAAGTATGAAAAAAACGACATGTTAATGAATTATAAATAAAAGAGCCTACCTGTTAACAATCCTGAGGTATAAGTGTTACTCCAGAGAGGGAGACAGACCGACAAGCGGAAGGAGAGAGAGAAAGATGCTACAACTTCTAATTTCAGTAATAGGGGTTGAAGTCCGAAAGCAATAGGAATATGTGGCTAGAGGTGTGTGTGTGTGTGAGTGTGTGTGTGTGTGTGGAACACGAAACAGAGAGAGAATAGGCGTGGTAAGTGTAGGTAAATTGGAGGAGGACAGGTGGCTGAAATATTTACATGCTTGACCACACCCTACTTACATCCCATTACCTGGCAGTGACGCATTGAGGAACAGCAGGCTACCTGGTTACACATTCACTTCAATTCACTTATCATGCCTTTCATCCCAAATATCAATTATAGGATCAAAAGCACACAATTTCTGTAACTACATTGATAAAGTCACCTGTTTTTGCCAGGTAAGTTATTGAGTGGACAACTTAGTCAAGTAATATTCTCTAAAAACAGAAGGGATACACACCTCATAACATCCTAGTTTAGTAGCAGTAGAAACTAGAACACTCCTTGTAGCGTTTATAAGGTTCTCTCCTCACAGGAAGTGACTGTATCGTACCTCATGTAACCAACGGATCAAAGCTATGGATGCTTCGGCCCTCCCCAAACACAAAGATATGGATTTCAACACCACATACACTCACTCTGTCAACACAATGAGAAAGACTTATTCCAATACTGAAGTTCTCACACAGTCAACTCAACTCCTCAGAGTCCAAAGTCTACTGAATCTGAAAAGGAACCAGGCCTATTTATTTAACCATGTCAGAAGTGAACATGAATAACAAACACCAACAGGTAATACCAAAGCCACATTCATACAGTTTGCAAAACTTTGGCAAGGCAACAATATAGCATTGTTAAACATAAAAACAGTCAGGCTCCCACGCTGGTCCAAGGCTATAGGATTAAACTACAGTAGTATGCCAGGTAAGATATGATATTACGGTACAACAACCATATCGAGATGCATTCAATGAGCATTCAGGCAAACCGTAGAAGGTAGTGATGAAACGACATCAGGGTGGGAGAGAGGGAAGGGGGAAAACATTCCTCCATTACACCTGTGATAGGGTTTCTTAACCACTGGTGTTGTGCAACAGAATGGATTGAGGCAGGAATTTATAGCACTATCTATAAAGGCTGTAAACATATGGTTGCCAAGTAACAAGTTAATTGACTCAGGTAGTTATAGATAAACTGATTATTTTCTGTGTGTGTGTGTGTGTGTGTGTGTGTGTGTGTATGTACACATGTATCTTACCCTCCACTGTCGTCTCTTGATAGTGTTCCTAGTGATCATCATAGCAGCCCAGAACTGAGTGAAGGACAGTCTCAGGCGCTTGTAATACTTCCTGTACACAGACGGGGGCGCCAGTCAGTCAATTTCAGGTGGACACACTAACGCAATCTCAATCCTTTAATTTCTTCTTCTCTGTCTCCTCCCTTGTTACACATCTCTCTCTCTCTCCCCCTCTCCATACCTGGCCTGATGTCCTCGTATGTGGCTCTGGATGACAATGGCCTTCTGTTTGAAGAACCTAAAGTTGCGTCTGCAAATGAACCCTCTGATGTTCCTCTGGATGGTAACCGCAGCCCAGTTCTGAGTGCTGCTCCACTTGTCCTCCACACGTTGGTACAGCACCTCCTTCAGAAACACCTGCACACACACACACACACACACACACACACACACACACACACACACACACACACACACACACACACACACACACACACACACACACACACACACACACACACACACACACACACACACACACACACACACACACACACACACACACACACACACACAATACTTTATTTGAATCCACCAATCAAACTTACATTAAAAAAGGATCCAAACATTTCAAAGGTCCCTGTATGCATGGCACTCAAGTGTACAGAAAGCACCTCCTTCTCCAAACAGCTAGGCTGCCCATGACAGCTGAAACACAGTATCTAGCCAACTGCTTTGCCCTAGTTTTTGGCAGGCCCCGCAATCTGGAGGCCACACACTGCAAGCCTGTGTTAGTGGCCGAGACTGCCAAAATTCAGCGCCAGCAGCTTGCACCTACACCCGAGGCTGTCCAAACGTGCCACGAGGGGCTGGTATTTAAGAAGCTTGTCAGCAAAGGCCTGCTCCATGTAGCCGTCAAATGAGCAGCCAACTTCCAAAATGAGCACCTTCCCCTGGCCTCCCCCCACAACAGCAACATCTGACGTATTTGGCACACAGGAAAACACATCATCAACATTAAATCAGCTTCCTCTTACACAACAATGTTTATGGATGTGTGCTGTTGGTGAGACTACCTGTCTCACCTCGCTGGCTATCAGGTTGACAAGGTGGGCATGTCTAGTAATGTACAAATCCTTGTATGAACAGCAACCATTCACAACATGGGCAACAGACTCCATTACATTTGACTCATGTAGAATAGAAAAATTGGTAATGGTTTGCAGGGTACCAGAGTGCTAGATTAGATTTTGTTGGTAGAACTTGCAGTCTCGCCTTAACAGTAAAAGCATTCTGGTACATGGAATGAGAGACAGAGTGGTCAGCACAGTCCAGAGCAGGGAGTTTCCCCTGCAGCCTCAGGCCAGTCCAGTGCTGCCGTAGCTGCATCCATCTGATACCAAGGAGTGTTGCCCTCGATGCAGGATGAGATGTTCCATCATGGGTGACAGAAGCTTCCGCAAAAAAACACAGGGGTCTGCCACAACAACACAGGAGTCTGCCACAACTACATCAGAGGCAGTCACTGGCTCAGTTTGTATATCAGTCCGTGCCCATCTGAGCTCCACTCCAGTCCGGTTGCACAGGTCGTTGAGGTCCGGCCAGACTCCAAAGGCCACAGCACGAGTGTCCAATTTTTCATTGGCATTCCTCCTTAAGCCCAGGAAGTTGTATTCAGTGTCCATGGCCATTTGGACCTTCCTCCTCCGTAGGTCCAGAAGGAGAGAAGCTCTGGCTAACTCCCCAAATATTGTGTCGTCACTGTTGAGTATGTTCAACAGGATGAGTCAGTCTGGTAGCAGTGTAAATCCACTCAACATTCGGGACACCCAAACACCCCTCTCTTTGGGTCAGGAAGATAACGTTGTGTGTGTGTTTAAGCATATCCACTTTCTCACCACTTGAACAGTTTTGTTATTCATTTCCTTCAGAACCTGTGGGACATGCACATTTGCAAGCAGATGTTGAATCTTTGCTAGGGCCACACACACACGCACAGGATCAAGCTGACTTTTTAGACCCTGGTCTAAGATACTAGAATTGGCTTGCTTGGATAGAGCTTCTGTCAACACTTTCTATGAAACAACTGTACAACGTTACAGTGGCCTCTTAGGTACCTTAGTGAGCCCTAGCTGGTACTGTCCCTCATCAGCCCCTACAAAGTTCAGCAAAGCCACGGTCTGCTCCTTGTCAGACATGGTGGCTGGTCGCTCCACCAGGAGGATTCCATACCTGGGGAAGAGGGAGATGGGACGGGAGGGATAATAATAATTTGTTAAGGAGATGCTCACCTAGATCTATGAAGTAGCAAGTGGTGGTTGGCTATGAGTTTTACTTTCTTCCAGTGAGATGCTAGTATACTGTACTGTTGGTACTGTATGTGTGTGGATGGTGGTTAAACCGTGTGAATGAATATTAGTGTGCATTGGTTGATTTGTCCAGTACCTCTCCATAAAGAAGGAGAAGGGGATGCGGATGGGGAATCCCTCCTTCCTGATGGTGATGGTCTCAAGTATCCCAACGTGCCTCAGCTGGGTTGACACATAGTCCACATCAAAGATACCGGGAAGCTGAGGGCAGATGGACAGGATATGAGATCATATAGGGTTGTCACTATTTGGCCTAGAAAGGGCGCAATTGGCTACCTCTAATGTTGAATACCCACCTTGACATAATTTGGCTTGAAACATCGTATAAAGGTGGTTTTACACCTGGGTGGAAGGGGAAAAAACACAGGTCACCCACCACTGCCTTGCTTCTCTCAGCAAACAAAAGGAAAAAACATTTTGCCTTTTTGTAAAAGACCCTGACCTCTCTAGTCGTGTGGTGAGCTCGGTCAGGGACTGTTGGAAGTGTGCTGCCACCGTGGAGGGCTGTTGCCTGTGACCTTTACCCCTCCAGCCCAACTCTCTCTGCTGCAGGTAATTATCCTGCACCTTACGGAACAGCCCTGACACCATCTGAGATACAGAGATCGATTGATTGATTGAATGGGTGATTGAATGGGTGATTGATTGATTCCCCTTAAGCCTATAGGAATTACAAGTTTACCTTCAGTCTACTCCTAGCAAACAGCTCAACAACCTCTGTACGGAACTGATCATGGTTCTTATTCAGAAAGTTATGGACCTAAGGAGAGACAGGAATATAAAGAAATATTCACTCTGTCCATCCATATAAACATGTCCTAACTCAGTGGTTCCTAAACACTTAAGAAGCTAGAACCACCTGGTATGTGACAGCTCCGGCGTAGTGATACACAGTGAAGACAGGCAGAGGGATCTTGGGCTTGGTGTAGTATGGGTTGTTCCCATGGTGATAGTGGCACTTTTGGAGGAAGGTGTGGTCAGTGGCCTGGGGCAGGCAGGTCTGGTCATCCAGTATACGGAGGATACCATGTGGTCTGGAGGAGATGAGGTCTAGACAGGAGTTGAAGTCCTGCAGAGGGACGGGATACCACTGGATCTGCTCTGTACTGTACTCCTCCTGGAGAACACATACACGAATGCACGCACGCACAAGCACCACCGTTTGTAATCATCAGTATCCATGAAGGTCAACCCCATTAACTATATGAGATGCACAATAACATTGCTGATTGTTTGACCTGTGAACTTTGATTGTTTGACTTGTGAACTCTGACCCCTAGCCCACTGACCTGCTCCTGGGTCACCACGGCCTTGTTGACAAAGTGCTGCAGCTGCTCGTTGGCAAAGTTAATACACAGCTGTTCAAAGCTGTTCACTCCCAGGTCCTACAACACACAGGTAAATATATGTTTAATAAATGCATATAACATGCAATACAACAGGGCTGCCCAACCCTGTTTCTGGATAGCTGCAGTCCTGCAGGTTTTCGCTCCAACCCTAATCTAGCACACAATCTCCCACATTCTCCATTAAACATTTACTGTGGTCCTCATTGCCCCTCACCTCAAAGCCGTAGATGTCCACTATGCCCACGGTGCTGTCCATCTCTGTAGGGCTTAGCCAATCATTGATCTGTTCCAACAGCCAATCAAACAACACAGAGTACAGGGCCTTGGCTATGGCATCTCTAGGAGAGAGAGATAGATAATAGCTCATTATTCTATGCTGCTCTAGATAGTATTCATTAACTCAAAATATACCGTGGAGGAGCTCACTCACAGTGCAGTGCATGGCTCGGTCAGTACCTGGATTCTATGGCACTTTCCACAGACAGGGGGCAGTAGATCCTGTCATAGGTTGTCTCCTGAGGAGGGACAGGTACAGTGCCTTCAGAAAATATTCACACCAATTGACTTTTTCCACATTCTGTTGTGTTACAGCCTGAATTAAAAATGGATTAAATTGAGATGTTTTTGTCACTGGCCTAAACCCAATACCCCATAATGTCAATGTGGAATTACGTTTTTCATAATTTATTTTTTTACAAATGAATTAAAAATGAAAAGCTGAAATGTCTTGAGTCAATAAGTATTCAACCCCTTTGTTATGGCAAGCATAAATACGTTCAGGAGTAAACATTTGCTTAACAATTCACATAAGTTGCTCTGTGTGCAATAATAGTATTTAGCATGATTTTTTAATGACTACCTCATCTCTGTATCCCACACACAATTATCTGTAAGGTCCCTCAGTCGAGCAGTGAATTTCAAACACAGATTCAACCACAAAGACCATGGAAAATTTCCAATGCCTCACGAAGAAAGGCACCTATTGGTTGATGGGTAAAAATAAAACAAATGGTGACTTTAAAACAGTTACAGAGTTTAATGGCTGTGATAGGAGAAAACTGAGGATGGATCAACAACATTGTAGTTACTCCACAATACTAACCTAAATGACAGAGTGAAAAGAAGGAAGCCTGTACAAGGCACTAAAGTAATACTGCAAAAATTGTGGCAAAGCAATTAACTTTTTTCCTGAATACAAAAAGTTATGTTTGGGGCATAAGTCTGCATATTTTAAAGCATAGTGGTGGCTGCATCATGTTATGGGTATGCTTGTAATGGTTAAGGACTGGGGAGTTTTTCAGGATAAAAAAAGAAACTGAATGGAGCTAAGCACAGGCAAAATTCTAGAGGAAAACCTGGTTCAGTCTGCTTTCCACTAGACACTGGGAGATGAATTCACCTTTCAGCAGGACAATAACCTAAAACACAATGCCAAATCTACACTGGAGTTGCTTACTAAGAAGACAGTGAATGTTCCTGAGTGGCCGAGTTACAATTTTGACTTGAATCTACTTGAAAATCTATGGAAAGACCTGGAAATGGTTGTCTAGCAATGATCATAAACCAATTTGACAGAGCTTGAAGAATTTAGAACATAATAATGGGCAAATGTTGCACAATCCAGGTGTGGAAAGCTCATAGACTTACCCAGAAAGACTCAGAGCTGTAATCGCTGCCAAATGTGCTTCTACAAAGTATTGACTTAGGGGTGTGAATACTTCTGGAAATGAGATACTGTATCTAAATTTCCTTTTACAATACATTTGAATTTTTTCACTTTGTCATTATGGGGTATTGTGTGTAGATGGGTGAGAAATCTTTTTAGATTTAATCCATTTTGAATTCAGACTAACAACTAAATGTGTAATAAGTCAAAGGGTATGGATACTTTCTGAAGGCACTGTATGAATAGTTCAAGCAGATTGAAGGGGGAAGGCATGGCGAAGGGGTTGTACTGACCGTGACTTTGTGTGTGATGACAGTCTGTAGGGCCTCTGAAGACACCTTTAACAGAGAACCTACTCTCTTGGCTTCTGCCTCACTGAAGATACGGGCCACCTCAAATGACTCACTCTAGATACACACAAAAGGACAGTATTAGATTTGAATTCTTTATTGTCTGTTTCTCACATATATATCAAACATACAGTACCAGTCAAAAGTTTGGACACACCTACTCATTCCAGGGTTTTCTTTATTTTTTACTATTTTCTACATTGTAGAATAATAGTGAAGACATCAAAACTATGAAATAACACAAATGGAATCATGTAGTAACCAAAAAAGTGTTAAACAAATCAAAATGTATTTTATAGTTTAGATTCTTCAAAGTAGCCACCCTTTGCCTTGATGACAGCTTTGCACACTCTTGGCATTCTCTTAACCAGCTTCATGAGGAATGCATTTCCAACAGTCTTGAAGGAGTTCCCACAAATGCTGAACACTTGTTGGCTGCTTTTCCTTCACTCTGCTGTCCAACTCATCCCAAAACATCTCAAATGGGCTGAGGTCGGGTGATTGTGGAGGCCAGGTCATCTGATGCAGCACTCCATCACTCTCCTTGGTCAAATATCCCTTACACAGAGGTGTGTCTTGGGTCATTGTCCTGTTGAAAAACAAATGATAGTCCCACTAAGCGCAAACCAGATGGGATGGAGTATCGCTGCAGAATGCTGCGGTAGCCATGCTGGTATAGTGTGCCTTGAATTCTAAATAAATCACCAACAGTTTCACCAGCAAAGCACCCCCACACCATCACACCTCCTCCCCCATGCTTCACGGTGGGAACCACACATGCAGAGATCATCCGTTCACCTACTCTGTGCCTCACAAAGACACGGTGGTTGGAACCAAAAATCTCAAATTTGGACTCATGAGACCAAAGGACAGATTTCCACCGGTCTAATGTCCATTGCTCGTGTTTCTTGGCCCAAGCAGGTCTCTTCTTCTTATTGGTGTCCTTTAGTAGTGGTTTCTTTGCAGCAATTCGACCATGAAGGCCTGATTCATGCAGTCTCCTCTGAACAGTTGATGTTGAGATGTGTCTGTTACTTGAACTCTGTGAAGCATTTATTTGGGCTGGAATCTGAGGTGCACTTAACTCTAATGAACTTATCCTCTGCAGCAGAGGTAACTCTGGGTCTTTCTTTCCTGTGGCGGTCCTCATGAGAGACAGTTTCATCATAGCGCTTGATGGTTTTTGCGACTGCCCTTGCAGAAACTTTCAAAGTTCTTGAAATGTTCCGTATTGACTGACCTTCATGTCTTAAAGTAATGATGGACTGTCGTTTCTCTTTGCTTATTTGAGCTGTTCTTGTCATAATATGGACTTGGTCTTTTACCAAATAGGGCTAACTTCTGTATACCACCCCCACCTTGTCACAACACAACTGATTGGCTCAAAATTCCATAAATTAACTTTTAAGAAGGCACACCTGTTAATTGAAATGCATTCCAGGTGACTACCTCATGAAGCTGGTTGAGAGAATGCCAAGAGTGTGCAAAGCTGTCATAAAGGCAAAGGGTGGATACTTTGAAGAATCTAAAATCAAAAATATATTATGATTTGTTTAACACTTTTTTGGTTTCTACATGATTCCATATGTGTTATTTCATAGTTTTGATGTCTTCCCTATTATTCTACAATGTAGAAAATAGTAAAAAATTAAGAAAAACCCTTGAATGAGTAGGTGTGTCCAAACCTTTGACTGGTACTGTACAAATTAATCAAAAACATCCAAACGTGGAAACCTCAAAATTGCTACTACTCTGAACAACTCACATCCTCTGTGAGCAACAGACACCTCATCCCACAAGAATACACTCACCCTCCCTTACCCACTCTCACACACACACCTCGTAGGAACTGAAGCAGATATTCCCCAGCTGTAGTATGGAGGAGAGGATGGCCCAGACTGTGGAGATCTGGTCGGCATGTAGACCAATCGTCTCAAAGCACTGGACCAACAACAGGAAGTCCTGTTTGTCCAGCTTCCCCTTCAGCTCACAGGACCCGCCCTGACAGAGAGAGGGAGGGTGAAGTAATCTATTCAGCTCGACTGATTGTTCCCTCAACCCTGGTCCAGGGAACACCTGGGATGTGCAGGGTTTTTGATTCTACTAACTGACTCTATTAATTTGATTCTACTGATTCTACTAATTGGGGCTTACTTGGTTGAGGTAGTAGTATGTCTCTGCTCCCTGCAGATAGACCTCCTGTTTATCCCAGTCGTTCATCCCCGCCAGCAGCTCATAGAACACATGGTAGTTCCTCTCCTCATTGGCCTGATGCAGAGACAGTAAAAGTGTGGGAACCCATGAGTAAAGTGTCAGACTGAGGCTATGAGGAATATGCACCCAGTTGTCTCACATGAAGACCTCACCTGGAAGACAACGCGTGACTTCTCAAGAAGGTACTTTGACAGTGAAGTCCCCACCACCACACCACTGTTGACCAATTCAAAATATTTAAATAAATGTTTTCTCCTGTTTCATGCCAATTGAACGCAACTTTGTTTCTCTACAGGGTGAAAGAGAAGAAGTTACTAGAGGAGGACATACTGTAGAATGTGGATGTGAAGGTATTTGCCAAAGCGACTGGAGTTGTTGTTGAGGATGGTCTTGGCATTACCAAAGCTCTCTAGGATCGGCAGCACCTCCATGGGCTGTCTGAGGTTGTCGTTCCTGCCTTGGTACATGGAGCTGAGGTAGTGGACTATAAGCTTGGTGGCCTCAGTCTTACCTGATCCACTCTGACCACTGTAGAAAGACAGAATACACTTCAATACAGCTGTAGACAAGATGATAGGTCAATACAGTACTCTGAAGAGAGAAGGAGAACAGGAAAGAGAGAAAGAAAGAGACCGGTGCCTCTGACGTACCTTATGACGATGCACTGTTCTTGTGGTGAGCTTTGAGATTGGCTGAAGGCTGCATCAGCGATGGCATAGACATGGCTTCACCAATAGAGACACACCCACAGACTTACATTAGCAACAGGTGGATTCCCTTGGCATTACTCTGTGCTTGTTACTCTGCTGTCACTCAGATTGGCGACATAGTAATAATTTAGTTATTCTGGCATTACAGTGGGTTTCATTCTAGGGTTTACTCTTGATTTACTCCTGGGTTACTCTGCTGTTACTCACGGAGGGTTGCGTTGCTGCTCCTTGCCCTGGTATTGCTGTCGGAGGTCCTCTGTGTAGAGGCTAAGGGGCTTGAAGGGGTTAAGTGACAGCAGCATGTTACCTATGTACGTCTGAGACACACAGGGAAAGATGAGATGGTTATCTAATATGGCTGAGAGGAAGAGCTGAGATATACATGTTTATATGGAGAGAGAGATCGGTCTGAGTTTCCCCATGTTCAGTTGTAAGGTTACATACGTAGATGGAGTCACGGTGAAACCTCTTCTTCAGATTCAGCAGCACAGAGCTCTCACACACCTCCCTGGAGACATTACACCAGTTAACACAGAGAGGTGTATGTGTAGGTTAATTTCTAAATGTAATCCATTACAGTTACAAGTTGCCTGTCCAAAATTGTAGTCAGTAACGTAACTTTTTGATTACCCCAAATCAGTAACGTAATCTGATTACTTTCTTTTGGATTACTTTTCCCTTAAGCATTAGAAGAAGACAAAGGATCCATCAAACCCATTTGGTGTGTCATCATAGTGGTCTCTGACTTGTGGTCAGACTCGCTCAGGTGGAACAAACTTAAACTTGCACCTTTCAATGTTGAATTGAATGTCATTAAGAAAACAGATAGGTGTCATAATATTTTTTTTTCCCCGCAAACATCCTTTCTGAATTTAAGTAATCCAAGAAGTACTCATCTAGTTTTTCAAAAGTATCTAATCTGATTACAATATTTTTGCTGGTAACGTAACTGTCTACAGTAAAAAAAACAAAAAAACATCCGATTACATGTAATAAGTTACTCCCCAACCGTGTGTGTGTGTGCACGCGCTCTCTCTCACTCACTCAAGCTGAGATAGATCCTCCACCTCGTCCACCTCCACAGCCTGGTCAGTCCCTGGCATCAGTACCTGAAGGTTAACACAGAGCAGGCACGTGTCAGCCACACGTCCCCCTCCAGATCCATGTACACTGGATCTCTCTCATAACCCCATTTACTGTACCTTCTTTCTGTAGCTATATTTATTGTCTAGCAGTAATCGTTTTTTTCTCTTTTCATTGTACTCTAACCATATCCCTCAGCCCCGTAACTCCACCCAGAGCCCCTCTACTACAGGTAACCAATACACCTGTATTCATGGAAAAGTCTGAGTCACTGTGATAGCTGATACACTGTTTGCCTGTGCTATGCTCTATTGTATTGGTACTGACTAGAAAATAAATAAACTAGTAGAGGTCTGTGTTACGGGCATTAGTCAATACACAGACTGACAGCGGTGACTAGGAAGTGTGATGCTTAGTGAACAAGGATGAGTAGTTATATTGCCTCTGATTGTTTTGCTCTCAAAGATGCTTACCCTGAAGCTACAGGATGTCCTAAGTGAACGACTAAGTTATCCATGCAATAAAGTTGTTGGTCCAGCGCTTCGCGGGTACATCCTGTAAGTTCAATGAATAAAGCCAGAACAATCTCAGTACCTTTGTGTTGTTGAGGCGGCTCTCCAGCATATCCTGAGCAGGGTCCTCAGATTCCCAGGGTCCTCTCCCATTGTGGGTCGGTACCGTCCTGGCCTGGTCCCCATCCTCATACACCGTCCACTTGGTCAGCTTCTCCACTGTCTGGTGGGGCAGGAGGGTATCCGCTCGCAGCCAGTCCTGTGGAGGGAGGGGATGATAGTGGGGTTTTGTGTAACAATTATAATTGTGATGTCTGTTATATTGTCATACCTGAGAGAGGCTTACGCAAATTGTCTAACTGAAATGCTATCCTCCTATTTAAATGCTTTCTGTGAGATATTATAATAATAAAAAGAAAACAATAACATTCATTACCACGTGTCATCCATACCTGGGGGTCTCCGCTCATACGAGTCGTCCCAGCCCAGTGCACCTCCAGAGGGCCGACAGGGGACAGCCCCCTCTCTCCCATCAGCTGGGCCACCTCTCGATCAGCCTCTTCTTCATAGTACGACCCCACCCTAGACTCAACTCTGGCTGGTTCTCCAGTCAGTCTGACAGGTTCTCCAGACTCAGGACCATCAGTGGGGGGTCTGGCAAACCCAGCTCCTGTCTCCCTGTCTGGGACTATAGTTCCCCGGCTGGGTCCTACACCTATTCCAGTACTAGCAAGAGGCTTGGATAGCTTGGTCAGTTTGAATTGACTGTTGCCCAGTTTGCCCCTGGCTGCCTGGAGGATGCTGACACCCTCATTGCCTTCAAGTGCCGTCTCCCTTTTCCTGTCCTCGTTGCTGGTGTCCGGTGTGGGTCTCTGTGCTGATGTGCTCCCGTTTGTACTTCCAGTCCTCCTCATCTCTGATGCTGCAACAGGAATAGGCTTCTTGATGGACTTGAGGAGGGTGAGGTCCGGTTTGACTGGGAGTACCAGTCTGGCTCCTGGTTTGGGGGGCTTGGGGGCTTCGAGGGTGGCTCCCACAGCAGTGCTGGAGCCTGGGGTGGAGGAGGAGGCTGGCTGAGCAGGCTGGGATGGCTGGGCTGGTAAGATTCCTTTGGCCTTGCCCATGCCCAGCTTGTTCATCCTGGGGAGCACGATGGCTGCTGGAGGTGAGGTGGAGTGGGGGTCGTCACCCGACTCCCCCGCTTGCCTCTTCTGGGTGACAGCAGACTTATCTTCGGCTCCGTTTCCAGAGGCTCGGTTCTTCTTGCTGGCCAGGCTGGTCTTACTAGCCACACGCATGGCCATCCGATGTTTGAGCAGGCTGCGTTTGGAGCCGGTGGCTCCCTCCCTCTGTTTGATGGCATGGAGAGGGAGCCAATGGGAGATGCCAATGGCCTGGGTCACTACTTTCAGTTTACTCCTCAGGTTAAACCCTTTGGGCATCTTCCCCCTGATCCAACCCGAGACGCGGCGTAGAGTCGTCACACCTTTCCTACGAGTGATGAGACTGTCCGTGGGTTTGGCTGAGACTGCATCTGTAGACCCGGCTGTAGCTGCTTCCTCTCCAGGCTTTACCAGCATTTTACTGCTCCTGTGTCGAACAGATGCCATCTTGACTCTGCCCAGGACCAGGCCGATGTTTTTCCTGCTCCCCTGTTTGGCTTCCTCTCCTTCGCCATCTTGTTGCTCCTCTTTCGCGTGTTCCTGTTCTCCTTCGGCCAGACAGGCTTTTTCAATAGCATCATCCGTGACGGGCCTTTAGGGGCTTTGGATGAAGTTGAGGCAGCCTCATCCTCCTGCGACTCCAATGGGGAAGAAGGAGCATCCTTGTCTTTGATGGAGGTTTTTGTTTGTTTGGCTAGCTTCAGGATCTGGGCCTTGTGTTTTGCAGCGTCAGCCTTGCTGAGGGAGACATCATTCAGAGGCTGAGATTCTTCCTCTGCTGGACTGGCTTTCTGTTTCACTTTCCCTTTCTTTTTTTCTGCTTTCTTTTTCTCTGCTTTCTCCGCTTTCTTTTTCTCTGCTTTAGTGGGTTTCCCAGGTTTCCCAGGTTTGTCAACCTTCTCTTCAGCCTGGCCCTTTTTTTTCTTGAACATCTTGGATTTCAGACCCCCTGCCGGTGCAGTGACGCTGGTCGTCAAACTGAGTAGTGGTACAGCGGCAGATTTCTTTGGTGACCCTCTTTTCCTTGAAGTTACCTTCTCAGATTCACCCCCATCGCTGGTCACTGCCACTGATTCTTCCTCTTCCTCCTCCTCACTGGTACTGACTGGCTCCCCTTCAAGTTCCCCTCGTTTCCTGATTTGCACTGGAGTTTCCTTTTCTGATTCTTCCTTTACCTGCCCCTCTGTGCTTCTCTCCGTGTCTGACACCTCAACCTCCTCTTCGCTGCTATCCTGTGTCTCCTCTGTCGCAAGCCCTTCTGTCTCAATTGTCTCCTCTTTACATACTGGCTCCTCTTCTTCGCTCTCCTCCACTGAACTCTCTCCTTCGCTCTCAGATTCCTCAAGCTCCTCCTCTGTTTCACTCACTATGACACCTCTTTTTTTTACAGGCTTTGTAATAGGTGTAGGTGTGTCTGCCCTCCCTCCTTTGGTTGGGGGTATTTTTGATCCAGGTTTAGATTTGATAGCTTTATTCGTACCACCATTAGCTGTCACGCTTTTCTCCTTCTGAGGGGATGATCTACCATTCTGACTTTTCCCATTCACTGTTTTCTTATCTTTCTCCTCTTTCGGCTGTTCTTTGGTCTGCTCTTTACCTTTCTTGCTACTCTCTCCCTGTTTAGTCTTCCCCTTGCCACTGACCTCTTCTTTCTTGTCCTTTTCGACTGTTTCTTTTCCATTGGTCACTGCAGCAGGAAGGGGTTTGGAACAATTATTTTCTCCTTTTTCCTTTGGTTTCTTTCCTGTGTTGGTTTTCTCATTTTCTCTACTGGTCCTACCTTTGGTTTTTACAAGTGACATGTCTGAAGGATGTCCTCTATCAGCTTTTATTCATCTTTGGTTTGAATAAAATGATTACCTGCAGAATGGGAACATAACTACTAAGAATATGGTAGATAAGTTCAAGTTACCCAGTACAGGAATGAATAACAACATATGGGAGATAACAAATAAAAATAGCCTGAAATGACTGTTTGGGACTGTTTGTATTTCATTGACAAATTTAAATCTTTCTTATCATGTCTCTACTTTCAGTTAAACCTTCAACTTGCCTGTTAGCACCAGAATGACTCTGGTGCTAACACATGAAGGTTTAGATAGATCAATGAATAAATAAATACAAGGGCACCAGGTCATGTAATGAGTCTGTCAACCATAGTCAGTCAGCATTAGGACAGGGTTTCAGACGTTTTACACCCAGATGGCCACTTGACACACAAGTCTTAGGTTAGAGACCCAGTTTAGCTACTGACCCCATTAGCTACAATATCACAACAGTACTATCATACTTGTCGTATAGTGTGTAGTGGATAGTATATTATTATAATACACAACATAGGACTTGCTATGGCTAACTACCTCAATGACAAAAACACAATTTAAGGTTATTCTGTTTATGTTAACCATTAATATAATATAGCAAAAAACACCATTGAAACATCCTAAGTAGCTATAAATGTTTGATCTCATGTGGATAAAGTTACACTGCAGTGATCTAAACGATGTTGTATTATCTGTAGGTCAATCTAAATGGTTCTACGCTGCACGGGTAGCGCAGTAAGAGGATGTATCAGGGTGATAGATATAGCTTACCTGGCCTCTCAGGTGATCCTCGGGCATGGCTGGGGGTCCGGAAAGTGTTTCTACTTGTCCTCAAGTGCTGGTGTCACCTACACACACACAGACCCACCAATAACAACAACAAACGCGCACGCGCACACACTGACCAACAAACACACACAACTTACCCCCAAACAAAGACAACACACACACAGTATTTGAATAATTTAACTGTCTTTGGCAGTCCGTTCAGATATACAGCTATTCATATGGGCAGCTGGTGAATGAGGGAGAGGAAAGGTGAGAGCAGGTGTGTGGAGAGACTGACAATAGGTGGTGACAGACAAGGGAAAGAGAGATGGAGGGATGGAGAGAATGAAAGAGCAGTGGCTTCTCAGAAAGAGAGATTCCATCAGTGTTCTGGAATTAAAGGGCTAAGCTCACCTTTCATTTTTCCCTCTCTTCTCTATTTCACCTTAAATTCATATCACCTTTTCAGTTGAATAGCATTACATAACTAATCTACAAAAACCTATGCAACCGATTTATTTTTTAGTTATGGGCAAGGTACAGTACCGGTCAAAGTTTTGGACACACCTACTCATTCAAGGGTTTTTCTTAATTTTTTACTATTTTCTACATTGTAGAATAATAGGGAAGACATCAACACTATGAAATAACACATATGGAATCATGTAGAAACCAAAAAAGTGTTAAACAAATCATAATATATTTTAGATTCTTCAAAGTATCCACCCTTTGCCTTTATGACAGCTTTGCACACTCTTTGCATTCTCTCAACCAGCTTCATGAGGTAGTCACCTGGAATGCATTTCAATTAACAGGTGTGCCTTCTTAAAAGTTAATTTGTGGAATTTTGAGCCAATCAGTTGTGTTGTGACAAGGTGGGGGTGGTATACAGAAGGTAGCCCTATTTGGTAAAAGACCAAGTCCATATTATGACAAGAACAGTTCAAATAAGCAAAGAGAAACGACAGTCCATCATTACTTTAGGACATGAAGGTCAGTCAATACGGAACATTTCAAGAACTTTGAAAGTTTCTGCAAGTGCAGTCGATGAAACTGGCTCTCATGAGGACCGCCACAGGAAAGGAAGACCCAGAGTTACCTCTGCTGCAGAGGATAAGTTCATTAGAGTTACCAGCCTCAAAAATTGAAGGAAAGAAATTCCCCAAATTACCTAATGAAGCTGGTTGAGAGAATGCCAAGAGTGTGCAAAGCTGTCATCAAGGCAAAGGGTGGCTACTTTGAAGAATCTCAAATATAAAATCTCTTTTGATTTGTTTTCACACTTTTTTGGTTACTACATTATATATGTGTTATTTCATAGTTTTGATGTATTCACTATTATTCTACAATGTAGAAAATAGTACAAAAAAAGAAAAACCCTTGAATGAGTAGGTGTGTCTAACCTTGACTGGTACTGTATGTGTCAACAATGTGAAGGCACTGTATTGGCTACAATAATGTGTACAATATTACAAAAAGCTCTGAGCAGAGCATTCTGGCATAGTTAATCATAGTCCCTATTGGCTAAGGTGCTTTCTGGCATGTTTGAACAGACAAAAATAAATGCATTCTCCCTTTTGCCACCAATACAGATTGTTTTGAGCTGCCTGGTGTTTGAGGGCGGTCCTATAGGAGAGGTAACGTTTGAGCAAAGCGATTGTTGCCCAGGCAATTAGTGAACAAAGCACTGCCCCATAATGGTGATTAAAACTCTTGGCTGTGCTTGTATGACAACTGATCCCTACTTTATCCACTTGACCTGCCAGCACCAAACTCACAAGGCTCAGGATATACCCACTTCATAGAAAGACACAGACACGTGAACTCTTGTGAAAAACATGTATTCATTTTCCAGTAGGACATTATGTAGTGTGAAAGTTATCAATCAAAAAAGTAGGGTTCTCATACTCAATCATTCACTACAAAAATATATTCTAGAGTAGACCACAAAAATGCTAAAATACCCAGCATTTCAAGAAACAGTACCAAAATATTTTGTTGTAACATCCGACTATAGCAGCCAACCCCCATTAAAATACACCCAACCGTTAACAAAGGCAGAGAATAATATAGTACATATATATTAAACATTTGACTACGATATCTTAAAATTACATTCCTAAATTACATTATTCATTGCTGTGTTCAGAAAAGGGCTTACATTATAAAAAATGTAAAACCAAGCCCCCATCGAAAGTTGTAGCATGATGTGCTACACAGGACAAATACCTACGACAGGTTATAACTGGTTATTACACATTAACGAGCGGACGGTAGGGGAGGTAAGAAGGGAGAGGTAAGTTAGCAACAAAAGCTTGGGGAGACATTTTTATGGCACAGTGGTCTTATACTACTAGTCTGGTAGTCAGATCTGTTTCTGAGTTGGCTAAAGTTAGCAAAAGCAACAATAGGTCTGCCTACCAGGCTGGCGTTCTACTACCTTGTGTGGTTCAAAATGAACAGTTCTGATTCCACAGATACTCCATGTTGCTTGCTCACGCCAAACAATGCCTTGTCAGCATAGGCAACAAACTAAATCAAACTGGTAAAAAAAATAAAAAAATTATTGGCTCCCTTGTACAGTTTTTCCATCCATCTAGATTTTAAATCTCCAATAATTACACAGAATCAAAACAAAAAGTTACAAAATCACAGGTAAAATTAAATTACAAATAAAAGAATGATAGGAATAAAAAACATGTCCATCCCCTCCTCCCTATATCTCCCCCTCCCCTGTGTGTCTCCCTCTAGGAGACTAAGGCAAGCGAGGATGTGCAGAGACAGGGTTGTTACTGGACAAATCAGAGTTTCACAGGTCAGCTTGGGTTCAAGGGTGAATGCCGTGACTGGGCTCTGGATGAGGAGGGAACGTGAAGAGGGGGTGAGTGAGTGAGTGAGTAGGGTGTGTTTAATGCAACTATGGCTTGTGTGTGAGAGATCTGTAAGTGGCTTTGGATAAGCCCGTCAGCAGAATGACCATATTACCATTACTAATGTGTGGCAGGTGTAGAGGTACCAAGCGTAGCAGGGGTATTACAGTACAGTGGTTGGTCCCTAGGCACAGGCGGTGGTCCCTCCATCTCTCCATAGAGGTGGGCCTCAAATGACACCCTGTTCCTCATACACTACACCAATCACCTTATATGGGCTTTGGTTAAAAGCAGTGCACCACTTGGGGAATAGAGTGCCATTTGTGACACAGCCAGTGAGTCAGTCTTTGGGGTTAGGGGCCAGGGTTCAGCCTCTCAGGCTAGGGGTCAGGGGTGAGTCTCTGGGGGATAGGGGCCCCAGTGGTCAGTAGTGGTAGTAATAGTAGTGTTGGCGTAGTTTGCGAGGCAGGAGTCGCTAGGCAGACTCCACGATGTCTCAGGCACAGGGATGACTGGCTCAGTCTGAAGAAAAGGAAAAAGAGAGAAAGACAAAACAAGAGATGAGCGAACCAACAATGAACAACCTCAATTCCATCACCATAGTAATCACTATTGTGATATTCATCATATTCCTCCAGATTTATACTGATGATACTGATCATAACAAACTGACCTCCATTGCTCAGCACCTTCCCTCCAGCGAGAGCACTCGTCCCATTCTCCAGGAATGTCCTGTAGCAAAAACACGCAAATGAGTCCCCACATAACACACTGAAAAACAACGCTTGTAGTTGTTTCAGAGGTGAATACTCACGTCTGATCGACTTCTAGAGATTTCTGGATCTCCTGAAGCACAGCTGTAAGAAAACACACGTCAGACCACAAATACACAATGATGACTGACATGAGTTGCCATGAGTTGAGATGGTCATCATGAAACATGCAATGGGATGGTTGTGGTTCGCTATGTAGCAGACAATCACTCAAGGCTGCTAGTCGGGTTTACACATCTGGATGCCAACAGGACAGTCAAAGCAGACACATATCGATGTGGCTCAGTTGGTATGAGCATAGCGCTAGCAACATCAAGGTTGTGGGTTCAATCCCCGCAGGGATCACATACACAAATATTGGAGTTGGTTAAGGTTAAGTTATGTTAAGGTTGTCTGTTGGTTCCTGAGGTACTCACTCTCATCATTCAGCAAAGCATGCTCCATCACACGTCTAGCAGAGCTCTCTGTAAACGAACAGCATCGCAGCACGCAGTCAGCACATCAGGACACACAAGCACACAGCATGATAACACAGTGTGTGTAGACCGTGTTTTCGCAGACCGATCAGCACAGGGCACAAGCAAACAGGTCAACAGCCTAACAGAGCATGTCATACTGTGCACTTGCTGAAGTACTCTGTTAGGCATAGACGCGTGCATGTTTTAGTATTATTTGCATAGCTATAGATAGAACTATATTAGCCCTTTAAAGCGGCACAAACAGCTTGTGATCTTACCCACGCCATTGCTGTCCCTCGTGGAATTTCTGGAATGACAGACACAGTTCTTCAGTAAAACATGAAAAGTTAGTTGTGTCAAAAAGTCTCTGTCAAAAAGCAGTTCTTCCAAAGTCGATAGTGAATACAGCTATAAAAACAGTGTGTGTGTACCTGTGCTCCACAGAGGCCCCGTCAGGCGATGCCCATGGCAGGGTGGTGGTGGGTGTCTGGGAGGGCACCTCCACTAGAGACCGGGGCTCCACCACACAGCGAGCGGACAGAGAGAAACGCTCAAACTCTGATGGAGAGATCAGGTAGAAACCTGAGGGAGAAATGAGAAAGAGTGCAAGGAAGAAAAATGGATGGCATGAGAAAGAGGGAGGAATGAAAGAGCTGAATACATGAAATGTAAAATGTTTGTGAGAGGTAAACCGGGTGGTTGGGGGGGGGGGGGGCACTTCAGTTAAACTTATTCAGACTGAGCTTCTCACCCTTGAATGGACCACAACTTGTGTGCCGTAGCTAGCTAACACCTTTCAGATTGGAGAGGAAAAGAGGTGCGGATGAGGAAGGCATGCATTGAGGTTTTTAAGTTTGAGTGTGTGTGTGCCACTTCAGGGTTTTATGGGAAAGTCTGTAGGAAAGTCTGTAGCTCAGCTGGTAGAGCACGGCGCTTGTAACGCCATGGTAGTGGGTTCGATCCCCGGGACCACCAATACACAAAAAAAAATTGTATGCACGCATGACTGTAAGTCGCTTTGGATAAAAGAGTCTGCTAAATGGCATATTATATTATATTATTATTATTATAAACTGTGGGTCTCTCGTCCTACCCTGTCCTTGCTTGGTGAAGACACAGGATGCGATGCCGCTAACGTCCTCCCTGCGGATACAGGGGTACTGGACCTGCAATTTCACCCCCGGCAACGACACAACATGGAGGTCTCCCTGATTGGTCAGGACGGTGAGGCCACTCTCGCCGTAGTCATCCGTTCGGCTGCTGCCAAACCAGGCCACGCCCACCCGGCGCACGCGCGAGCCGTCAATGGCCGTCAGCTTCAACTTCATTTTAGCACTCACCTTAGGCAGGGTGAACACCTGGAGACAGAGAAAAATGTATAATATTTGTTTTAATAGTCTTGGAGGACAAACATATTCTGTGTTTCTTTATCAACCTTTGGGGGGGAAAAAGGTAACCCCTCATCAGATGAGTGTGGGTAAGATGTCTGTGTGTGTGTGTATGCGTGCAGCAGTGTGTGGGTTCTCACCTTGAACTGTTCCTCTGATATGACCAGTAGGTGGTGTGAACCCTGCATGTCAGGTGAGCGGGCCAGGTCGTGTGCCACCTCCAGGGGCTCAGGCAGAGGGGAACCGTGGCCGTCCAACACCAAGATGCCCACTACTGGAGCACGGTGCATCAACTGGATCTCCTTAGCTGCAGAGAGAGTGGGAGAATATATTTGTGCTTTATTGTCCGTTGTTGTTAAAACAGAGTTTCCCTCACTTCTTTAGAGATGGAAGTGTGGACAAGGGAGGCAAGAGAGAGTGATGTGTAAGACAGCGTGTGTGTGAGAACATGCGTGTTCTCACCAGGGTGGGCTGTGACAGGGTCCTCTGCTCTGCGTTCCACAGGCGGTAGGCGGAGCTGGTAGGCGAATACTGATCCCCCATTGGTCCCTGCCCACAGAGAGGGTGTGTTGTGGGAGCCTGTATGAGGAGAGGAATGAGCAGTATGAGACATCACAAAACGTTTAATAGCCCGGTGTCTACTCGTGTGTGTTGTGACGGCCCCGAATTTACCTCTGAACTGTCTCAGCGAGTCTCCCCCAGACACTGCGCTTCCCCTTTAATTCCCAATTAAATAGCCAATATCAGCTGCGTAAAAACAGTGACAGAGAGGAAGTTTTCAAACCCTCAGCTCTGAAGCTTGTTCATACAGTGCCTTCAGAAAGTATTAACACCCACTTACTTTTTTTTGTGTTACGAAGTGGGATTCAAATGGATGTAATTGTAAAAAAAATTCAACGATCTACAGAAAATACTATTTTAGGTTTTATTTTTCATAAATGCTATCTAAATTAGATAAGTATTCAACCCCCTGAATCAATACATGTTAGAATCCCCTTTGGCAGCGATACAAGCAGTGAGTCTTTCTGGGTAAGTCTAAGAGCTTTCCACATGTGGATTGTGCCACATTTGCCCATTATTCTTTTCAAAATTCTTCAAGCTCTGTGAAATTGGTTGTTGACCATTGCTAGACAATCATTTTCAGGTATTGCCATAGATTTTCAAGCAGTCAAAACTAACTCGGCCACTCAGGAACATTCAGTCTTCTTGGTAAGCAACTCCAGTGTAGATTTGGCCTTTGTTTTAGGTTAATGTCCTGCTGAAAGGTTAATTAATCTCCCAGTGTCTAGTGGAAAACAGACTGAACCAGGTATTCCTCTAGGATTTTGCCTGTGCTTAGCTCCATTCCGTTAATTTTTTATCCTGAAAAACTCCCCAGTCCTTAACGATTACAAGAATACCCATAACATGAAGCAGCCACCACTATGCTTTAAAATATGGAGAGTGGTATGCAGTAATAGGGATTCGTATTTTCCGAAAATCTACCAAGTTTCAATAGCGGGAATAATTCATATTTATCCAGAGTCCCAGGAAATACCACGAAAATCAGAAGTGCCCATTTAAAAGCATTTAAAACCAAGATATGGTCACTATGCCAGGGTTCTCCCAAAATAAGATTGGTTTTGAGCCACAATGCTGGCTTGGCTGCGCCCCTATGTAAAGATTTCATAGCAAGTGAAACTGATATTTAGTAATCAGTAACTTTGATAGCCAATGACATTCTTGTGAATTGCGAAACAGGCTGATCATAAATTCAGAGCGTTATCATGTTCCTCAATGAATTCAGCGCATTTCTGCAGTAGGTCTAGGCCATCTCATTTTTCATTTTAGTCATTTAGCAGATGCTCTTATCCAGAGCGATTTACAGGAATAATCAAGGGCAAACCAACAGATTTTTCACCTAGCCGGCTTGGGGATTCGAACCAGCGACCCTTCGATTACTGGCCCAACGCTCTTAACCACTAGGCTACCTGCCGCCTCATCTCGACACAGAGCGCGCTCAGGACGCACCCAGAGTAGGCAATAGCGTTGTTGAATCATACAAACTTTGTAACGGCAGTCAACCAAAAAGTAAAAAGACCAAAGTTGCTAAGCTTGTTAGATAATCTCCAAAGAATGACAGAATATCTCCTACTTGGCAAAATCAACTCATGAATAACGGGGAGAAGAGGAAATTACTTAAATATCAAGGTAACTGTTTAAAAAAAAAAATAGTTTGTTGATCACACATTCTCTACCGAAGCTCTCATATGGGCAGCAAAAGGAGACAGTGCAGAGAAGTAGGGAAAATGTTATAGTGGTATTTTGACATGTATAGGTGAGATGTGCTTTGATAATACAACCTATGGATTACAGAATAAAGTTAGGAATTTTCATGCGAGACTGGAGTCAGGATTTTGGGTTTCAGTGGGATTAGGACTATAGGAAAATAGCCTAGGCTCTATATAAGGCTACTAATGCGAGTCAATAGATAACACACTTGATTTAGGCTACAGCATTGCATGCTAAATGTTTCTGATCAGTGATAGATGCGCAAATGAATAAATTAGCTACCACTTCTACTTGTCCAGCCAGAGATCAATTAACCAAATACACCAAATGACCAAAAGTATGTGGACACCTGCTCTTTGAATATTTCATTCCAAAATCATGGGCATTAATATGAAGTTGGTCCCCCCCTTGCTGCTATAACAGCCTCCACTCTTCTGGGAAGGTTTTCCACTAGATGTTGGAACATTGCTGCGGGAACTTGCTTCCATTCAGCCATAAGAGCATTAGTGATATTGGGCGATTAGGCCTGGCTCGCAGTCGACATTCCAATTCATCCCAAAGGTGTTCGATGGGGTTGAGGTCAGGGCTCTGTACAGGCCAGTCAAGTTCTTCCACACCGATCTCAACAAACCATTTCTGTATGGACCTCGCTTTGTGCACTGGGTCATTGTCATGCTGAAACAGGAAAGGGCCTTCCCCAAACTGTTGCCACAAAGTTAGAAGCACAGAATAGTTTAGAAAGTCATTGCTGTAGCGTTAAGATTTCCCCGAACCATGACAAAACAGCCCCAGACCATTATTCCTCCTCCACCAAACTTTACAGTTGGCACTATGCATTCGGGCAGGTAGCATTCTCCTGGCATCCGCCAAACCCAGATTTGTCCGTCGGACTGCCAGATGGTGAAGCGTGATTCATCACACCAGAGAACGTGTTTCCACTGCTCCAGAGTCCAACGGCGGCGAGCTTTACACCACTCCAACCGACACTTGGCATTGCGCATGGTAATCTTAGGCTTGTGTGCGGCTGCTCGGCCATGGAAACCCATTTCATCAAGCTCCCGACGAACAGTTCTTGTGCTGACGTTGCTTCCAAAGGCAGTTTGGAACCCGGTAGTGAGTGTTGCAACCGAGGACAGACGATTTTTATGTGTTACGCGCTTCAGCACTTGGCGGTCTCGTTTTGTGAGCTTGTGTGGCCTACCATTTTACGGCTGAGCCGTTGTTGCTCCTAGACATTTCCACTTCACAATAACAGCACTTACAGTTGACCGGGGCAGCTCTAGCAGGGCAGAAATTTGACGAATTGACTTGTTGGAAAGGTGGCATCCTATGATGGTGCCACATTGAAAGTCACTGAGCTCTTCAGTAAGGCCATTCTACTGCCAATGTTTGTCTATGGAGATTGCATGGCTGTGTGCTCGATGTTATACACCTGTCAGCAACGGGTGTGGCTGAAATAGCTGAATCCATTAATTTGAAGGGGTGTCCACATACTTTTTAATATATTTTTGTATATATAGTTTACAGACAGAGGTTCAGTGAAACAAAATCACATTGATTGATTATCAGACAAGTCACTGGCTTTTGGCCGGGAGTAGGACAGGCTACTACGCGAGTGAAGAGCAAAATCATCTTCTGTAACAGGCTAGAAAATGTTCTGTTCAGCTAATATGTGAGAAAACTAGAATAAAATATTAGCATTAGCATTCACCTCAGCTAACATTTCCCCAGCCTAATTATTACCAAATATTCAAACGGAGATTCAGCGAAAACAAAAATCTGACATTGATTTCTTTATCTAGGCGAGTCCCCCACTCTTGTCTCAAAGAATTGCGATGGCGCTGTCCCAATCAAAACGGTGTTGAAATGATAATCTAGGTGACCACACTTGACTATTGCTTTAAATTAGTGTAACGATTGGATATTACTTTGGGAGTTTCAGTATAAGCAAGGGTTTGATACAAGCCTTCAATGGCATTAAACTACTTTATTCCAATATGTTCATTATTCAGTTGATCATAACTAAGGTGAGTTTTCCTCCCTCTGTGCTTTTTCTAGGCCCAACAGCTGTTACCTCGTCTCCTCACTCCGCTGCCACCCACCTCCACCACGTCATTCTCAACACCAGTTTCAATCAATATAGCCTACTGTTTTCTAGAAATCTGAACTTTTTTTCAGGTTCGGGCTCATTTAATTTCTGTGATGTCGGACCAGGGCTCGGGCTTCAGCTCAACGGGCTTGGGTCGGACCTGGATCGAATATTCAGTTCTGATAAACTCTAAACTGCCTTCGGGTCTCATGTGCAGTCCGGAAGTGTCAATTATGCTTGTGCTTTGAATTTATGGCGACTTATGTGTGAAGTAAATCCACTAGGCTGAAGGCTTCATGGGACAACCTGTTTGGATAATGTGCTATTTTTTTTATGGACCAATCTGCTGCTGTGCATGTTGTGTATTTTGTGGAATTACATCAGTGAGACATTGGGGGAAAAGGTTGTAATTTCCCGGGTTTTGTCATTTATTTATTTTTCGGGAAGAGTGGTCCCGGGACAGTCCTGGGATCCCGATTACCGGTGTTAAGCCCTACTCAGTAATGTGCTGTATTGGTTTCGCCCCAAACATAACACTTTGTATTAAGGACAAAAAGTTAAATTGCTTTGCCACATTTTCTACAGTATTACTTTAGTGCCTTGTTGCAAACAGGATGAATGAGGTTAGTATTGTGGAGTAACTACAATGTTGTTGTTCCATCCTCAGTTTTCTCCTATCACAGCCATTAAACTCTGTAACTGTTTTAAAGTCACCATTGGCCTCATGGTGAAATCCCTGAGCGGTTTCCTTCCTATCCCGTAACTGAGTTAGGAAGGACACCTGTATCTTTGTACTGACTGGGTTTATTGATACACCATCTAAAGTGTAACTAATAACTTCACCATGCTCAAAGGGATATTCAATATCTGCTTTTTTTTTTACCCATCTACCAATATGTGCCCTTTTTTGCAAGACATTGGAAAACCTCCCTGGTCTATGTGGTTGAATCTGTGTTTGAAATTCGTCCTTGACTGAGGGACCTTACAGATAACTGTATGTGTGGGGTACAGAGATGAGATAGTGACTCAAAAATCATGTTAAACACTATTATTGCACACAGAGTGAGTCCATGCAACTTATTGGGACTTATCACATGTTAACTTCTGAACTTATTTTGCCATTAGGGGGTTGAATACTTATTGACTCAAGACATTCCAGCTTTTCATTTTTTAATTAATTCGTAAACATTTCTAAAAACATAATTCCACTTTGACATTAAGGGGTAGGCCAGTGACACAAAATCTCAATTTAATCAATTTTAAATTCACGCTGTAAGACAACGAAATGTGGAAAAAGTGTGAATACTTGTGTGAATACTTTCTGAAGGCACTGTACCTTTTTGTTTTGTTCTCAAAAGTGCACTATAGCCGTGTCTCAACAAAAGCTAAAACGCCACAAACATTCCTAAACGGATTAGAATGACAGGCAAATCTCAGTTGATCTCTGTTGTTCTCCGCTTGAGTTCTACTGTCGGATCGGATTGACTCACAGACTCGACTGACAACTTTTTAACATACAGTATTTCATTTATTTTCATTGTGATTTACTCCGAATTTGTTTGGTTATTTACGAGTTGTTGGGGATTAATATATTTTTAATCCTAATAATTGGTATTGTTGTGTGGAACAAGTGTTAATGGTTTTCTGAGTGGGACTGGTTTTACACACCGCTTATTGATGAACATTGAGAGACTGAGATCAAATAGGTTCACTTGAAATATTTTTAGGCCAGAGGTAAGGGACGTTTCCTGAGGAACCTAAGTTATTATTATTTTGTGACTGTGATATTGTTTGTGCAATCATTTATTTTGGGATAATACAAAAACACAGAAGAACACCATTGTTTTGGAGTTATTTCTTTCAATGTTACAGGTTCATGAAAAGTTTATATTCCACGACTGACTTTTCATGAGTCATTTGTATTGGTCTATACTTGACAGAGATGAGACCGAATCACAAACAAAAAGGAGAAATCAAACATCTCTCTGCTGGCACGAGCTACCTGGCACCCCCTAACTAAAACCAGTTGTGTAAAGTAACTAAGTAAAAATACTTTGAGGTACTACTTAAGTAGTCTTTTGGGGTATCTGTACTTCACTATTTATATTTTTGACAACTTTTACTCCACTACATTCCTAAAGAAAATACATTTACTTTTTACTCCATAGATTTTCCCTGACACCCAAAAGTACTCGTTACATTTCGAATGCTTAGGAGGACAAGAAAACGGTCAAATTCAAGCATTTATCAAGTGAACATTCCTGGTCATCTACTACCTCTGATCTGGCGGACTCACTAAACAAAAATGCTACGTTTGTAAATTATGTCTGAGTGTGCACCTGGCTATCCGCAAAATAAAATAAACGGTGCCGTCTGGTTTGCTTAATAAGGAATTTAAACTTATTTTGATACTTAAGTATATTTTAGCAATTACATTTACTTTCGATAATGAAGTATATTTAAAAACCAAATACTTTCAGACTGTTACTCAAGTAGTATTTTACTGGGTGACTTTCATGTATGACATTTGGGTACTTTTGGTTACCACTGACTAAAACTAACCTCAAAAGTCAAGTCAAAACCGTTACAGTGTGACTTACTGTCTGAAAGGAAGGTGTCAGCGAAGTATAGCGTTCGTACAAGGCCGGTGAAGGAGTCGTCAGAGGATCGAGCCTCTATCTTTCTCTGGACGGGCGCCAACTCCATCTCAGCTAGCTCTGCCTCTAGACGAGCATTAGCCTCCTGCAACTAGAGATAGAGAAGCCCGTTTGAGATGCGCTGGGTTGGAGATGAATGCAGCAGCAGACTGCACTAAAAACGGTGTGATCATTAGGAACTTTGTTCAATTAAAGATTTATGCAGTCACATTTTTTTTGGCCCAAAAATACATTTTTGTTGTCGTTTACCTTAGCTGCGTTGTTGACGTGGTGTTTGCGTAGGGACACTCGGCTGCGCCTGATCCTTCTGAAAGACTGACGGAGAGACTTCTTAATGCTCTTCACTCTGGACAGAGGACCTTCCATAGCCAGCTGGTCACTGGGGTTCAGAGTACACCTACAGGAGAGGGACAGGAGAGGGTTAACACACACAAACGTCTATATACCATCTCCGTTACCTTCCGTTATTTTGAAGTCATACAGGCAGAAACATGCAAACACTAAACCCCCCCCCCCCCCCCCCCCCCCCCCCCCCCCCACAAACACACACTTACCTGACGAGGACGTTGTTTTTCTGCTGGTAGTCGTAGAGTCCGAAGCCGTGACTGGTCCCGAATGTCACTAGTTTCCACTCAGAGTGCAGGGTGAGGGCAGTGACCACGGCCGGAGGCTGACACTGGACCAGGGCAAAGGGCTGGAAACCTGGGGGGAACATCACCGGCTCCTCCCTCACCTCCAGACGTGTATGGCCCTGATAGGGAGAGATGGTTACACAAACATTAAAGAATATTACAGAAAAGTATTGATCACTTTTCTTTATGCTCACCGAAAACCAATTCAATCAAAATTGCACTGCAGTATTTACGGAGAATCCAGTAAACACACACTCAATGTAAAGTTCTTGTTTGTTGTCGTTTACCTTCCAGCGGAAGCCCTCCTGTCCCTGTAGCAGGTCTGCTACGGTGGCCTCCACAGTCTGTTCTGCTGCCTCGTCATTCAGCTCTAACACCAGGACCTATGGAGGGGAGAGGTGAGAGAAGGACAGACCGTAACATTACATTTATTGTTTTGGACCAACAGGCAGTCTTATCTAAACACTTATATGAACCACTCAGACATTCACACCTCTCTTTCTCAGTGTGTGTGCGCCTCTGTGCCAGCCAACTAAATCAGACCACCCTCTTTTATAATGAATGACAGCTGATAATATAAAAGGGGGGAATAAGATACTTCCCACTGATGATCCAGTGCTCTATAAAGAATGAGAGATTACATTTAATTTCCACACATTCTGATTAAAGGAGGTGGCTTATTTATCACACTACATTATATAATGACTATAGGAGAGCTATGCAACCATGCAGACTGGGTCTGGAAAATATGCCATTCACTGAATGTGTGACCATCCGTGACCCAAATACCCTCAGGAAAAGATTGTCATGGGGGACAAAGATCTATAGTGCCAAAGAACGTAAAATTAAGACCAAAACAACAGACTGGATTGCTAAATGGCATATTATTATATTATACCGGTAATGTCCAAAAATGTCCAACACAGCACTTAGGCTAACTGGCCACTAGAGGGAGTAGCGGTTGGTTTTCCACTGGTAAACTCACCTGTCCAGCGGTGCCAGCTACAGTCAGGTAGCCGCTGTATTTACACAGGTGGATCTTCTGAACGCCCAGACGAGGGTCGTCACTGTACGGGTCAAAACAACCCACCTGGGGGGAGAAGAGGGACATGTTTAATACACCGTCTCGCTATTCTGATTCACTAGACACATTTTCTCACAAAACACACCTACACCTTTTCTACAGTGACTCCACTTTACCTTTGTGCTCCCTGTATGTGAATATACACACATCCGAATGGTGGTAACTCTTTACATGTTATTTATACACACACAGACCTTTCTGAAAGGTGGCCACTCTCCCTCTGTGCCCTGGTTCATGTTTTCATTGGGGTCTGCGTCAGTGAGGAACACCCCTGCCGTGCTCAGCTTGTACATTGGGTACAGACACACCCCCGACGCGTCCCAGAAACGCACCGTACCGTCCTCGTGCCTGTGAGGAGGTGGAGGGAGGAGATTACATTTGTGAGGATCAACAAAATCAGGGGAACAAAAACATGACTAACTATTTGAAACCCTGTTCGCCGTCTCCACATAGCAACATTAAATGTAGATCATTAAGTTGTATTGAAATGAAGTCTCTGAAAAGAAATGAACGAGCTGTGACTGTCTACTGACCCTGTGAGCAGTAGGTCTCTCTGAGGAGGGTCTGGAGCCAGGTTCTGTCCTCCTGTCATAGGCCAAGGCTGGACGGAGGGAGAGAGAAGGGAGGGGTGCAAAAATTGGATGAATGCGAGAGAAAGAATTTAGGTCAATTCAATGTGCTCCATCAATTCAAGTTTCCAGCTCCCAGATTGTATTTTCACATGCACAAGTACAGTGAAGTGTAGCTAAATGTAGGTCATCTGTAGCTCAATTGGTAGAGCATGGCGCTTGTAACGCCAGGGTAGTGGGTTTGATCCCCGGGACCACCCATACGTAAAAATGTATGCGCACATGACTGTAAGTCGCTTTGGATAAAAGCGTCTGCTAAATGGCATATTATTATACACTGCTCAAAAAAATAAAGGGAACACTTAAACAACACAATGTAACTCCAAGTCAATCACACTTCTGTGAAATCAAACTGTCCACTTAGGAAGCAACACTGATTGACAATACATTTCACATGCTGTTGTGCAAATGGGATAGACAACAGGTGGAAATTATAGGCAATTAGCAAGACACCCCCAATAACGGACTGCTTTGCAGGTGGTGACCACAGACCACTTCTCAGTTCCTATGCTTCCTGGCTGATGTTTTGGTCACTTTTGAATGCTGGCGGTGCTTTCACTCTAGTGGTAGCATGAGACGGAGTCTACAACCCACACAAGTGGCTCAGGTAGTGCAGCTCATCCAGGATGGCACATCAATGCGAGCTGTGGCAAGAAGGTTTGCTGTGTCTGTCAGCGTAGTGTCCAGAGCATGGAGGCGCTACCAGGAGACAGGCCAGTACATTAGGAGACGTGGAGGAGGCCGTAGGAGGGCAACAACCCAGCAGCAGGACTGCTACCTCCGCCTTTGTGCAAAGAGGAGCAGGAGGAGCACTGCCAGAGCCCTGCAAAATGACCTCCAGCAGGCCACAAATGTGCATGTGTCTGCTCAAACGGTCAGAAACAGACTCCATGAGGGTCGTATGAGGGCCCGACGTCCACAGGTGGGGGTTGTGCTTACAGCCCAACACCGTGCAGGACGTTTGGCATTTGCCAGAGAACACCAAGATTGGCAAATTCGCCACTGGCGCCCTGTGCTCTTCACAGATGAAAGCAGGTTCACACTGAGCACGTGACAGACGTGACAGAGTCTGGAGACGCCGTGGAGAACGTTCTGCTGCCTGCAACATCCTCCAGCATGACCGGTTTGGCGGTGGGTCAGTCATGGTGTGGGGTGGCATTTCTTTGGGGGGCCGCACAGCCCTCCATGTGTTCGCCAGAGGTAGCCTGACTGCCATTAGGTACCGAGATGAGATCCTCAGACCCCTTGTGAGACCATATGCTGGTGCGGTTGGCCCTGGGTTCCTCCTAATGCAAGACAATGCTAGACCTCATGTGGCTGGAGTGTGTCAGCAGTTCCTGCAAGAGGAAGGCATTGATGCTATGGACTGGCCCGCCTGTTCCCCAGACCTGAATCCAATTGAGCACATCTGGGACATCATGGTTCGCTCCATCCACCAACGCCACGTTGCACCACAGACTGTCCAGGAGTTGGCGGATGCTTTAGTCCAGGTCTGGGAGGAGATCCCTCAGGAGACCATCCACCACCTCATCAGGAGCATGCCCAGGCGTTGTAGGGAGGTCATACAGGCACGTGGAGGCCACACAGACTAATGAGCCTCATTTTGACTTGTTTTAAGGACATTAAATCAAAGTTGTATCAGCCTGTAGTGTGGTTTTCCACTTTAATTTTGAGGGTGACTCCAAATCCAGACCTCCATGGGTTGATACATTTGATTTCCATTGATAATTTGTGTGTGATTTTGTTGTCAGCACATTCAACTATGTAAAGAAAAAAGTATTTAATAAGATTATTTCATTCATTCAGATCTAGGATGTGTTATTATAGTGTTCCCTTTATTTTTTGAGCAGTGTATTATTATAAATGCCTTTCTTGCAAGCGCTTTTCCAACAATGCAGTAATCAATATCAGTAGTACTATAAAATAAAGTAACGTAGAAGAAAAACACACCAGAAATAGAAATAAGAACACAAAGCAGGCTAGCTATATACAGGGTCAGTGCCAATACCATATTTACAATGTGCAGGGATACTGGAGTGGTAGGGTTATATATGTATACGGGTTAGGTGACTAGGCATCAGGATATACAGTATGATAAACAGAGTAGCAGAAGCATATATGATGACTATGTGAGTGTGTGTGTGAGCAAATTAAGTATGTGTGTGAGTGAGCGTAGAGTCATGTGCATGTGCATAGAGTCAGTGCAAACATTTTTATAAAATAGAAGGGTCAATGCAGATCGTCCATGTAGCCATTTTGTTAGTTATTTAGCAGTCTTATGGCTTGGGGCCTGTTGGCAGGGGCATGTTGGTGGCAGACGTGTTGCTCTGGTACTGCTTGCCATGCAGAAACAGAGAGAACAGTCTATGGCTTGAGTGGCTGGAGTCTTGAACAATTCTCCGGGCCTTCCTTTCACACCACCTGATATAGAGGTCCTGGATGGCAGGGAGCTCGGCCCCAGTGATGTACTGGTCTGTCCGTACCACCCTCTGCGGCACCATGCGATTGAGGGCGGTGCAGTTGCCATACCAAACAGTGATGCAGCCAGTCAAGATGCTCTCAATGGTGCTACTGTATAACGATTTGAGGGATGTCGCGCCTTCTTCACGACTGTGTGCAGACCATTTTAAGTCCTTAGTGATTTGGACACAGAGGAACTTGAAGCTCTCGACCCGCTCTACTGCAGCCCCATCGATATGGATGGGGGTGTGCTCGACCCCTCGTTTCCCATAGTCCACGATCAGCTCCTTGGTCTAATGACATTGAGGGAAAGGTTGTTGTCCTGGCACCACACTGCCAGGTCACTGACCTCGTCCCTTTAGGCCAGGGTTCCCCAACTGGCGGCAGTGGTTTTATTGTAGGACATAAAAGACCGTAAAGAAACACCAGGAAATCAGCTCCAAGTGATTTCAATTTAAGAAATCCGTTCCCAAATATTCCCACGCATAATAGAGAGACACGTGATCATATACAAATGTAAGCAAGGTTTGAAATGATTATGTTTTAGTCAAACATATCTGTTCGGGCTTCTTGCGGTCAATTTGCAGTCTACAAATTATTTGTGATTGTTTTCAGGCCTCCCTGACCATCCGCTGAAGAACAAATTGGCCCGCGGCTGACTGTAGTTGATGATCCCTTCTGTAGGCTGTCTCATCGTCGCCGGTGATCAGGCCTACCACCGTTGCGTCGTCAGCTAACTTAATTGTGTTGGTGTCGTGCATGGCCACACAGTCGTGGGTGAACAGGGATTACAGAAGGGGACTAAGCACTGTGGGGCCCCCGTGTTGAGGGTCAGCGTGGTGGAGCTGATGTTGTCTACCCTCACCACCTGGGGTCAGCCTGTCAGGAAGTCCAGGATACAGTTGCAGAGGGAGGTGTTCAGACCCAGGATCCTAAGCTTGGTGACGAGCTTGGAGGAGACAATGGTGTTGAACGCTGAGCTGTAGTCAATGAACAGCCTTCTCACATAGGTATTCCTCTTATCTAGGTGGGTGAGGGCAGTGTGGAGTGCAATTTTGAGTGTGTGTGGTGCAGGAACTTGCTTGAGCAGTGCGTGTCACCTACCTTCTTAGAGTAGTGTGTGTTCTGCAATGCTCCGGCAGACAGGACCCTCTCCCACAGCTTCAGGGGTATAGCAGAGACATGGTGTGAGCAGGTGATGGCAGAGCAGTGGAGAGGCACCAGGTACGGAGTCTGGATGACTGGCCACCCCTCAGTCTGGAGATCGATCACTACCAACTCCTCTTCTACTAAGACCACCAACGCATTGGGTTCGCCTGGACAGAACGAGAGGGGTTAGACTGCGTGTGTGTTTCTGAACCGGTGTGTGTTTCTGAACCTGTGTGTGCACGTATCCCCCTGCCTTTCTACCTGTATGATCTGGACCGTCTCTGATGACAAAGAAGTCGATGATTCTGGAGGTGAAGTCCAGAGCCACGTGTGTTTTACTGTGGATCACACTGATACAGTGTCTGTCTCCGTAGCTGGCCCTGGGCATGCCACCACTGAAGAACAGGAACGGAGGCCTGGATATAGACATACAGGAAAAGGAGAGCCAGGTTAGAAGACATTTGCAGATGGGTTCATGTGTAACAATGGAGAAATGTGGGTTGACAGAGCAGGACGAGAAAAAGAGAGAGTCACTCACCCCTGTTCTGTCAGCAGTTGGATGATTTTAGAGATGGCCTTACAGGGGAAGTGGCCTACACAGAGGAGAGAGAAATCATCAAATCCATTGATCAATCATCAATTAACCTACTCAGCATTCAATCAATAACATTATCCCAGTCGCTGTGTTTTGTCAGCTTCCACAGAGAGAAACGTGCTGTTGACTTTTTGGGGGTCCTCACCGTACGGTACTTCGGACATCTCCTGCTCGCTCTGTGGGTCATCCCCAGCCACCTTCCAGCGGCAGTAGCTGCCATCGCTATGGGAACTGAGAACATGGCCGCCGTCCTCCGTCCACCACACGCTCTCCAGTTGCTATGGACGCACAACCAAACAAGGAGTCAAGATCAGAGCCCTCGACATCCAGACACCAACACACAGACACACACACTGTATACCTGTGTAGCAGGGATGTGTTTGACGGCTGATTGGCTGTCCAGGTCCCAGATGACCATGAGGCCTCGTCCGTAGCCAATCAGAACCTGGCGTGGGTTGACGGGATTCTCCTGTAAGGACTCGACATGCTCCAGGCTCCTACGACCTCCATACTCCTCTGGTACACTACAGAATGAGGGGGTACTGTTTTAGCATAATTATCGATCAAATACGTTTGTGTGTGTGTGGGAAGCATTTTAACATGAATCAATAGTTGTTTCCATCTGTTTAGGATAACAAAATTTCCAATTTAGTAACTCAATGAAAGGAAGTGTGTGTGGTGTGTGTACCTGTTGGTGACTTTCTCCAGGCTGATGTTCCTCTCCTCTAGTTCTCTGAAGCCTGGTACCTTCACTATGAACACGTGTCCTCCCTCTGTTCCTAGCAACAACAGGTCCCCAGAAGAGTGGGCTAGCACCGCTGTTACACAAGTTACACTGGGGGGAGCACTGATTGAGGGAACGAGAAAGCGGTAAATAGAGAGAAAGATAGGATAAAGTTAACAGGTTGAATCTGGCAGACAGAAAAATAACATTCAAGGTGCATACGTGTTTGCCATTGAATGTGTGCATGTCACCATAGAAATAGAATCCCACTATAGTTCTGTGCATGTCACACAGTGCGTCTCTTACCGTGGCACTCCAATGAGTGCGAGTGTGTGAGGAAAATAGAAAGAAAGAAAGCTTGAGAAGGGGTAGGAGAGAAGTTGGGAGGTGGTGGGGTGTAGTGTGTGTGTCTCTCACCCCGGGGGTCCAGTGAGCGTGAAGCGTCCTATCTCCAGCAGCTCAGAGACGCCATGGTGAGCTCTGAGGGTCCACATGTGGAGACTGTTGTCATCCAACAGAGTCACCAGCTCCACCTGTTCAACACAGAGCAACCAGATGTTAAAAGGACATTAGGAGGACATAAGGACGTTAGGAACACGTTATTGGGATGTTATGAGACTGTCAGGAGGACGTTTTGGGGCAATTAGGAGGATGTTTTTGGGACGTTAGCCACAGCTTTACTACTAACATTTCCAGCAATGATCAGATCCACATATTGGATTCTAGGGCTGGGCGGTATACCGTATTTTATGATATACCAGTATTGATGCACGGACCGGTTTGGGTTTTGATGTTACTTTCTATAACAGTATTTGAATGTTTGGTTTGTTAAATGTGATACGCCGTGTGTAACGTCCATTTTTATAGTTTACTCCGCTACTTGAGTCATCTCTCTCCACTCTCTCTCCATGCTGCTTTCCACACAGAACTAGCACTGTCCCGTCACTCAAGGAGCACATTTGCTGTTTCTCGACCACGACAGACTTGCATTCAGTCTGCATGGTTAATGCAGCACATGCAACAATGTTGACAACGATGCTGTTTTCACTTTGGTTTTTAATATAAATACACTAACGTTCTATAATGACACTATTAGCTTGTGTTTCTTACATCTGCAAAAGGCTGGTTTGTCTTTTCTTAGCAAGTTGGGCCTAAATCCTGTTAGCCGCAAATGCTAATCGCTAGTTAGCTGGCTAGCTAGCAAATAAATGTACTGAGTCGGAGCAAACGTAACTAGCTATACAGCCTGACAATACCAGTGATGGTGTTGACCTAAATCAGTATGTTGTTTGTGCAACAGTATCTTCTAAATCAAAGAGGAATATGCGAAGCATGAATATGTTAGCTACATGAAGTTCCTAAGAGAAAACATTCAATGTAGCTAAAGATTATAGCGTCCCCTAGGAAACACTTAGGTTCCTACCCGGTCACAATAACTCCTCCTGGCATTTTAATTCGTTGTCATGTCAAACACTGTATTCAAAGTGCCCACTATTACATTCTAACTATAGAATTACAATAATCATTCAAGTTCCATGATTCCAACAGTTCACCCAAGTGTTTTGCGCTAAATCGCAATTGCAGCATTTAGTTAAAAATAAGGCATAGATTGTTTTCCCATATCATGCAGCCTTACGTGGCAGTATGGAAATGACCTCAAATTAGTGCAGGAAATGCAGAAATGTATGGAAATTATTTTAGGTTGAAGTTGAATTGAACAGTATAAAACAAATCAGAATGGAGAAAGCCCCATTGAAATCACTTGTATGTGTTGCCACCGTAGGGTAACGCACTACTCATAAAGCAAATTTAGAAATGGTATTATTCCAAAACATTAAATTCAGTCAAAAAAATAAAAATATATATGATATATTTTGGCCATATCGTCCTGCCCGATTTAAGAAGATCATTTCAGTAGCAGGTGTGAATGGCGCATGTGATAAGGTGCTGCCACCGTGTGCGTGTTGAGTAGCCACTCACCTGGTGTGGTAGGAAGTGGACCTGTGTGACGGCAGCGTTCTCATCGTGTAGACCCATGAACTCTACACCTGGGCCACCATAACTGACCACAGGTTAAAGAATACACACACACAGCATAGCGCACCAACACACACACTTACTGTGTACACACATGCGCAGCAAATACAGACACACACACAATGCATGATGTACACAGAGCCCCCCCCCCCCCACCAATTCATAGACATACACACACAGGTTCTTATTTTTCTACTGTACTGAAAGGGTCCACATGCATCTATAGAAATAAGAGATGTTCTGTTCTGTCTTTCTTTGTGTCTTATTACACTGCCCTGCCCTTGGCTAATAATACTTTTATTCATAGAATTTCCTTCTTGTGTTATCAAAAGAACAATTTCCCCTATTGTGTGAATTAATTCTAATGACAGAGACAAGGGTCTTCATAGTGACGGAGTGAATGGGGAGTGTACTGACTGGTTCCACACTGTCAAAGAGCACGATTGTGTAAGATGAATCAAACACACACTATAACAGAGATACACAGACACACCAACTGTGTCCGTCTGGTACAGCCAGAGTTGAGCAATACCCTGGGAATATAAGATAACTACACACTAACCACAGACAGCTAAAGCAGAGGGCAACTCTGAGACAAACTTGTTCAAACGTGTTAACACTTAAATCCTGCACTCCTACACAACCAGACAGACCTCTCCCTCTGTGTCTATTGAAGGATACAGTTTGATGGCTCCGGAGCGTGTGCCGATGGCCAGGAGCTGTAGACTGGGGCTGAAGCCCAGAGCACTGGGCTGGTGAGGAAAACCATGCTCCACCGTCTGAGTGAGAGAGGGAGAATTATAGAAACTGGCAGGACAAATCCCCTGAAAATTGTCTGGAATTGGGATCATTGCCTTACTGTAGAGATTAGATATCAAAGCCTTGTCAGATCAGACTGACTGTCACTGCTCTTACCTTGTTGAACCCGTAGAGCTCCTGTTTGATCCGGTCTCTCTGGGACTCCTGGCCAGGTCTCCTAAACCTCTTCATCCTCTCTGGAGCCTGAGGAGCACACAGGCCCAACCGCTACACCTCTACAGAGAGAGACAGTGGGAGATAGGAGATTAATGAAGTAGGTGGGGAAAGGGCAATAGCCTAGCAGACGACAAGTCTTCACTCCTCTTTTCCTCTCTGTCATTCAACTATCTGAAGAACGTGGGTGTGGAGGTGGTGAAGAGAAAGAGATCATAAAACTTCCTGGAGCAAAACAAAGGAGGAAGAGAGATAGTGAAGATACTCACAGCTGGAGCAGGAAACTAAATCAGGGCTCCAGCAAAAACTCAGCTCAGGTGGTGTGTTGGCCACTGACAGAGACAGGGAGATGAGAGAAAGGAATTCCAGAGAAGAGGCCTACTCCTCTTCTCTTTCTTGTCTGTGGTCAACACACACACACACACACACAGACAGCCTGAGGGGGCGGGGCTCATCTCAGACAACAGCTAGGAGTTGGTCACAGGAGCATCAACTAAAAAAGACCATTGTCCTATTTTTTATTTATTTAACCTTTATTTTAACTAGGCAAGTCAGTTAAGAACAAATTCTTATTTACAATGACTACCTACTACTACACACACTGATGAAAACACCTGTCACACAGACAAGCCGTTTCCAAATAGGCCCTTCAGAGAGAAAGAAGGGTCTGCTTTTCATTCTTTCCTTTATCAATAACGTTTGCGGAACGTTTAGGGCATAACGAACTATGACCCGATCACAACCTTTAAAAAAAAACAACCCTCTCCTCTCTTTTCCAGATGCTTTAAAACCCCTGGACTCTGGCTTTCATTTCACGTTCATTTTACTAAGAGGAAGGAAGAGTAGTGGACAGCTTTCTCTTAATCTCTACACATACCAATACATTCGCTAAGCCCATCACGTGAAGGAGAGGTTATAGCCACAGGTTGGTTAGACCATAAATGTCAGTGGTCTAAGCCTCAGTCTACTCTGATTGAACTCAACCCTCAACCTCAAAGCTGTGTCTCCCTGGGTGATGACAAAAATGTCCCCCTCAAAAGACCCACAGAAAACCCTCCACAAAAAGAACAGGCCAGTGTTTCAGGCCTGTAAAATCAGCAAGTAAAAAAAAAAAAAAAAAACAATGATTTCATAAAAATTACAAATGATAATATTGTAAACCGGAACTAAGCTACGAGACCGTATTTTCCGTCTTGGCCGACTCCGTCTTGTCATTTGTATCGAGACAGAGAGACATACTAACTGTAGGTCGCTCTGGATAAGAGCGTCTGCTAAATGACTAAAATGTAAAATATTATTGCCCTGATATCAGCGGCAAGACGCCGTTAGTCATTAGGCGTGAGGGATTACGGGATAGTGGAGGACTGACTCACACCCTCACTAAGTAAACTTCCTTGTTTGGATCCTGCAGACTAAGGGAGTGGGATGAAGTTGCATGCTTCAGGATTTGGGGAGGGTAGGCGTAAATATACTTTTTTTTTGTATAGAAGAGAGTTCCAAACATGGTTTTTCGTCAATCATGCATTGGCGACATTAATTCCATGTTAAATGTGTGTCATATTAGGACCACGCACAGTCTAGTGCCCATTATGTTCCTCGGAGTCCTCCAACGTAGACCAAAGGGTCCAGCAGAGCAGAAAGAAGCAGCTCAGTGCTCTAAGCCTGCTAACAAAGGCTGGGTGGGAGGTCCTCTTTAGTGCTTAACACACAGAATGTCATCCTAGGGAAGGACAAGAATGTGCTCTGCTGATGGAAACTGAGGGTAGCTTGAAGGAGGAACACACACACACAATACACACTCAGGCACACCCCAGTATGGAAAAGTAGGACCTTGGTTTCATCATATGATGACTACCTATGGCAGTGCTCAATGTAAACACAGACCCAAGGAGGCCAGAGCCTGAAACACTACTGAAACAATCAGACAACATGGTGATTAATTGTAGGATTTCAACCAGTGTGACAGTTAGGCAAGGCCTACCCAGTGATTATGCATCCCATAAAACCTCACTATCAGAACAGAGTAGTGTTTAGAACTGTCGATTCAAACAGCAAGTTCCACCTCTTTCTGTTGCTTCATTGTGGCTCGCTCTTTTCTTCAGAGTACAGAAGGATGGGAAAATGGAGAAAACTGAAAATGAGTGAATTATTCAAGGCTACAGTACAGTTAGACCGGTTTGGTGCCGGGAAATCATGTGCACATGACATGACATATCCTACATTTCCATTCATAACACCCTGTGGACAGTATTCTGGCAGTAAGGCTTAGGGGAAGTCCCCAAACGGAAGGGATTTGTTTGTTACTTGGAAAAACAATGCTATGCAGTGGTCAGTGACACAGAAACTAAGTGGCAAACATCCACAGTTTCAGTGAGTGGACAGTATAGCCATTCTGTTACAGTAAATGAGTGATATCAGACATGGATTTTCCCAGGAATTCCAGTTGGACAGAGCAGGGCAATGACCTTGTGTTGAGAAATAGTTAGACAGATACCCACCTCACACAGCAATTCTCCCAGCAAGGGCCGTTAACAGTGTTTAGAAACTTGGTCAAGGATTTACAAGACAATTACGTTTTATTGATATTGGTGTGAATTATTACCTGGCCTCGCTTTTATACAACACTGATGTCATTCCTGATGACAAAGATCAAACAAACTGAATGAGAGCAGCATTGTTTTAAGAAAGTGGCGGCTAGCCTATATACAGGTGGTATGGCTGCATTTTATGAAATAATATTCAATTCTTCTGATATGTTTGGCTACGGAGGAATCACACCCACTCCCGGTTCGTTCGCAACACTCAACTGTGACATCATCAAATTCCAAGCATTCTACCAACTCAAACCATCAGAGAGGTGAGAGGGATGTCAGAGGGAAGAAAATACACACAAACGTGCCTGGACAGGGCATCAACACAGACGTAAACTAGGCTTAGTAACTTACTACTGCTAGAGCTACAGCGCTTAAAGTAGCCATCAGTGAAAATTTCACTTTTAATAGTTCATATTCTGTTAGGCCAACTCGTCCCCAAATACAGTTGTTGACTCATTCTATACTCATATTTGTGGACAAACCATAAATTGTAGGGCTGGGAATTGCCAGAGACCTCACGGTACTATCATGATACTTAGGATAGGTGCCGATATGATATGTATCGCGATTCTATATGTATTGCGATCCGATGTTTCAAATATATTGCTCACCATATGTCTGCTGCAGAGAGACAAGAGAGCCATGAGAAAACAAGTTTTGATCAGTCATGGAAATAAAAGTACTGAAAACAATGGCTCCATATTTAAAAAGAAAATCGAGAACAAGCTATGAAGAAAAAATTGTTTTGGTGCAGGTACAGCCAACTAGTGCAAAAATATAGCGATATTGTCGATACACCGTAAAAAAGAATATCCCGATATGCCACTACAGTGAGGGGGAAAAGTATTAGATCCCCTGCTGATTTTGTACGTTTGCCCACTGACAAAGAAATTATCAGTCTATAATTTTAAAATGGTAGGTTTATTTGAACAGTGAAAGACAGAATAACAACAACAAATAACGCACGTCAAAAATGTTATAAATTGCTTTGCATTTTAATGAGGGAAATAAGTATTTTACCCCCTCTCAATCAGAAAGATTTCTGGCTCCCAGGTATCCTTTATACAGGTAACCAGCTGAGATTAGGAGCACACTCTTAGAGGGAGTACTCCTAATCTCAGCTTAGCAATCAATCCGATTCCAAACTCTCCACCATGGCCAAGACCAAAGAGCTCTCCAAGGATGTCAGGGACAAGATTGTAGACCTACACAAGGCTGGAATGGGCTACAAGACCATCGCCAAGCAGCTTGGTGAGAAGGTGACAACAGTTGGTGTGATTATTCACAAATGGAAGAAACACAAAATAACTATCAATCTCCCTCGGCCTGGGGCTCCATGCAAGAACTCACCTCGTGGAGTTGCAATGATCATGAGAACGGTGAGGAATCAGCCCAGAACTACACGGGAGGATCTTGTCAATGATCTCAAGGTAGCTGGGACCATAGTCACCAAGAAAACAATTGGTAACACACTACGCCGTGAAGGACTGAAATCCTGCAGCGCCCACAAGGTCCCCCTGCTCAAGAAAGCACATATACAGGCCCGTCTGAAGTTTGCCAATGAACATCTGAATGATTCAGATGAGAACTGGGTGAAAGTGTTGTGGTCAGATGAGACCAAAATCGAGCTCTTTGGCATCAACTCAACGTGTTTGGAGGAGGAGGAATGCTGCATATGACCCCAAGAACACCATCCCCACCGTCAAACATGGAGGTGGAAACATTATGCTTTGGGGGTGTTTTTCTGCTAAGGGGACAGGACAACTTCACCGCATTAAAAGGGACGATGGACGGGGCCATGTACCTTCAAATCTTAGGTGAGAACCTCCTTCCCTCAGCCAGGGCATTGAAAATGGGTCGTGGATGGGTATTCCAGCATGACAATGACCCAAAACACACGGCCAAGGCAACAAAGGAGTGGCTCAAGAAGAAGCACATTAAGGTCCTGGAGTGGCCTAGCCAGTCTCCAGACCTTAATCCCATAGAAAATCTGTGGAGGGAGCTGAAGGTTCGCGTTGCCAAACGTCAGCCTCTAAACCTTAATGACTTGGAGAAGATCTGCAAAGAGGAGTGGGACAAAATCCCTCCTGAGATGTGTGCAAACCTGGTGGCCAACTACAAGAAACGTCTGACCTCTGTGATTGCCAACAAGGGTTTTGCCACCAAGTACTAAATCATGTTTTGCAGAGGGGTCAAATACTCATTTCCCTCATTAAAATGCAAATCAATTTATACAATTTTTGACGTGCGTTTTTTTGTTGTTATTCTGTCTTTCACTGTTCAAATAAACCTACCATTAAAATTATAGACTGATCATGTCTTTGTCAGTGGGCAAACGTACAAAATCAGCAGGGGATCAAATACTTTTTTCCCCTCACTGTATCAATTCCCCCCCCCCATGACCAATCAGTGGTCTACTCGCATGAATATAATTTTATGACCGGTATACACGCACACCATTCTGTTGTTGGGGGATTGCTCACACCA